ACCACTTTACAAGGCCTTGGTAAGGCCACACCTGGAATACGGCGTCCAGTTTTGGTCACCACGATGTAAAAAAGATGTTGAGACTCTAGAAAGAGTGCAGAGCAGAGCAACAAAGAGGATCAGGGGACTGGAGGCTAAAACATACAAGGAACGATTGCTGGAATTGGGTATGTCTAGTTTAATGAAGAGAAGGACGAGGGGGGACAGGATAGCAGTCTTCCAGTATCTCAGGGGCTGCCCCAAAGAAGAGGCAGTCAAGCTATTCTCCAAAGCGCCTGAAGGCAGGACAAGAAGCAACGGGTGGAAACTAACCAAGGAGAGAAGCGACCTGGAACTAAGGGGAAACTTCCTGACAGTGAGAACAATTAACCAGTGGAACAACCTGCCACCAGAAGTGGTGAATGCTCCAACACTGGAGGTTTTTAAGAAGAGACTGGACAGCCATTTGTCCGAAATGGTGTAGGGTTTCCTGCCTGGGCAGGGCGTTGGACTAGATGACCTCCAAGGTCCCTTCCAACTTTATTATTATTATTATTATTATTATTATTATTATTATTATTAGTCTGGGACGTTAGAGGCTGGCTTTCATGTCAAAAGCAGAACTAGAACTCACTGTCTCCTGGTGATTGGCCCAAAGTCACCCACCTGGCTTTCATGCCTAAGGCGGGACTAGAACTCACCGTCTCCTGGTGATTGGCCCAAAATCACCCAACCAGCTTTCATACTTAAAATGGGACTAGAACTTACTGTCTCCTATTGCTGGGCACAGAGTCACCCAGTGGGCTTTCATGCCTAAGGCGGGACTAGAATTCACCATCTCCTGGTAATTGGCCGAAAATCACCCAACCAGTTTTGATGCCTAAAATGGGAATTGAACTCCCAGTGGGTCCTGATGCTTGGCACAGTCACACAGCTGGCTTTCATGCCTAAAGCGGGACTAGAACTCACCGTCTCCTGGTTTTCTAGGCCAGGATCACTAGACCAAAATGGCTCTCAACATCTCGTATAATATCTCTTTGTCTACATTGCTTTCCTATCGGTGATCTTTTCCGCGGTTTGAAAACCCTGCTCGGTTTGTGAAATTGGGAGGCATTGAGGGCAAAGTGTTGTAAGTCTGTCCCACGGGGATTTTGACAAATAAACTTTTGTTGTTGTTAGTTGCAAAGTCGTGTCTGACCCATGGCGGCCCCATGGACCACGTTCCTCCAGATCTTCCTGTCCTCTACCATCTTCTGGAGTCCATTTAAATTCACACCTACTGCTTCAGGGACTCCATCCAGCCATCTCATTCTCTGTCGTCCCCTTCTTCTCTTGCCTTCCATCTTTCCCAGCATTAGGCCCTTCTCCAGTGAGTCCTTCCTTCTCATTAGGTGGCCAAAGTACTTGAGTTTCAACTTCAGGATCTGGCCTTCTAAAGAGCAGTCAGAGTTGATCTCATCTAGGACCGACCGGTTGGATCGCCTTGCAGTTCAGGGGACTCACAGGAGTCTTCTCCAGCACCAGAGTCCAAAGGCCTCCATTCTTTGGCGCTCAGCCTTTCTTACGGTCCAACTTTCACAGCCATACATTGCAACTGGGAAAACCACGGCCTTGACTATACGCACTTTTGTTGACAGGGTGATGTCTCTGCTTTTGAGTATGCTGTCTAGATTTGCCATAGCTTTCCTCCCCAGGAGCAAGCGTCTTTTAATTTCTTGGTTGCAGTCCCCATCTGTGGTGATAAATAAAGTTTATTGAGCCATATTTTCTATCTGCGGATGGAAAAACGTATAGCCCCTTAACGCTGGCCTTGTACGCTATCTTGAAAGCCTGTTGAATTGCTATGAATTCCCAAATATTCTCAGGCCTGCTGTCTAAGCAAGCTGAGGAATTGCCGTGACGCAACAGAGCAGTAAAACAACATCCATCATCCACGAAAACCTGTTTTAAGCCAAAGAACGTAACGTACGAGGACAAAATCCAGAAAATCCAGGGTGCGGTGACATGGAAGGTCCTGTCCCATTTCTCAACTTGGAAGGTGGTTTGGGCACTTTTGGAAGAGGCTGTTCTGTTGTGATTGTTTCTCATTTCTGTTTGGACGCTCTTTGTCCTCATTTTTTAACCTGCCTTACTTGGCTCATTGGCGGAGGGAGAAAAACAAGGGCCTTCCGGGATCACAATTGCTGTCCTGGTGGGGGGGGGGGGAAACTGTGAGAAAAATTGTAAAGAAGAGAAAAAGATTTGGGAAATGCTTTTACGTGAAGTATTAGTCCTGTTTATAATAGTAGTAGTAGTAATAGTAGTAGTAGTAATAGTAGTAGTAGTAAGGAGGAGGAGGAGAAAGAGAAGAAGAAGAAGAAGAAGAAGAAGAAGAAGAAGAAGAAGAAGAAGAAGAAGAAGAAGAAGAAGAAGAAGAAGAAGAAGAAGAAGAAGAAGAAGAAGAAGAAGAAGAAGAAATAGTAGCAGTAGTTGTAGTAGTTGGAAAGAACCTTGGAGGTCATCTAGTCCAACCCTCTGCTCAGGCAGGAAACCCTATACCATTTCGGACAAATGGCTGTCCAGCCTCTTCTTAAAAACTTCCAGTGTTAGAGCATTCACCGCTTCTGGAGGCAGGTGGTTCCACTGGTTATTGTTCTAATTGTCAGGAAGTTTCTCCTTAGTTCCAGGTTGCTTCTCTCCTTGGTTAGTTTCCATCTGTTGCTTCTTGTCCTGCCTTTGGGTGCTTTGGAGAATAGCTTGACTCCCTCTTCTTTGTGGCAGCCCCTGAGATACTGGAACCCTACTATCATGTCCTCCCTTGTCCTTCTCTTTATTAGACTTGACATCCCCAATTCCAGCAACCGTTCCTCGTATGTTTTAGCCTCCAGTCCCCTAATCATCTTTGTTGCTCTTCTCTGTACTCTTTCTAGAGTCTCAACATCTTTTTTACATCATGGTGACCAAAACTGGATGCCGTATTCCAAGTGTGGCCTTACCAAGGCCTTGTAAAGTGGTATTAATACTTCACACGATCTTGATTCTGTCCCTCTGTTAATGCAGCCCAGCACTGTGTTGACTTTTTTGGCAGCTGCAGCACACGGCTGGCTCATATTTAAGAGATTGTCCACTAGGACTCTGAGGTCCCTCTTGGGAAGACTATACTTTGAATATTGCGACCAGTTTTGGTCACCACAATATAAAAAAAAAAATGTTGGGATTCTATAAAGTGCAGAGAAGAGCCGCAAAGATGATTGGGGGGGGGGGCTGGAAGATAAAACATACGAAGAACGAATTATTAGAAAATAAGAATATGATACTGTACTATTAATTGGTGGATGTAAGATGATGAGAATTCAAATAGATCAGACGTGTATCCTGAACATTAGATCTTGTGGTGAATTTTGTGATGAAGGGAATTGGGATTAATTAAAACTTGGAAATTATAAAGACCCAACATGAAATTTAAATATTAATGAGGAATTAAAAATTGGGAAAAACTAACCAGGACATTGTCTAAAAAAAAAAAGATCGAATGTTAAAACAACTAGGATATGTGTAAACAAAAATTATTGATAAATGCAAGAAAGTTATTTTTATTTAATCGATATAGTCAGAATTGTATTAATTTAAACATGAGACAGTAAATACCGAGGGGAAAAGAGAGGAAATATTTAATGTAATAGTTTGAGATCTGTACTAAAGATATTTGTATGTTATGGAATTATTGACCAACTCAGCCGCCACGTTGCTTTTCAAATATTTAAATGTGAAATTAGAAAATCAATAAAAAGTTTTTTTAAAAAACCCAAAACATACGAAGAACAGTTGCTGGAATTGGGTAGGTCTAGTTTAATGAAGAGAAGGACTAGGGGGGGACATGATAGCAGTCTTCCAGTATCTCAGGGGCTGCCCCAAAGAAGAGGGAGTCAAGCCATTCTCCAAAGCACTTGAAGGTAGAACAAGAACTAACCAAGGAGAGAAGCAACCTAGAACTAAGGAGAAATTTCCTGATAGGTAGAACAATTAATCAGTGGAACTACTTGCCTCCAGTTGTGGGTGTTCCAACACTAGAAGTTGTGGGTGTTCCAACACTAGAAGTTTTTAAGAAGAGACTGGACAACCATTTGTCTGAAATGGTAGAGGGTCTCCTGTCTCAGCAAGGGGTTGGACTAGATGATCTCCAAGGTCCCTTCCAACTTTGTGATTGTTAATTCTGATAAAGCCAGGATGATCTCAGTTTAAGCAGCCCCCTTGAGCTAAGCAAGGACTCTCTGGCCAGGGTTGCCACTCCCAAAAGGCCCAGCCAAGTGAGAATGATGGGAGTTGTAGTCCTTGCACATCTGAAAGGAGAAAGGAGGGTCTGAAGCCCATGTGCTACTGTGGTGTCGCTCTCGGCAGGCTCAGTTAACAACTGTGTTACTAATTTCACCACTGCAGAGATTCACTTTACAACTCTGGCAAAAAAGGGTCGTAAAATGGGGCAAAACTCACTTAAAAACCGCCTCAATTAGCAGACGGAAATTTGGGGCTCAAATTGTGGGCCGTCAGTTGAGGACCACCTGTAACCAGCGGAACAGACTGTTCCTAGAAGTTGTGGGTGCTGCATCGCTGGAGGCTTTTAAGAAGCGATTGGACAGCCATTTGGATGCTTGAGCGGTGGGTTGGACTAGAAGACCTTTAAGGTCCCCTTTGGACCCTGTGATTCTGTCAATTAAACAGCGGAAAGGTTTGCCTCAAGCAGTTGCGGATGCTCCGTCGCTGGAGGAGCTTTTAAAAAGGAATTTTGTCTCAAGTGAGATAGGCTCTCTAACTCGAGCAAGGGGTTGGACTAGAAGACCTCCCAAGGTCCCTTCCGACGCTAGCCTGCCTGCTCTGGGACGGAGGGCGCCGGTTGACGCTCCACCCTCCCCCGCCAGCCCTCCCTGCGCAGGCTACAGTTGAGTCCGCGCCCGCCCCGCTCTTATTATGCAGTCGGAACGCCGCCTCCCGATTGGCCCGTCCGGCCAGCCAATGAGCGCGCCGCGGAGCCTCCCGGCGGCAGCGCCCGGGTCCACGTGCGCGCGGGCTGTGTCAGCGGGGCCGAGTGACATCAGCGGCTGGAGGCCAAGCGCTGCCCGTCGCTCCGCCTCGCTTCGGATTATACAATGCACCGCCCGGCCGGAGCCAGAGGCATTTGAGTCGACAAGGCGAGCCCCGCTGGTCCTCCGCTTACCGCGGCTCTCCCTCTCCGCTGCGCTCGAGAAATCTAGCCGCCCTGCAGCCCGCCCGTCCGCCTGCCTGCCGCCCTCGACCGCCGGGAAGAATGCCCGTGGTCAGCGAGGGAGCTACCGCCAACTGGTCGCGCGGAGCCGGCGAGCAGTTCGCTCCAGCCCAGGCCTGCGTCGGTTAAGCCAGCGTCCCCCGGACAGGGAAGGATCGCTCCCCTACAGCCCAGCCCTGTCCCGTGAGTAACCCCCCTCCCCCGCACACACACACGCACCGCTTTCCGATTGGGCGTGCAAGGAAGCGCGCGTGCAAGAAGCGGAGGGGGCGTGCAATCGAGCCTTGGGGAGGGGGCTTCCGGGGGGTGCAAGGAAGTGCGCGTGCAAGAAGCGGAGGGGGCGTGCAGTCGAGCCTTTGGGGAGGGGGCTTCCAGAGGGGGTGCAAGGAAGTGCGCGTGCAAGAAGCGGAGGGGGCGTCTAACGGAGCTTTTGGGGAGGGGGCTTCCGGAGGTGCAAGAAGCGGAGGGGCGTGCATTGGAGCCTTTGGGGAGAGGGTTTCCAGGGGGTGCAAGAAGGTGAGTATGCAAGAAGCGGAGGGGGTGTGCAACGGAGCCTTCGGGGAGGGGGCTTCCGGGGGTGTGCGAGACTGCGCGTGCAAGGAAGTGGGTGGGCAGGGAAGCGCGCGTGAAAAGGAGCGGAGGGGACGTGCAGTGGAGCCTTTGGGGGCTTCCTGGGGGGGGTGCAAGGAAGTGCGCCTGCAAGAAGCGGAGGGGGCGTGCAACGGAGCCTTCGGGGAGGGGGCTTCCGGGGGGGGGTACAAGAAAGTGCGCGTGCAGGGAAGCGGGTGCGCAGGGAAGCGCGCGTGAAAAGAAGCGAAGGGGGCGTGCAATGGAGCCTTTTGGGGAGGGGGGTTATGGGGGGTCCAAGAAAGTGCGCGTGAAAAGAAGCGGAGGGGGCGTGCAATGGAGCCTTTGGGGAGGGGGGCTTATAGGGGGTGCAAGAAAGTGCGCGTGAAAAGAAGCGGAGGGGCGTGCAATGGAGCCTTTGGGGAGGGGGCTTATTGGGGGTGCAAGAAAGTGCGCGTGAAAAGAAGCGGAGGGGGCGTGCAATGGAGCCTTTGGGGAGGCGGCTTCTTGGGGTGCAAGAAAGTGCGCGTGCAGGGAAGTGGGTGCGCAGGGAAGCGCGCGTGAAAAGGAGCGGAGGGGGCGTGCAATGGAGCCTTTTGGGGAGGGGGCTTCCAGGCCTGGCTGGCTGGAGAGCTCCGACCCCGCCTAGGGGGGCTCCGGAGCGGCGGCGGCCGTGCCTGGCAGCCCTGCTCCGGCGATCACGTGGGCCGGGCTGGGAACAAGATGTTCTCTCTCCGGCGAAGCGCTTTCGTAATCCCTCTGGCTCGGCTCGGCCCGGCCCGGGGGTGGAGGGAGGGAGGGAAGGAAGGCGGGAGGGCGGCGCTGCGAAGCACCCGTCTCGGCCATGTGCGGCAGGCGGTGGAGGCGGAGGGGAGCGTCTCTTTCCCTGTTGCAAGGCGGAGCTTGGCTGGAAACCGGGGGGGGGGGTTCCTTCTTCCGGGAGGGTCTGCTTGGCCTCGAGGAGACCCCGCCGAGCCGGAGAAAGGTGCAGGCGAGCTGCCGGTCCAGTTTCCCTTTCGCTTTGCTTTCTTTTCATGTGGGGGAGGGGGCGAAGTCGGAAAGGAAAAGGGGGAGGGAGAAACGGAGCGCTGCTTCAGACGGGCCCTTTGTCCTGGATGGGATAACGAAGGGGGTGGACTAGAAGACCTCGAAGGGCCCTTTCTGCCCTAGGATTCTATGGAAGGGCAAAACTGGCGTGGGAAGGGGTTGGGGTGGAATGTTTTGGTGTGTGTGTGTCTCCCCTCCCCCTTGAAGGCAGCCTGCCCACCTCTTAAGATACTGGGTGTTTTTTTTTTTTCAATCTGGCCACTTTGAAGAGGGGGGGGGTTTCAACTCCCAGGATCCCCCAGGCAGCTCTGTCCCCAGGGCGATTCTGGGAGTTGAAGTCCACCCCTCTGAAAAGTTGGCTGTTGCTGAGAAAAGGTGTGTCAGGCTGTCTCTTTCTCTTTTCTCTCTCTGTCTTTTCTCTCTTTCTCTCCTTTTTCTCTTTTCTCTCTTTCTCCTCTCCTTTCTCTCTCCCTTCCTTTCTCCCCCTTTCCTTTCTCTCCCTCCCTCTCTCTTTTCCCCCCTGTCCTCTCTCCCTTTCCCTCTCTTTCTCTCCCCCTTTCTCTCTTTCTCTCTCTTTCTCTCTCTCTCCCCCCCCACCGGAGATTTGATAAGGAGGACATATTTATTTTTTATTGTTGTGCAAGTTGCCGGAGTTGTTGTCGGTTGTAAAACAGAAAATGGGTTCTTTACCCAGCTGCCACTTACAGTAAACACACACACACACACACACACACACACACACCCCAAAAACCCCCTCTTATTTCCTTTTATAGAATTTCCTGTTCTGAAAAGTATACACTGTGCTAATAAAAGGTTTGTTGTGTCATCTTTGCAGCTTGCAGCTTGTGAGTTACCAACCGTCCTCGGCACCGCACCACCTACACGTATCGCTAGGCAGAGTGTACTTTTTTCTCTCTCTCTCCCCCCCTAGAGTCCCCAAAGGGAGGGGCATACAACAGGGCTCATGCTCCCCAGCTGCAAGGCCTTGCTGGGGAGGATGGTGTTTTGGGCGCCCCTTCTGGCAGCTTTGCCAAGATTTGCTGACGGTTTGGCAACTGTAGGTGGCTGAAAAAGGCAGGGAGAGGGTTGTTTCGTTGTGAGTTGGCAGTGCGGTGTTTCGGTTGTGTTGTGTTATTTTTTCCCTCTCCCGTTTGGCTGGAGAGGAGCAAGGGAAGAAGGCCCTGCTTCTTGTTTGCAGTGCTAAAGATCGGTTGGATGTGAGTCTGCTTTCAGAAACCGGCTTTTGTTTATCAATATTTGAAGTCCTTCCAAATTATAGACAAGTTTGAATCTCTAAAGGCAACCTTGGGAAATTTAAGACACATGTGGACTTCAGCTCCCAGAATTCCCCAGCCAGCTGAATTCTGGGAGTTGAAGTCCACATATGTCTTAAAATTGGCATTGCTGACAAGCCCCAAAGAAGAAACAAAGGGTATAGACCAGGGGTCTTCAAACCTGGCCCTTCGTTGACTTGTAGACTTCAACTCCCACAATTCCTCAGCCAGTGTGAGGGAACTATGACCCTTTTATGACTTGTGGACTTCAACTCCCACAATTCCTCAGCCAGCGTGAGGGAACTATGACCCTGTTATGACTTGTGGACTTCAACTCCCAGAATTCCTCAGCCAGCGTGAGGGAACTATGACCCTTTTATGACTTGTGGACTTCAACTCCCAGAATTCCTCAGCCAGCGTGAGGGAACTATGACCCTTTTATGACTTGTAGACTTCAACTCCCACAATTCCTCAGCCAGTGTGAGGGAACTATGACTCTTATGTCTTGTGGACTTAAACTCCCAGAATTCCTCAGCCAGCGTGAGGGAACTATGACCCTTTTATGACTTGTGGACTTCAACTCCCAGAATTCCTCAGCCAGCGTGAGGGAACTATGACCCTTTTATGACTTGTGGACTTCAACTCCCAGAATCCTCAGCCAGCATGCCTAGCTGAGGAATTCTGGGAATTGAAATCCACAAGCAGGGGTCTTCAAAATTGGCTCTTTGATGACTTGTGGACTTCAACTCCCAGAATTCCTCAGCCAGTACGAGGGAACTATGACCCTTTTATGACTTGTGGACTTCAACTCCCAGAATTCCTCAGCCAGCGTGAGGGAACTATGACCCTTTTATGACTTGTAGACTTCAACTCCCACAATTCCTCAGCCAGCGTGAGGGAACTACGACCCTTTTATGACTTGTGGACTTCAACTCCCAGAATTCCTCAGCCAGCATGCCTAGCTGAGGAATTCTGGGAGTTGAAATCCACAAGCAGGGGTCTTCAAAATTGGCTCTTTGATGACTTGTGGACTTCAACTCCCAGAATTCCTCAGCCAGTACGAGGGAACTATGACCCTTTTATGACTTGTGGACTTCAACTCCCAGAATTCCTAAGCCTAACGAATGCGGTAAAACTAGTCCAGTCGCGGGATCGCTCAGCCTCACTTAGTGGCTAAAATGACAGCCCTGGCGCTGTCGTAAAGTGGAGGACCCTCTGCCTTAGCCTTGCTTCAAGCTGAAGGCGGAAAAACTGGGTTCGATCAAAACCTGAGCTGGTCCCAACCCACGTCGGCCTGTAAATTTAACTCTGGGAATTACAGTGCTGTGCGCCTGGAAGCTGGATCCAGTATCAGCCAGCTCCTGAATCATCACTGCGAGTTTTACTTTGCTTAGTAAGAACTGGAAATTAAAAATGAAGTCATTGAATGCATCGGCAACGGAATGAGGGACGCTCCCATAAATCCTTTTAAAAATACAATTTCATCTCAAGAATGAAATTGTATTCATTTCATCACATTTTTCTCTAGTCAGGCTTCTGAATAGGGTGGTGATAAAGATAAATCCTCAATTTATATTTATTTACTTACTTACCTGTAGTAGGCGACGATCAGGAACTCCTATACCTTTTTACTAACTGACACGTAGTTTTTAACTTAACTTACCTTTATTTACAAGCAGTCCTCGGCTTAAAGGCCACAGTTGAGCCCAACATTTCCGTGGCTAAGCGAGGCCATTGTTAAAATGAATTTTGCCCCGTTTCTATGACCTTTTTCCCCACGATTCTTTTTAAGTTGTTAAGGGAGTCACACGGCTGTTAAGTGAACTCGGCTTCCCCCGTTGACTTCTCTTGTGAGACAGTCGCAAAAAGGGGATCACGTGATCCTGGGAGACACTGGCCCCGTCGTAAACGCGAGTCGTCTGAACTTAGACCAACAGTCGTATGAAAAACATTCTTAAATCTTTTTTTTTTCCTTTTTTCCCCCCAGTGCTGTCGTAACTTTGACCGGTCGCTAAACGGACGGTAAGTTGAGGACTGTCTGAATTTATTTATCTGTCCAATTGATCAAAATTTATTGGCGGCACAATCTTGCGATTTGTTTGTTTCGACCCCGGGAGTTGACGTCCACCCATCTTTAAAAAGTTCCCCAGGTTTTAGCAGCATTGCGAAAATAAGAGAGGTCCTACGGGCTCGCCTTTGGCCTTAGCAATGCAAGGAACCCCATTGGTCGGGGAATTGGGTTAAAGAGGAAAGGGCACCAAGTGGTGATCTTTCTGCAAAAGGATCTCATTCTGTTGTTTCTTCTAACTTTGTGGATTTTGGTTTTTTTTTGTTGTTGTTGTTTCACACTCTTGTAGGTCTTCGCGGATGAAATGTTTGCCCTCCAGTAAGGCCGATTCGGCCCCCGACGAAGAAGGAGGTTCCAATTCTGCCGGCAAGCTCTTCTCTCTCCCCCCCCCCTCCGGAATTTATAGCATTTAGCGCCTGGCCGGTTATTTCTCCAAGGCCAGGCCCATGTTCCCTAAGCAGGCATGAGCGCTGGTTGCGAATCCAGCCCGACCAGCGGGGGCGGGAGCAGCAGCGGCAGCTCCGGCGCCCCCCGCAGGACCCGTGCGCCCCGTGCGAGCGACGCCCAGGGCCAAGCCACCGACGACATGGACGTCAACAGCAACGGCTCCAGCGGCAACGAATCGCACGGCGATTCGCACAGCAGCTCACACAGCAGCGGCAACGGGAAGGACTCGGCTCTTTTGGAGACCACCGAGAGCAATAAGAGGTAACGGAGGGAAGCAAGTCCTCGGCTTACGACCAGATTTTCCGTTGCTAAGTGAGACGGTTCTTAAGCGAGTCGTCGCGTCCGATTTGACAACCTTGGATTTTTTTTCGATTTTTTTTTTTTTTTTTTTTTTTTTGCCATGATGGTTAAGCCAATCCCGGAGGTTAAGTGAATCGTGCGGTCATTAAGGGAATCGGCTTGCCCCATGGACTTTGCTCGACGGAAGCTGGTTGGGGCATGATGTCACCAATTGGTGGTCACGTGACCGCCAGACAACGCCACCCTTGTAAAATACACGCTGGTCACCCAAGTGCCTCAGTTTTGATCGCGTGACTCTAAGGGAATGCTGCAACGGTCGTAAAGCGAGGACTGGTCGTTAAGTCATTTTTTTTAGCGCTGTTGTAAGTTTGAACGGTCACTTAAATGAGGTGTTGTAAGTTTGTGTGTGTTTGTGTGTGTGTGACGTGACCTACATGTGGACTCACTTAACGACCGTGTGACTCGCTTAGCGACCGTGGCAAAAAATAGCCGTAAAACCAGGCAGAGTCGTGGGATGACTCATTTAGCCTTACTTAGCGAGGGAAGCTCTGCTTCCAATTGTCGTAAGTCGAGGACCGCCTCGGTGGGGGGAAGTGCGGCAACGAACTTCAGGATATCCGCATACAGGATTGCTTTTTCCCCCCAAGATCTAAACCACCCCCCCCCCCCACTCTTCCCCATCTCTCCCCAGCTCCAACTCGCAGAGCTTGTCCCCGGCCAGCAGCTCCATCGCCTACAGCCTCCTCAGTGCCAGCTCGGAGCAAGACAACCCCTCCACCAGTGGCTGCAGGTAAGTGGGATGGACAGGTGAGGCCTCCCCTGGTGTGGAGGACGGACCTGCAGGAGCATAACCCAAGTCTTGAGGATGGGCGAGAAAAATTTGTTGTTGTTGTTGTTGTTGTTGTTAACCCAAGTCTTGAGGATGGGCGAGAAAAATTTGTTGTTGTTGTTGTTGTTGTTAACCCAAGTCTTGAGGATGGGCGAGAAAAATTTGTTGTTGTTGTTGTTGTTGTTATTATTATTATTATTATATTTATATTTATACCCATTCCATATTTTCTCTATTGTATTCTATTCTTATTTTTATTCTTATTTATTCTTATTCTATTTTATTCCATTCTATTATTCTATTCTTGTTCTTATTCTATTCTTATTCTATTTTTTCTTCTTCCTCCTCTTTTTCTTCTTCTTTCTTATTTTTCTTCTTCTATTATTATATTATTATTATACTATTATTATACTATAATTATTATATTTATTCCATTCCATATTTTCTCTGTTTTATTCTTATTTTTATTCTTCTTATTCTTATTTATTCTTATTCTATTTATTCTATTTATTCCATTCCATTCCATATTTTCTCTATTCTGTTCTATTCTTATTTTTATTCTTCTTATTCTTATTTATTCTTATTCTTATTCTATTCATAATATTTATTCCATTCCATTCCATATTTTCTCTATTCTATTCTATTATTCTTGTTCTTATTTATTCTTATTATTCTATTTTATTCCATTCCATTATTCTATTCTATTCTTTTATTCTTATTCTTATTTATTCTCATTCTTATTCTATTCTTATTCTATTTTATTCCATTCCATAATTCTATTCTATTCTATTCTATTCTATTCTATTCTATTCTATTCTATTCTATTCTATTCTATTCTATTCTATTCTATTCTATTCCATTCCACTCCACTCCACTCCACTCCATTCCATTCCATTCCATTCCATTCCATTCCATTCCATTCCATTCTATTCTATTCTATTCTATTCTATTCTATTCTATTCCCTATTTTATTATTCTATTCTATTCATTTCTATTCTTATTCCGTTCCTGTGTGCGTGAATGTGCCAGAGGAAGGGGGGGGGGTTTCAACCATCCTGGGCGAGCCCTTTGCAGAAATTTTGCAATCCGGGGAGGCGCCTGCCTTGACCGGCCTCTCGTTCTTCGCCCCCTGCAGCAGTGAGCAGTCGGCCCGCGTGAAGACGCAGAAGGAGCTCATGAAGGCGCTCAAAGAGATGAAGATCCGTCTACCCTCCGAGAAACGCAGCCAGGGGAAGTCAGGCACCCTGGCCACCCTCCAGTATGCCCTCTCCTGCGTCAAGCAGGTCCAAGGTGGGTCCTTCGCGCTTCGGCCAGGGGGGCACAGGCGGCTGCATTTAGAAAGAATTGGCACAGCCTGAACAATCTTATTTATTTTTTTCTCCTTGCACGGGGCAGAATGCTCCAATCTTAAGGGCTTTTCAGCCTGGGGCTGCTTTAAGATGTGGGGAGACTTCAATTCCCAGAATTCCCCAGCCATATTTCTGGGCATTGAAACCCAGCCTGTTTAAAACACACCAGCTGGGGAATTCTGGGAGTTGAAGCCCACCCAAAGCACGTGGGCTGGAGAATTTTGGGCGCTTCAGACAATTCCCAGCATGCTTTCATCTGAAGTCTGCCCAGTTTAAAGCAGGCTGGCTGGGGAATTCTGGGAGTTGAAGTCCACCCAGCTTAAAGCATTCTGGCTGGGGGATTTTGTGAGCTGAAGTCTGCTCAAATTAAAGCATCCTGCCCAGGGAATTCTGGGAGTTGAAGTCCACCCATTATAAAGCATGCTGGCTGGGGAATTCTGGGAGTTGAACTCCACCCAGCTTAAAGCATTCTGGCTGGGGAATTTTGTGAGCTGCTCAAATTAAAGCATCCTGCCCAGGGAATTCTGGGAGTTGAAGTCCACCCATTATAAAGCATGCTGGCTGGGGAATTCTGGGAGTTGAACTCCACCCAGCTTAAAGCATTCTGGCTGGGGAATTTTGTGAGCTGCTCAAATTAAAGCATTCTGCCCAGGGAATTCTGGGAGTTGAAGTCCACCCATCTTAAAGCATCCTGCCCAGGGAATTCTGGGAGTTGAAGTCCACCCATTATAAAGCAGGCTGGCTGGGGAATTCTGGGAGTTGAACTCCACCCATCTTAAAGCATTCTGGCTGGGGAATTCTGGGAGTTGAACTCCACCTTGTTTAAAGCAGGCTGGCTGAAGAATTCTGGGAGTTGAAGTCCAGCCATCTTGAAGTTGCCCCGGTTGAGACACACTCCGCCCTCCCTGAGTGAGCCACAACCTCACACCACAAGGGCCTTGTGTCCTGCTGCTTTGAGGGGCTCCCCCAGTGTGGAGGATGGGTTATTTTCTCCTTGGAAAATGGAGTTTCAGGCCGGCTGCGGCAGATGGTCAATAGCGAGACAGGCAGCCCTACCAATATAATAAACCAACATTCTCAGGCTGATCGACGCTTCCTGTTCTTTCCCGCCGTTTAGCAAGCCAGGATTACTATCAGCAGTGGAGCATCGATGACAGCCAGGCCTGCAGCCTGGATATGTCCACATACACCATCGAGGAGCTGGAGAACATCACATCGGAATACACCCTCAAAAACCCCGTGAGTGGCGCTGCCTCGCGCTTTGTCCTCCAGCACAGGTAGTCCTCGACTTACAACGGCCCGCTGAGCATCTGTTCAAAATCCCAACAGCGCTGAAAAGAGGGGCTGACGGCCGTTTTTCACACTTAACGACCGTCGTGGTATCCCCCTGGTCACGTGATCAAAATTCGGACGCGGGGCGAAATCGATTCATATTTATGACGCTTATAGCGTCCTTTTGTGGCCGCCTGACCAACAAAGTCAATGGGGGAAGCCGGACTCGCTTAACGACTGCGAGGATTCCCTTAACGACTGCCGCAGCCGTTCATTTAGCGACACATCCCTTAGTGGCGGACGTTTTGGTCCTAATTCTGCTCATAAGTCGAGGACTCCCTGAGGTAAACATCATCTGAAAGGCTTCTCCGAACCTCTCCTGAGGCATTCGGGAGATAATCCTGTCCATGCCACCATCTTTGAGGATTGCTGGTGTGAATCCAGAACTGGGGACTCACAGCCACAGCATGGATGCCGTTGAGGACAGTGTAGCTATCTCCCAAGTTTGCTGCAGGCCCAAAATGAAGGATTTCTTCTCGTTTTGAGGTCAAGTCTTGATGATGGCTACGTCCTCGGATCAGGACTAGGGTTTGGGGCTGATAGGTTCCTGCGTCTTAATGGATACTCATAGCTTCTAACTATGTTGGGCACCAATCCCATCAGCTAGCTTAGACTCTACTAGGAACTGTTCATCTTGAGTCCCCACTCCATGTTTCTGGTGGGGACCGACCTTGGTGACTTTACGACTTGTGGACTTCAACTCCCAGAATCCCTCAGCCAGCAGGAGCGTCTCCCCTAGCTCAACCGTGGCTGAGGGATTCTGGGAGTTGAAGTCCACAAGTTGTCCAATGGCCAAGATTTCCAGGGAGCGTCTCCCCTAGCTCAACCGTGGCTGAGGGATTCTGGGAGTTGAAGTCCACAAGTCGTAAAGTCACCATGATTGTTCTAGGGAGCGTCTCCCACAGCTCAACCCTGGCTGAGGAATTCTGGGAGTTGAAGTCCACAAAGTCGTAAAGTCACCAAGATTGTTGTAGGGAGCATCTCCCACAGCTCAACCCTGGCTGAGAAATTCTGGGAGTTGAAGTCCACAAAGTCGTAAAGTCACCAAGATTGTTCTAGGGAGTGTCTCCCACAGCTCAACCCTGGCTGAGGAATTCTGGGAGTTGAAGTCCACAAGTCGTAAAGTCACCAAGATTGTTCTAGGGAGCGTCTCCCACAGCTCAACCCTGGCTGAGGAATTCTGGGAGTTGAAGTCCACAAGTTGTAAAGTCACCAGGATTGTTCTAGGGAGCGTCTCTATATAGCTCAACCCTGGCTGAGGGATTCTGGGAGTTGAAGTCCACAAAGTCGTCAAATGGCCATGTTCTAGGGAGCGTCTCCCATAACTCAACCCTTCCTGTTCTCTTCTGTTTTGCAAAAAAAACCAAAACAAAACCAGGATACCTTCACGGTCGCCGTGTCCTTCACCACGGGCAGAATCCTCTACATCTCGGACCAGGCGGCCTTCATCCTCCGTTGCAAGAAAGAGGTCTTCAAGGGGGCGAAGTTTGCAGAGTTCTTGGACCCCCAAGACGTCAGCATCTTCTACGGCTCCACAGCTCCCTATCACCTGCCGTCCTGGAGCGCCTGCCCCTCTGCCAGTAAGCGGGGGATGGTGGTGAGCTTGGTGTGGGTGGGTGGGGGGCTTCGGCCTCGGCACCGTTGCTCTTGAGAGACGGGCAGGAGGGACCGGAGAGACGATGGACCCGTGAGTCCTCCTTTTTATGGTGTTTGGATCCGAGAGCTCTAGGAGAGTTGGATCAGATTAGTAAGGAAGAAACTGGGAATTCTAGTTCTGCCCTAGCCACAAAATCCGGCTGGGTGGCTTTGGGCCCGTCACCAAGAGACTCTGTTCTAGTCCCACCTTAGGCATGAGTGCCATCTGGGTGAGCTTGCAGCCAATCACCAGGAGGCGGTGAGTTCTAGTTCCATCTTAGGTATGAAAGCCAGTTGGGTGACTTTAGGCCAATCACCAGGAGACTGGGAATTCTAGTTCCATCTTAAGCATGAAAGCCATCTGGGTGACTTTGGGCCAATCACCAGGAGACTGGGAGTTCTAATCCCGCCTTAGGCATGAAAGCCAGCTGGGTGACTTTGAGCCAATCATCAGGAGACTGGGAGTTTTAATCCTGCCTTAGGTATGAACGCCAACTGGGTGACTTTGGGCCAATCACCAGCAGACTGGGAGTTCTAATCCCGCTTTAGGCATGAAAGCCAGCAGGATGATTTTGGGCCAACCAATCACCAGGAGACTGGGAGTTGTAGTCCCGCCTTAGGCATGAAAGCCAGCTGGGTGACTTTGGGCCAATCACCAGGAGACTGGGAGTTGTAGTCCCGCCTTAGGCATGAAAGCCAGCTGGGTGACTTTGAGCCAATCACCAGGAGACTGGGAATTCTAGTCCCGCCTTAGGCATGAATGCCAGCTGGGTGACTTTGGGCCAATCACCAGGAGACTGGGAGTTGTAGTCCCGCCTTAGGCATGAAAGCCAGCTGGGTGAGCTTGGGCCAATCATTCTCTTTCAGCCCAACCTACCTCACAGGGCTGTTGTGGGGAAAACAGGAGAAGGATGGCGTATTAGCTACTTTCACTGCCTTGGAATTCTCCCTCAAACTAACCAAAGCAATATTTTAAAATATTTTTTTTTAAAAAAAAAAATCTAAATCCTGTCGGATTTGACGCCCTCCGCCTTAAAAAGCTGCTGGTCGGGTGAGACTCGAGGGCCGAGTGCGAGATTCTGGAAAAGCCCTTTTTTTTTTTTTTTGCTTGTCGGACGAGACTCGAGTCCCGAGTGCCAGATTCTGGAAAAAAAAAAAGGCCATTTGTTGACCGCCGGCCGCACTTTTTTCTTCTTCTCCCTTTCTTTAAACTGCAGCCGCCATGGACTACACCCAAGAGAAGTCCGTCTTCTGCCGCATCAGGTGAGCCGGGTCTCCTGGCATGATTTGAACTCGGCCCTCGGGCCGAAAATATCCCTTCTCCTCTCCTGCCCCAATCATCTTTCAGGTCCAAAGGCCCGGCCTTACGGTCTGGCTAACGGGAGGGGGAGAATAAAAGAGTCGGGAAGAGATTCCCAGAATCCCCCTGAGGAGGGAGGGAGGGAGGGAAGATGGCGGAAGAGGCTGGACCCTCCCCTCTCTTGCTCCTCCTGGTTTCCTTTGGCCTTTGACCTTACTGCAGTCGTTTGTTTCTCAGCGGTGGGCACGCCGGAGCGCGCGAGATGCGCTACTACCCCTTCCGGCTGACCCCTTACCTGACCAAGGTGCGCGATTCGGATAGCGACCAAGGGCAGCCCTGCTGCTTACTCATTGCAGAGCGCATCCACTCGGGCTACGAAGGTGAGGGGGGCCTGGGGGGGCAGCACGTTGGGGAGGGGGCACAGGGGAGCCACGCCCGCACCTTGGTCTTCCCGGCAGGGGTGGCGTGAAGAGGTCCCGTCCCCAGGGCTGGCGCGCCCGGTTTCTCTTGACTTTCCGGGGAATCCCGTTTTACTAGTTGGAAGCCAGCCCCTCCCGGATCGACCGGGTGGATCTGGGTGGATCTCAAGAGACTCTGCCCAGTTTTGAAAGTCTTTTATTTTCTTTTATTTTAACGTTGGCTGGTTTTCAAATTTTTTTTTAAATTTGGCTCGTTTTAAACTTTTACGAACGGCTTTCCTGTTGGTCTTTTCTCCTTTTGCCCGTCTGCAAGCCACCCAGAGTGGCCCTATCTAGGAATTGGGTGGCATAGAGAAGGAAGGAAGGAAGGAAGGAAGGAAGGAAGGAAGGAAGGAAGGAAGGAAGGAAGATAGATGAGGAAGGCAATGGGAATGAGAAGGAAAGAGGGAGAAGAAGGAAGGAAGGAAGGAAGGACGGACAAAGGGATGATGGGAGAGGGAGGAAGGAAAAACAGGATGATAATGAGTGGGGAAGGAAGAAGGAAGGAAAGAAGGAAGGTGAAGGGGAGAATGGGAGGGAAGACAAAAGATGAAGAGAGGGAGCTAAGGAGGGAGAAAGGGAAAGAAAAGAGGGAGGGAAGAAGGAAGGTGAAGGATGGGAGGAAAAGGGAGCGAAGAAAGGGAAGGAAGGAAGGTGAAGGAGAATGGGTGGGAGGAAAAGAGGGAGGGAAGGAAGGAAGGTGAAGGAGAATGGGAGGAAAAGAAGGAAGGAAAAAGGGAGGGAGCGAAGGAAGGGATGGAAGGAAGAGAAGGAAGGAAGGTGAAGGAGAATGGGAGGAAAAGGAAGGAAAAGGGAGGGAGGGAGCGAAAAGGGATGGAAGGAAGGTGAAGGAGAATGGGAGGGAGGAAGAGGGAGGGAGCGAAGGAAGGGATGGAAGGAAGAGAGGGAAGGAAGATGAAGGAGAATGGGAGGAAAAGAAGGGAGGGAGGGAGCGAAGGAAGGGATGGAAGGAAGAGAGGGAAGGAAGATGAAGGAGAATGGGAGGAAAAGAAGGGAGGGAGGGAGCGAAGGAAGGGAAGGAAGGAAAGTGAAGGAGAATGGGTGGGAGGAAAAGCGGAGGCAAGGAAAAGGGAGGGAGTGAGCAAAGGAAGGGATGGAAGGAAGAGAAGGAAGGAAGGTGAAGGAGTGGGAAGGAAGGAAGGTGAAGGAGAATGGGAGGAAAAGAAGGAAGGACAAGGGAGGGAGGGAGCGAAGGGATGGAAGGAAGGAAGGTGAAGGAGAATGGGAGGGAGGAAAAGGGAAGAGGGGGGGAGCGAAGGAGGGAGGGAGGGAGGGAAGGAAGGCTGTACCCCCCCCCAGGAGCCTCAGTGCAGGCAGAGCATATAAGAACGCAAAACGAAAGGCTCCAGATTTAAAAGAAAGACACGTATTAATCTTTCCTTGCATGCAGAAAACCAGCAGCTCTAGGAGAAAAGGGATCCACCCTCTCCCTGACAACGCTGCCTTTTTAACATGCACGGAATTCTCTTTTTGTTGTTGTGTTTCTTTTTTCTTTTTTTAAAAAAAAGCAATTTCCAAGTTGCGTGTGGGATAGACCCAACACACAACTTTTTTTCAGGAGCAAAAAACAAACAAACAAACAAAACTCTCCAGGAGAGCAGGGGGAAAAGCCGCCAATGGGAAAAGCCGGCAGGTTTCGCACACAGAGCGGGATGGGGGGGGGCGCGCCTGGAGCGAATTGCCTTCATTGTGCCTTTTTTTAAAATTTATTTCTCACCTCCAGCCCCCAGGATTCCCCCCGATAAACGAATCTTCACCACCAGACACACCCCCAGCTGCTTGTTCCAGGACGTGGATGAGCGGTAAGGGGGGGGGAGCAGCAGTGGGGGTTGGGGGTCCTGGGGGGGGGCTCCCTGGGGTCTCTGATCCACGTTTCCTGATAGAAAGGGAGTGGGGGGGGAGTTGGTCAATTATCTTGGGAGGGTGGGTCTCCCTTTGCTAGTTTTACAGGCTATAGACCAGTGGTTCTCAACCTGTGGGTCGGGACCCCATTTGGGGTCGAACGACCATTTCACGGGGGTCGCCAAACAACGCAGTCCGCCATTTTTTCCCCCTTTTCCTTAGCTGTGCTACTCCCTTTTATTCTATTGGCTTTTGAAAGCCAATAGAATAGACTCTCTTGAATAGAGTCTAATTCTATTGGCTTTCAAAAGCCAATAGGAATTGTCCAGGCTGTCTCTGCCCTGCTGAGCCCGCCAAAAGTCCCATTCTGCAAACGGTGCTGCGCCAGTTGAGTAGTCCTCGACTTACGACCGGTTGAATAGTCCTTGACTTACGACCGGTTGGGGGTCGTGGCATTAAAAAGGTTGAGAACCACTGCTATAGATAGTCCTCGGCTTACGACTGGTCGCTTAGTAGTTTGGTTTAGTGGTTAAGGCACGAGGCTAGGAATCAGGAGACGGCGAGTTCTAGTCCTGCCTTATCCATGAAAGCCAGCAGGGTGACTTTGGGCCATTCACCAGGAGACGGGGAGTTCTAGTCCCGCCTTAGGCCTGACAACTGACAGGGTGACTTTGGGCCAATCGCCAGGAGACTGGGAGTTCTAGTCCCGCCTTGGGCATGAGAGTCCGCTGGGTGACTTTGGGCCAATCACCAGGAGACTGGGAGTTCTAGTCCCGCCTTAGGCATAAATGTCAGCTGGGTGACTTTGGGCCAATCACCAGGAGACAGTGAGTTCTAGTCCTGCCTTATCCATGAAAGCCAGCTGGGTGACTTTGGGCCATTTACCAGGAGACGGGGAGTTCTAGTCCCGCCTTAGGCCTGAAAACCAACAGGGTGACTTTGGGCCAATCACCAGGAGACTGGGAGTCCTAGTCCAGCCTTAGGCATAAAAGCCAGCTGGGTGACTTTGGGCCAATCACCAGGAGACGGGGAGTTCTAGTCCCGCCTTAGGCATAAATGTCAGCTGGGTGACTTTGGGCCAATCACCAGGAGACTGGGAGTTCTAGTCCCGCCTTAGGCATGAGAGTCGGCTGGGTGACTTTGGGCCAATCACAGCAGTCTTGGGGGTCTCTGTTCAGCTGCCTCTTGCCTGCATCCAGAGAGGCCACTTTCGGTCCTCGGATACCGACCAGTCCCCCTGACCGCCGCCTCTTTTCTCCTTCTCAGAGCCGCCCCCCTACTTGGCTACCTCCCCCAAGATTTGGTTGGGACCCCTGTCCTTTTCTACCTGCACCCTGAGGACCGGCCCCTTATGCTGGCCATACACAAGAAAAGTAAGTATGGAACAAACAAGCACAGCGTGCAGCTGTGTTTTTTTTTTTTAAATTCAATTATGAGTTAGTCCTTGACTTACGACCCTCCCTTTAGCAACCTTTCAAAGTTAGAACCATGCTGGGGGGGGGGAATTGAATCACAACTGGTCCTCACATTTATGACCGGTGCTCGCAGTTACGACCGTTGCCGCATCCCCACAGTCCTGGGAGTGCTTGGTAGCCAGCATGCATTTAACAACGGTTGTGGCAACCCTGGAGTCGTTTTGTCACCTTCATTTGTCATCTGTTCTGCTTGAGCAGGGGGCTGGACTAGAAGACCTCCAAGGTCCCTTCCAGCTCCTATATTCTATTTCTATTCTATTTCTATATTCTATTCTATTTTTTATTCTATTCTATTTTTATTTTATCCTATTTCTATTCTATTCCAGTCTAGTCTAGTCCTATTCTATTTTTATGTTTATTCTATTCTATTCTATTTTATGTTCTATTCTATTATATTCTGATTTCATTCTATTTTTATTCTTATTATATTTTATTCTTATTCTATTCTGTTCTATTCTATTGTATTCCTTATTTTATTCTATTCTTACTCTATTTTTATTCTATTCTATTTTCTTTTCTATTTTTCTATTCTTTTTCTATTTTTCTATTCTATTCCATTCTATTCTATTCTTACTCTATTCTTATTTTATACTTTTTCTTTTCTATTCTTTTCTATTCTATTCTATTCTCATTCTATTTTTCCATTCCATTCTTATTCTTGTTCTATTTCCATTCTATCATATGCTATCCTATCCTATCCCATCCCATCCCATCCCATCCCATCCCATCCTATCCTATCCTATCCTATCTTATCCTATCCTATCCTATCCTATCCTATCCTATCCTATCCTATCCTATCCTATCCTATATTTTATTATTCTACTCTTCTGTTCTATATTCTATTCTGTTCTATTCTGTTCTGTTGTTCCCTATTCTATTCCATTCCATTCCATTCCATTATTATTTGGACAAGCAAAGTCTGCCCGATTCGCTTAACGACCGTCTGATTCGCTTAACCCCCGCAGCCCTTTACTTACTAACCCTGGCAACAAAATGCTTTCCGAATCATGCACCGGTCTCTTAAAAAAAAAACCGCCTCGCTCAGCAACGGAAAGCCTGGATTCCCGTCGTCGTAAGTCGAGGACCCCCTGCGCCCGCTTAAATTTCGGGGACGCTGGGCCTAGTGGGTCACCACCGCTGCGGTTCGCCCTGACCCCTTCCCTCTACCCCTCCCTTCCCCTTTTTCCAGTCCTGCAGTACGCCGGCCAGCCGTTCGACCACTCGCCCATCCGCTTCTGCGCCCGCAACGGCGAGTACGTGACCATCGACACCAGCTGGTCCAGCTTCGTCAACCCCTGGAGCCGCAAGGTCTCCTTCATCATGGGCCGGCACAAAGTCCGGACGTGAGTGCGAATGCTGCGCGCGGCTTTTTGAGGGAGTTTTGGACGGCGGCGCGGGGGGGGGGAGAGAGTGTCTCTTTTGTCCGGGCTGAAGGGAGCACGCGACGACGGAGAGGGAGGGCGGGGATCCAGCTCCAGGAGAGGGGGAGGAGCTTAGCTGGGGAGGGGATGATGGGGCGGGGAATCGTGCCCTCCCCAGCTAAGGTCCTCCCCCCCCTTTGTTCGGGGTAGAGAGGAGACTGACTGTCAAGATGGGGCCATAGAAGCTCGTTTGTCTGGCCAGATAAGCTTGGCTGGTGGAAGACGCGTGGACTTCATCTCCCAGGATTCCCTAGCCAGTGTTGCTGGCTAGGGAATCCTGGGAGATGAAGTCCATGCGTCTTCCACCAGCCAAGGCTGAGAAGTACTGCAATGGAGCCGGCTGTGGAGCTACAGAGCACAGGATGCGCTTTAGCTGCGCTGGCTGAGGATTCTGGGCGTTGCAGTCCCAGCCGTTTTCTGGAAGACTGAGGGGCGCCGCTGGCCCCCCCTGGTCAGGGGGGGAAGGGGCAAAGGGAGGGGAGGAGGTAGGACTTTAGGAGGAGGGGGAGCGTGAGAGGGGTCTGCTCATCTTCCGCCTTTGCTGGTCTCAGGAGCCCCGTGAACGAGGACGTCTTCAGCGCCCCCAAAGTCTTGAAGTCGAAGGCTCTGGACGGGGAGATCCAGGAGCTGTCCGAGCAGATCCATCGGCTCCTGTTGCAGGTGAGGCCTTGCCCTTCCCTTCTTTGGTCTTCCTCTCCCCCAGCCCCCCCCATGCCACCTTCCCTCCTTTCTTTTCTTTCCCTCCCTCCCTCCCTCCCTCCCCTTCCTCCTTCCCTCCCTCCCTCCTTCTCATTCCCATCTCCTCCCTCCCCTTCCTTCCTCCCTCCCTCCTCCTCATTCCCATCTCCTCCCTCCCTCCCCTTCCTTCCTCCCTCTCTCTCATTCCCATCTCCTCCCTTCCCTCCCTCCCTCCCTCCCTCCTCCTCATTCCCATCTCCTCCCTCCCTCCCCTTCCTTCCTCCCTCCCTCCCTCCTCCTCATTCCCATCTCCTCCCTCCCTCCCCTTCCTTCCTCCCTCTCTCTCATTCCCATCTCCTCCCTTCCCTCCCTCCCTCTCTCCCTCCTTCTCATTCCCATCTCCTCCCTCCCTCCCTGCCTCTCCCTCTCCTTTCCCTCCTTCCTTCCTCCTTCCCTCCCTCTTTCCTTCTCATTCCCACCTCCTCCCTCCCTGTCTGTCTCCCTCTCCTTTCCCTCCTCCCTCCCTCCCTCCCTTCCTCCCTCCTTCTCATTCCCATCTTCTCCCTCCCTCCCTGTCTCTCCTTCTCCTTTCGTTCCTTCCTCCCTCCCTCCCTTCCTCCTCATTCCCATCTTCTTCCTCCCTCTCTGCCTGCCTGCCTCCTTCTCCTTTCCCGTTCCTTCCTTCTCTCCTTCCTTCCTTCTCTCCTTCTGTCCTCTCCTTCCTTCCCTCCCTCCTTATTCCAATCTCCTTCCCTCCCTCCCTCTTGTTCTTCCTTCCTTCATCCCTCTCCCTTTTTTTTCTTCCTCTCTCTCTTTTCCCTTCCTCCCTCCCTTCCCCTCGGCTCTAATCCTGCTCCTTTCTCCCCGCCAGCCTGTGCACAGCAGCGGCGCCCTCGGCCTATGCAGCAACTCGGCCTCCCACGAGCAGTTCCTCAGCATCGCCTCCTCCAGCGACAGCAACGGCTTCGCCCCAGAGGAGGCCCTGGCTCTCCGGCCGGTAAGCACAGGGAGGGTCCAGGGCCTCTCGGGGTGGGGTGTGTGTGTGTGGGTTTTTCGTCCAAGCAGCTTTTGTCTCGTGGGGTCCAAGTGGCATCGTCCTAAGCCCCTCCACCCGGCTGGGGGGGGATTCCCGAAAGAGCCCACCTTGGGGTTGAGCATGGGTGGGCGGGCAGCCTGTCTGAATGGAGGGGGAGGGTCTGGGGGATGGGGCCGTCCTCACTCTGCCTGCCTCTGGATCCCAGATGACCTTCCAGGAGATCTGCAAGGATGTCCACATGGTGAAGAATCAGGGCCAGCAAGTCTTCATTGAGTCCGGGGTCAAGCCGGTGCCCGTCAAACCCTTTCGGCCAGGTGAGAAGCGTGCCAATCACTTTCCTCCTCCTCCTCCTTGCTCTCCTCCTTTAATCCCTTCTCTTCTTCCTTTTCTTCCCCCTCCTCCACATCCACCCGTTTTGCTCCTCCTCCTCCTTCCCCCCTCGTTGCACACACACACAAACCCATGAGCCACTGCAGTGCCTTTATACAGGTAGCTTTTGCCCCAAATCTCCCGGGGGTTCCCTCCTGCGTTTCCTCCACCTGCCTCGAGGTCTGGGGAAACCCATGATGAAGGTTGTTCTTCCTCTTCCCCGTCGTCCGTCTCCAGCTCTGGATCCCCCCATCAGTCACGCCGGACAATCCAGGCAGATGTCGAGAGAAGCGGAGAAGAGGATGGTCAAGGCAGCCACCTCCGAGGACTCCGTGCGGAAGGAGCCTTCCAACTACTCCTACCAGCAGATCAACTGCCTGGACGTCATCATCCGGTAAGGCTTTGGCCAAATGGACAGCGCTCCCAGTTTGGGCGAGAGGATTTGCTGTCGACCTTTGGAGATCTCCCTCAGATTCCTCCTTCCACACCTGCATAGGCTATCAGCGATAAAGCAGTTTAGTTAGAAGATTCCTACGCAGAGGCTTTCAGCGATAAAGCAATTTAGGGAGAAGATTCCTGTGCAGAAGCTTTTGGCAATAAAGCAGTTTAGGTAGACGATTCCTGCGCTTAGTCTTTCAGCAATAAAGCAGTTTAGTTAGAAGATTCCTGTGCATAGGCTTTCAGCAATAAAGCAGTTTAGTTAGAAGAGTCCTGTGCATAGACTTTCAGCGATAAAGCAGTTTAGTTAGAAGATTCCTGTGCAGAAGCTTTTGGCAATAAAGCAGTTTAGGTAGAAGATTCCTGTGCATATCTTTCAGCGATAAAGCAGTGTAGTTAGAAGATTCCTGTGCACAGGATTTAAGCAATAAAGCAGTTCAGTTAGAAGAATCCTGTGCATAGACTTTCAGCAATAAAGTAGTTTAGGTAGAAGATTCCTGTGCAGAAGCTTTTGGCAATAAAGCAGTTTAGACAATTCCTGCGCATAGTCTTTCAGCAATAAAGCAGTTTAGACAATTTCTGCGCATAGTCTTTCAGCAATAAAGCAGTTCAGACAATTCCTGCGCATAGTCTTTCAGCAATAAAGCAGTTTAGACAATTCCTGCACATAGTCATTCAGCAATAAAGCAGTTTAGTTAGAAGATTCCTGCGCAGAGGCTTTTGGCAATAAAGCAGTTCAGTTGAGAGGATTCCTGTGCATAGACTATCAGCAAGAAAGCAGTTTAGCTAGAAGATTCCTGTGCAGAGGCTTTCGGCGATAAAGCAGTTTAGGTAGAAGATTCCTGCGCATAGTCTTTCAGCAAGAAAGCAGTTTAGTTAGAAGATTCCTGTGCAGAGGTTTTCAACGATAAAGCAGTTTAATTGGTCCGTCACGTGTACACCCGTGCCTGACCCTTGGCTGTCCTTTCACACCTCTCCCCTCCTTCCCTCCCTACAGATACCTGGAAAGCTGTACCATCCCCATCCGGGTCAAACGCAAGTGCGGTTCCTCCTCCTACACCGCCTCCTCCAATTCGGACGACGACAAGCAGAAAGGGCGCGAGCAGGCGGCTGTGCGGAGCAAAGGTGGGTTTCCTCCCCTCCCTGCCCCTCCCCTCCGCTGCTCCCCATTGACCCCTTCCTCCGGGTGCCGCTTCTGGGCTTCTCCCCGATCCGTCTCGGGAACCCCCGAAATTTCCTTCCGGTTCTTCTCCCTTGTTACTCTCCCCTTCCTTGGTGCCTGGGACGGAGACGGGATTTTGCTGCTGCTCCCGCTTCAGGGTCCCCAGAGCTGCTGCTGCTGCTGGCTTCCTAAGAGAGAGGGGGGGCTCCCCATGGTGCTGGAGGGGGGGGAACCCACCCAGATGGGGTTTTTTTCCGGCTGTCTCCGGGCCTGCCTCGCAGGGGGTAGACATGACCGAGGTTTTGGCATCTCGGCGGTGTCTGTGTCCCCCCGATCGGCATGTCCTGGGACTCACCTTGCTTCAAGTTCTGTCTCTTTTGGTCAGTCCTGGGACATCCCCCCTGTTGCCTCGAGTTCTAATCCAGCTCTGTCTCTTTGGTCAGCCCCGGGACATCCCTCCCCTTGCGTTCTAATCCAGCTCTTTCTCTTTTGGTCAGCCCTGGGACATCCCTCCCCTTGCCTTGAGTTCTAATCCAGCTCTGTCTCTTTGGTCAGCCCTGGGACATCCCTCCCCTTGCCTCGAGTTCTAATCCAGCTCTTTCTTTTTGGTTAGCCCTGGGACGTTCCCCCCCCCTTGCCTCGAGTTCTAATCCAGCTCTTTCTCTTTTGGTCAGCCCTGGGACATCCCCCCCCTTGCCTTGAGTTCTAATCCAGCTCTGTCTCTTTGGTTAGCCCTGGGACATCCCCCCCCCTTGCCTTGAGTTCTAATCCAGCTCTGTCTCTTTTGGTCAGCCCTGGGACATCCCCCCCCTTGCCTCGAGTTCTAATCCAGCTCTGTCTCTTTTGGTCAGCCCCGGGACATCCCTCCCCTTGCCTCGAGTTCTAATCCAGCTTTGGTTAGCCCTGGGACACCCTCCCCCTTTGGCTCGAGTTCTAATCCAGTTCTGTCTCTTTTGGTCAGCCCCGGGACATTTCTCCCCCCCCCCCTTGCCTCGAGTTCTAATCCAGCTCTGTCTCTTTGGTTTGGTCGGCGCTTCTCGGAACTCCTGGGACACTCTCCTCCCCCCCTCCCCGCCGTGCCTCGAGTTCTAATCCAGCCCTGTCTCTGTCTCTTTGGACAGATGCGCCCGAGGAGAAGCTGCCGGCCAGCACCAGCCAGCCAGAGAGGGAAGAGCCCGGAACGGCGGCAGCTGCCGCCGTGGTGGGTGGCCCTCTCACTCCGCTGGCCTTGCCTAGCAAAGCCGAGAGCGTGGTGTCCGTCACCAGTCAGTGCAGCTTCAGCAGCACCATCGTCCACGTGGGAGACAAGAAGCCCCCGGAGTCGGGTAGGGGAACATCCAGGCCAGGGGAGGTGGGTGGGGGGGGGCGGCACCGAGGTGGTGGGGAGGGGGAGCCGAAGGAAGGGAGATGGGCAGGGAAGGGTCGAGGTGGGACGCAGCTTGGGGGAGGGAGAGTGGGGGTGGGGTCTTCGATTGGAGAGTTGGGTATGCTGTGGGGCCACGTTGGGGCCCTTCGCCCTTTTTCCCCGGGAGATAAATTGGAAATTAGAAATCAAATACAAATAAGGCGCAGTCTGTATAGGTAGTCAAATAATGGATAGGGACTAGACTAGATTAGACTAGACTAGACTAGACTAGACTAGAATAGAATAGAATAGAATAGAATAGAATAGAATAGAATAGAATAGAATAAAAGAATAGGATAGGACAGGACAGGACAGGACAGGACAGGACAATAAAATATAGAATAGTATAATAAAACATAGAATAATAAACCAGAATAGAACAGAACAGAACAGAACAATAAAATATAGAATAGAAGAATAGAATAGGAATAGAATAGGAATAGAATAGAATAGAATAGAATAGAATAGAATAGAATAGAATAGAATAATAGGATAGGATAGGATAGAATAGAATAAGGAATAGAATAGAATAGAATAGAATAGAATAGAATAGAATAGAAGAATGGAATGGAATAGAATAGAATAGAATAGAATAATAGGATAGGATAGAATAAGGAATAGAATAGAATAGAATAGAATAGAATGGAATAGAATAGAATAGAATAGAATAGAAGAATAGGATAGGACAGGACAGGACAGGACAGGACAATAAAATATAGGTAGTATAATAAAACATAGAATAGAATAATAAACCAGAATAGAATAGAACAGAACAGAAAACAGAACAGAACAGAACAATAAAATATAGAATAGAATAATAAAACATAGAATAGAATAGAATAGAATAGAATAGAATAGAATAGAATAGAATAGAATTATGGGAATAGAATAGAATTATAATTGGGAATAGAATAGAAGGAGGGATAGAACAGAATAGAATAATAATAATAATAGAACAGAATAGAATAATAATGGAGTATAATAATAGAATAGAGTAGAATAATAATAATAGAATGGAATAATAAAACAGTAATAATAGAACAGAATAGAATAATAATAGAACAGAATGGAATAATATTAGAACAGAATGGAATAATAATAGAACAGAATAGAATAATAATAGAACAGAATAATAATAGAATAGAATAATAATAGAGTAGAATAATAATAGAATGGAATAATAAGAATAGAACAAAATAGAATAATAAGAATAGAATAATAATAGAATGGAATAATCATAATAGAATAGAATAATGAGAATCAAATAGAATACAATGGAATCAAATCACAGAGCTGGAAGGGACCCTGGAGGTCTTCTAGTCCAACCCCCTGCTCAGGCCGGAGACCCTGTAGGCCATTTCAGACCAATAGTCCTTGATTTAGGAGCACAATTCAGCCCCAACCTTTCCGTTGCCAAGCAGGAGAGTATGAAGTGAGCTTTGTCCCGTTTTAGGACTTTTCTTGCCACAGTTGTCAAGCTGAATCACTGCCGTTGCTAAGTTAGTGCATTTAGTCCTTGTCTTAACAGCCGTTCGCTTCGTGATTGAAGTTAATGACGGCATTGAAAAGAAAAGGACCATTTTCACACTTAATGACCATTGGTGGCCTTCCCCTGGTCACCTGATTTACATTTGGATGCTGGACAAGCGACTCACATTTACGACGGTCGTAGTGTCCCGGCGGGGAACCAGCAAAGTCCCTTAACAGCCACGTGGCTAATTTTAACGACCGCAGTGATTCACTTAAAATGGTGAGGGAAGGTCGTATAAACGGGGCAAAACCCAGCTCGACCCGTGTCTCGCTTAGCGACATCAATTTTGGGGGCTCCGTTGTGGTCGTATGTCAAGGACTGCAGCTCCGTTCCCGCCAGTAGCAGCCAATCAAAAAACATACCATGGAATAAAATCCAAAAAACAAGGAAAAATCAAAAACAAGGAAAACCAATAACTGGAGAGAATTAAGTGCAGCCAGTCATTTGGCCCATCAACACGGTCCCAGTTCATGGGGGGTGGTCTCCCTTACCTGCAAACCACCACCCCTACACACACACACACTCCACCCTTATCATAGGGGTCTCTATTTGCCTTTGGGGACTCATTGCAACTGGATGGTTTGTCGGCCATTTATTTATTTATTTATGGCATTTTATTTCCTGCTCATCACGTAGCCAACGACTCCAGGTGTCTTACGGCACTAAAATTATATATATGTATACATATGTGTGTGTGTGTGTATCCAAATTTCTTTTTTGTAGATAAAGAGTTAAAGAATTACGTGGGAGACTAGAATAGCTATTTTCAGCTTATTTTGCTCTCATCAGCTAGAGAGCAAATGAGAGCAAAATAAGCTCGAAATAGCTATTCTAGTCTCCCACTTAATTCTTTAAACTCTTTGTCTACAAAAAAAGAAATTTGGATTTGTAATGTATCGCAGTAGCGACTTGAGTCTGCTTAACGTCCCTAGTTTGGGGGGGCTGCAAGGTAAAAGTGATTATAAGTAGAACTGCAATATAGCAGTCAAAATACCAAGGTGCATTAATCAAGACCGGTCTGTCTGGAAAAAACTTTCTCTATAGGGTGTAAACGTTTAGAAAACTAATAAGGCTACTGAAAAAAAAAAAAGCCTTTTTAATTACCCAGCTTTTGTCAACCTTTAGCCTTCGGCCCTTACTTTGATGATGTCAACAGGAGGTCGATGAAAGCTCAGTAATTAAAAAGGCTCTTTTGGATCTCAGAGTTCAGTAGCTTTATTAGTTTTATATAAATGTGTATGTGTATATATATGTGTATGTATATATTTATATACATATATATGCTTTTAATGCCATAAGCCACCTGGACTCATTGGCTACATGTGTGTGTATATATCTCTCTCTGTGTGTGTATGTATGTATATGTATATTGTATAGATATAGATATAGATAGATAGATAGATATAGATATATAGATTGATATAGAGATATAGAGACGGATGGATGGATGGATAGATAGATGGAGATAGATTATTAGATTAGATAGATAGATAGATAGATATACTAGATATAGATAGATACAGATAGATAGATATACTAGATAGATAGACAGATAGATAGATAGATAGATAGATAGATAGATAGATAGATAGATATACTAGATAATATAGATACAGATAGATATACTAGATAGATAGATAGATATACTAGATATAGAGATCGATAGATACAGATAGATAGATATACTAGATAGATAGATAGATAGATAGATAGATAGATAGATAGATAGATATACTAGATAATAGAGATAGATACAGATAGATAGATATACTAGATAGATAGATAGATAGATTTTTACCTTGAATGTACACCCTGTCAGTCCAAATATGGGAGAAAGAAATCTTCTTTCTTTTTCTTTTTCTTTTGCCTGTATCAGCTCAATCTAGAGCCATCCACAAGCAGCAGTCGCCAACTGCGACATCATTTTACATTTTTAGGTTGCTAACAAAGAATAAAGAGAGAACTGGTATAGCTATTTCGAGTTCCGTTAACTCTCTTCAGCCAGACTTACTCTTCTGAGATTCGAACCTGGATAGATAGATAGATAGATAGATAGATAGATAGATAGATAGATAGATATACTAGATATAGAGATAGATAGATAGATACAGATATACTAGATAGATAGATAGATAGATAGATATACTAGATAGAGAGATAGATAGATACAGATAGATAGATAGATAGATAGATAGATAGAAAGATAGATATACTAGATATAGAGATAGATAGATAGATAGATAGATACAGATATACTAGATAGATAGATAGATAGATAGATAGATAGATAGATAGATAGATAGACAGACAGACAGACAGACAGACAGACAGACATTCTATTGATCCTATCTAATTCGGTGTTTATCAACCTTGGCAGCTTTTAAGACAGCCTTATTTTACGACTGTTTTTTTGTAATGTCATTAAGCGAGCAAAAATGGACATATTGGTGAGCCTCCAGTCATGGGAGGGGGATGTGGCTTTTGGAAGTTCAGAGTTAATAATAATAGTAATGATGATGATGATGATGAGGGAGAAGGAGTAGTTGGAAGGGACCTTGCAGGTCATGTAATCCAACCCCCTGCTCAGGCAGGAAAAGACACTCAGGCAGTGTCACAAGGAAGTATGTTTTTTTTGGGGGGGGGGTGTCTGTCACAACTTCAAACGCTCGCGAAGCGAGCCGTTACAAGTCGAGGACTACTTTTTTTTAAAACACACTCCTTCGTTGGAAAACCCGCAAAGAAAGTCTGCGCAGACATCGGGAGCCAAAGGCAAACAGCGTGCCCGTTTTTTTTTAAATCCCAAGAAATTTCGAAGGGGACGCCCGTTCGAAGTGTGGCAATGGCACGGGGGGTGGGGGGAAAGTGACCTGGGCCCCGTTTTTCACCCTTAGCGACCGTCGATCAAAATTCAGACGCTCGGCAGCCGACTCCCGTTTATGACGGTTGCGGCGTCCCCCTTTGGCCGACTGTCTGACCAGCAAAGCCAAGGGAGAAAGCCAGATTCGCTTCACACAACCGTTGTTACGAATTGAAGAACCACGGTGGTTGGCTTGAACGACCCCCGGAGAGAAAGGCCGTAGAAATGGGGCAAGACTCGCTTAACGACCGTTCCAACTGGAGATTTTGCGCTCAAAGAAGAGACTGGACAGCCCTTTGTCTGAAATGGTCTAGGGTTTCCTGCCTGAGCAGGGGGTTGGACTAGATGACTTCTAATGTCTCTTCCAACTACTACGACGACTACTATTTCTTCTTCTTCTTCTTCTTCTTCTTCTTCTTCTTCTTCTTCTTCTTCTTCTTCTTCTTCTTCTTCTTCTTCTTCTTCTTCTTCTTCTTCCTCCTCTTCTCCTCCTCCTCCTCCTCCTCCTCCTCCTCCTCCTCCTCCTCCTCCTCCTCCTCCTCCTCCTCCTCCTTCTTCTTCTTCTTCTTCTTCTTCTTCTTCTTCTGCTCCTCCTTCTCCTTCTTCTTCCTCTTCTGCTCCTCCTTCTTCATTTCTTCTTCTTCTCCTCCTCCTCCTCCTCCTCATTATTATGATAATGATGATGATGTTGTGGTCGTAAGTCAAGGACCAGCTTACTTAAAAGGAAGGCCCAAGCGTGTAAACATGGAGGATGGTGTATTTCAAGGGAAGCCGTGGACGGGCTGACCTCTTTTCTTTCTTTCCCCTGTTTCCTCCTCTTCCTCCTTGCCCCCCCCCTGCCCCCTCCCCAGATATTGTCATGATGGAGGAGACGGCGCCCAGCGCCACCCCGCCCGTCCCTCCGCCCGGTCTGACCCCCGACCGCGAGCAGCAGTACCGCCGGGTGGGCCTGACCAAGGAGGTCCTGTCGGTCCACACGCAAAAGGAGGAGCAGGCCTTCCTCACCCGGTTCAAGGACCTCAGCCAGTTGTGTGTCTTCAACTCCCCCTCCAGGCCCAGCTGGCAGGAGCTGCACCGGCCCCGGGCCCAGGAAGAGCGAGGTGATCCTGGAGGAGGGGCAGACACGGGGTTGGGAGTAGGGCGGAACCCTTCTCTCCTCCTTTTCGCTCTTCCCCCCCTTTGCTTCCTTCTTCCTTCCTTCTTTCTGCCCCTCCCACCCTTCTGCCACTGAGCAGGTTCCCTAGTTGGGTCACGAAACGTCTGCAGGAAAACCACCCAGCTCAGGGACCACCAAGGACCCCCACAGTCCTCCTCCTCCTCCCTGCTTATCCCCCTCCATTCTTGCACTGATGACATCCTACAGTTGGGTCACGAAACGTCTGCAAGAAAACAACCAAGCTCAAGAGAGCATCAAGGACCCCACAGTAGTCCTCCTCCTCTCTGCTTATCCCCTTCCATTCTTGTACTGATGACGTCCCCTAACTGGGTCATGAAACGTCTGCAAGAAAACTCCCAAGCTCAGACAGTCCTCCTCCTCCTCCCTGCAATCCCTTCCAGCACTGATAATGTTCCCTAGTTGGGTCACGAAACGTCTGCAAGAAAACCACCACGCTGAGAGAACACCAAGGACCCTACGGTCCTCCTCCTCCCACACCCCCTTCAAGCACTGATGATGTTCCCTAGTTGGGTCATGAAATGTCTACAAGAAAACAACCCAGCTCAGGGACCACCAAGGACCCTACCATCCTCCTCCTCCTCCTCTTCACTCCCTCTTCTCCTCTCTCCATAAGCCCCCCTCCATTCTTGCACTGATGACGTCCCCCAGTTGGGTCACGAAACGTCTTCAAGGAAAACCACCCAGCTCAGAGAGCATCAAGGACCCCTCAGTCGTCGTCCTCTTTCTCCTCCTCCTCCTCCTCTCTGCTTATCCCCCTCCATTCTTGCACTGGTGATGTCCCCTAACTGGGTCATGAAACATCTGCAACAAAACTGCCAAGCTCAGATACCACCAAGGACCCCACAGTCCTCTTCCTCCCTCACCGCCTTGTAGCACTGATGGTGTTCCCTAGTTGGGTCATGAAACGTCTGCAAGAAAGCAACCACGCTGAGAGAACACCAAGGACCCCACAGTCCTCCTTCTGTCCTTCTCTCCCCTCTTCTTCCTTCCTCTTTCTCTTCCCTCCTTATTCTTTCCTTCCTGTTTTTCCTCTCCTTCCGTTGTCCTCGTCCTTCTGCTTTCTTCCTCTTTCCTCCGCCTTCGTCTCCTTCCCCTTCCTCCTTATTCCTCCCTTCCTCTTTTTTCCTCTTCCTTCTCCCTCCTGCTGCCTCTTTCCTGCTCTGTCCTGTCCTGCCCTTCCTCCCTCCTCCTCCTCCTCCTCACCTTCTCCCCTTTCGCTTCTGCAGGATCCAGAGGCCTGCGCCATGGACCTCGCGGGCCGCGGCGCGGCCGGAAGTCTAAAGCCAAGCGCATCCGGCAGAACAAATCCTCGGATAGCTCCAGCTCTCCCCAGAACTCAGCCGGGTCGCCCCGCCAGATGTCCTGTCCCCCAGGTGCCCCCTCTTGGGCACTCTCGGGCTCTTCCCCGCCCACCCTCCCCAATATGTCGTACCCGGCCGTCATGCCCACTTACCCCATCCCGGTCTTTTCCCCTCGTCCCACGGTGCCCCCAGCCGCCGAGCCTTCGCAGACCCCCTTGCCAGCCCTTCAGCTCCCCGCCCCCCTCGTCACCCCCATGGTGGCCCTCGTCCTGCCCAATTACGTCTTCCCCCAGCTCAACAGCCCCCTTCCCCAGACGTACTTTCCCGGCGGACCCCTTTTCCCCTTCGGACCGCCGCAGCCGGGCAGCACGCTAGCCCCCAGGCCCGAAGCCGGCATGCAGGTGCCCTCCCGCTCCTCCACCCCACACTCGATGAGCCAGCCCGAGCGGGCCGAATCCCCACTCTTTGAGTCGCGCTGCAGCTCCCCGTTGCAGCTCAACCTGCTCCAGATGGAAGAGCTACCCAAGCCGGGCGACCGGCAAGAAGCTAGCGCGAGCGGTCCAGCGGGACCAGCCGGCACCTCCACAGACTGGACTGGAGTGGCCGGCGGGCAGGGCTTGGTGAACGAACTCGGCCCTCCGAAAGAAACCTGCATGGTGAGCGGCACCAGGGCTCAAGTGTTCTCAGTCCGTCCGAGCAGTGTCCCCCTCCTGGGAACGAGTCCAATCTCGGATCCCGCGGGAAGGCGGTCATTGCTGACCGCGGGATGGCCTGTCCTTCCTTCGCCCCCCGAGATGCTTCCGTTCCTAGCAACGAGTCGGTTTCCAGATTCATTCTGGGAGCTGTACGATCCCAATCGGGGACTTCCACCTCTCTGCTTTATCATTTTTATTCACTTGTGGCATAAAATAGAAAGATACAAAAGCGAATAATAGGGAACAACGGTAGGGGAAAGGGGAAAAGAGAAGTGTGGAAAAGAGGGGAAGGGAAGGAAGAAAAAAGGCTGTGTTGCAGTAAAATAAGGCATCACATTAAGACTGATCTTTAGCTTTTTACATTTCTGTAGTATGAACTAGCCATTTCTATATCAACAAATCAATCTAAAAGCCAAAGTCCAAAAGATCCTTTTTTTCCCCGCCTCAAGCACAAAATCCCTAAGCAGTTTCCAAGTAGAAACAAGAGTACTTAATATTCTTTTCTTTCATCAAAATGGTCGATTTAGCCATATCTGCTACTTCAATCAGTTTCTGTAGCCATCCGTTTATGGGGGGAATCGCAAACATCCTTCCATTTTGGGGCGTAGAGCAGGAGTCCCCCAACCTTGGCTACTTTATGACTTGTGGACTTCAACTCCCAGAATTCCTCAGTCTTTTTCCATTAGACCCAGAAGGAAAGCTTTTGGTTTAATCTACATATTTACGTTAAGGATTTTCTGCATTAAAATACAAATCCTACTCCAATATTTCTGTGGTTTATCACACGTCCACCATAAACGATTAAAGAAAAAGTCGCTTCTTCCAATCCAGGACTTAACCTTATGCGATTCTTAACTGGAAAAGGTTTAGTTTTCGCTCCGATGTGAGCTGGACAAGGAGATTGAGGTTGCGATGAGGGTGGCAGGGTGGGAACAGCGGCCGTAGGAACAGGGGTGACTCCGGGGTTTGCCAGAGAGGAACCTGGCCTTGGAGCGGGACACTCGTTCCTGCTCCTAACCTGCGCCATCATCCCCTTCCAGGTGGAAGCTCATGATTCTTCCAACAACGATGTTTTGTCCGGCTCCAGTGACCTACTGGATCTCCTCCTGCAAGAAGATTCTCGTTCGGGCACCGGATCGGCCGCCTCAGGCTCCATGGGCTCGGCATCCAATGGGGAGAGCACCTCTGCCAGCGGAACCAGTAAGTCCAGGAACCGGATCGCGTGGAAGGATCTGGGCGAGCAGCTGGCGCTTCGCTGTCAGCCGGGGCTCCATTTCGGAACCGGAAGTCCTGCTCGGTAGATTTTCACCAGCAGTTTCTCGCTTGCTGGGCGCCTTTTTTTCCCCTGGTTCACGGCACGGGGAGAACTTTTCCTGTATCCAACCGGCTTCCCTTCCCCTCGCCTGCAGCAAGCAGCAAGAGTAGCAACACCAGCAAATACTTCGGCAGCATCGACTCGTCCGAGAACGATTTACGGGCCAAGAAGCGATCCGAGGTGGAGGACAACGAGCACTTCATCAAATACGTCCTCCAGGATCCCATCTGGCTGCTGATGGCGAACACCGACGACAAGGTCATGATGTCGTATCAGCTCCCTGTCAGGTGAGCTGCTTCCCACGGCCGCTTCTCGTTTTCGCTCGGTCCTCCCGGGATCCCGATTTTTGGATTCGTTCGAGAGAGAAGAAAACGGGAGCTTCTTTTCCGATTATCGTTACGGGGGACGCTGGAATTAGGGAGGGGGCTTTTTGCTTGCTTTAATTTTGGTTGGGGGACGGGGGATCACATCTGGCTCTTAGATAGGGAAGTCCTGTGGCATTTCTGACCGTCTTGCCCGCTTGTGTCTCCTCCACAGGGACACGGAGACTGTCCTGCGGGAAGATCGGGAGAAGCTGAAGCAGCTGCAGAAGCAACAGCCGAGGTTCACGGAAGAGCAGAAGAAGGAGCTGGCGGATGTCCACCCCTGGATCCAGAAAGGGGTCTTGCCCAAAGCCATCAATGTCACGGTGAGGAGTCAACCGGCAGCGCCCGGGTGAAGGGAGGGATGCTGGGAGCAACGAGGGGGCACTGGAATTAACAGCATTGAAAGGGATCTAGTCATCTAGTCCAACCCCCTGCTTAAACAGGAGACCTTATACCATTTCAGACCAATGGCTGTCCAGTCTCTTCTTGAAAACCTCCAGCGACGGAGCACCCACGACGTCTGGAGGCAAGCAGTTCCACTGGTTAATTGTCCTCGCTGTCAGGATAATTTCTCCTTAATTCTGGGTTGCTTCTCTCCTTGCCTGGTTTCCATCTGTTGCTTCTTGTCCTGCCTTCTTCTGGTGCTTTGGAGGATAGGTGGACCCCCCCCCTCTTCTTTGGGACAGCCCCCCAAATATTGGAAGATGTTATCGTGTCTCTCTCTTCCCCCCCCCCCCCCCCGTCCTTCTCGTTAAATGAGACATACCCAATTCCTGCAGCCGTTCTTCGTATGTTTTAGCTCCTCTGGGACGTTAATCAGCTTTGTCGCTCTTCTCTGCACTCTTTCCAGAGTCTCAACATCTTTTTTTATATTGTGGGGAATCAGCCCTGCTTGTCGTTTTAGCGCACAAGTGTTAATTTACGCTCGTTTTTCGGTTGTCGTCGGCCCTCGGGTCGATTTATTGACCTGAAGCAAGGGAATCACGGTTCTCCCACTATCATCGGCTCTCTAGACACATACAGGGAGTCCTCGGCTTACGACCGGAGGCAGTTGAGGCCAACGTTTCTGTGGCTAAGCAAGACAAGTTATTTAATGAATTTTGCCCCCCCCCCGTTTTTTACGGTGTTCCTTGCCACCGTTGTTAAGGGAACCCTTGCAGTTGTTAAGTTAGTTAAGTTAGTAACTCGGTCGGTTAAGTGAATCCGGCCCCCCCCCCCGACTTTGCTTGTCGGACGCTGCGACCCGGGGGACGCTGCGACCGTCGTAAGTACAGGCCAGTTGCCAAGCGTCTGGATTTTGATCACGTGACCGCGGGGACGGTGCAATGGTCGTAAGGGGGGGAAACGACCAGATGTCACTTTTTTCAGGGCCACTAAATGAAGGGTTGTAATTTGAGGACCACCTGTAGAATATCGGCTACCTAACCCCAACCTTAACCTTAACCCAAACCTTAAACCTTAAATCTAACCTTAACCCTTAACCTGTAACCTTAATCCTAACCTTAAACCGTAACCTTAACCCTAAAACCTTAACCTTAAACTTTAACCCTAACCTTTAACCCTAACCTTAAACCTTAACCCTAAGCTTAACCCTTAACCTTAACTCTCAACCTTAACCCTTAACCTTTAAAACTTAACCCTAAGCTTAACCCTTAAACCTAACCTTAACCTTAAACCATAAACCTAACCTTAACCTTAACCCTAAAACCTTAACCCTAACCTTAACCCAACTCTTAACCTTAAACTTTAACCCTAACCTTAAACCTTAACCCTAAGCTTAACCCTTAACCTTAACCCTCAACCTTAACCCTAAACCTAACCTTAACCTTAAACCTAACCTTAAACCTAACCTTAACCCTTAAACCTAACCTTAACCATAAACCTAACCTTAACCCTTAACCTTAACCCTAAAACCTTAACCTTAACCCTAACCTTAACCCAACCTTTAACCTTAAACTTTAAGCCTAACCTTTAACCTTAACCTTAACCCTAGAACAGTGGTTCTCAACCTGTGGGTCGGGACCCCATTTGGGGTCGAATTACCATTTCACGGGGGTCGCCAAACCACGCTGTCCGCCATTTTTTTCCCTTTTCCCTAGCTGTCCTACTCCCTCTTATTGGTGGCCACACCCACTTGGGGGTCACCACAACATGGGGAACTGTATTATGGGGTCACGGCATTAGAAAGGTTGAGAACCACTGCCCTAGAACCTTAACCTTAAACTTAAACTTTAACTCTAACCTTAAACCTAAGCTTAACCCTTAACCTTTAAACCTTAAACCTAAGCTTAACCCTTGAACCTAAGCTTAACCTTAAACCATAAACTTAACCTTAAACCGTAAACCTAACCTTAACCCTTAAACCTAACCTTAACCATAAACGTTAAACCTAACCTTAACTTTAAACCTTAACCTAAAACCTTAAGCTAACACTAACCTTAACCCTAGCCCTAACCCTAAACATTAAACCTAACTCTAAACCTTAAATGTAAGCCTAGCCCTAACCCTAACCCTTAAACTTTAACCCTAACCTTAGCCCTAGCCTTAACCCTAAACCTTAAACCTAACCCTAAACTTTAAAGCTAGCGCTAGCCCTAGCATGGAAGTTCCCAACCTTTTGGGCACCAGGGACCAGTTCCGTGGAGAGAGTTTTTCCCGCAGACTGGAAGGGTGCCTTGTTTTGTGTGCTGCCTGCATCCCGCGGATGGGGCTTCGGTTGTGTGGACCAGTTGCTGGCATGCTGTGGCCCAATACTGGTCCACAGACCGGGGGGGGGGTTGAGGACCCCTGCTCTAAACCTTAAATCAGTGGTTCTCAACCTTTTTAATGCCGCGACCTCCCCAACCGGTCGTAAGTGGAGGACTACTCAACCGGTCGTAAGTCGAGGACTACTCAACTGGTGCAGCACCGTTTGCAGACTGGGACTTTTGGTGGGCTCAGCAGGGCAGAGACAGCCTGGACAATTCCTATTGGCTTTGGAAAGCCAATAGAATTAGACTCTATTCAAGACAGTCTCTTCTATTGGCTTTCGAAAGCCAATAGAATAAAAGGGAGGAGCACAGCTAAGGAAAAGGGGGAAATGGCGGACTGCGTTGTTTGGCGACCCCCGTGAAATGGTCGTTCGACCCCAAACGGGGTCCCGACCCACAGGTTGAGAACCGCTGCCTTAAATCTTTAAACCTCCCTCTAACCTTAACTCTAGCCCCAACCCAATTAGCCCACCGTAAGCTAACCCACCTCTTGTCTTCCTTCCCCTCCAGGCTTGTGTTGAGTGCGAGAGTAACGCTGCCTCGCAGGCCGCCCCCCTTTACGACGTCGAGATCCAGGATATGGACCTGAACGGCATGTTGGAGCTGATGGAGGAAGGCACCGGGCCCCAGGTCCCTCTGCCTTCCTTACCGCTAGAAATGGCCATGGAGGAAGACGAGGCCGGAGAGAGTCGGGACCAGCCACACCTAGTAGAAGCAGAAGCGTGAGGGACCAGCTAAGCCCCGGAGAAGGACTAGTACACACCTTTTGAAGGTTGCTCGAGCGAGTAGGGGCTGCCGAGCGGCAGGAATCGGACCGCCAGGCAGCTGGCGTGCGAAGGACCCCGTGTTGCCTTGTTTAATCAGAACTTCCGGACCGGCGGGTCTCCAGGGATAGCCCCCCCCCTGCCCTTCGCCGACACCCTCCAACTGGACTAGCCGCTTTGATCTTCGCGGCGTTCGGCAGGGTGCGGAACTAGAGGGCCCGGGACATTGGAGGGGGGGGGGGGCGTGCACGCGCGCGCCAGGGTGTTTTGGGTTTTTCTGTATTTATTTTTGACCATTTGTCACTGGTTGGTTTACTGGGGTGGTGGGGTTTTTTTTTGTTTTTGTTTTTTTACTCATAACTGCAGCCGGTTCCCGGCTGGCAGCGCCGAACGTAGTAATAACGATGGCGATAATAATAATTAAAAAAAAAAAGAGGTGGCTTGCAAAGCAAGACGTCGGCACAGGCCCTTTTTTTGTCCCTTTGTCACAACTTTCCTAGCTGGAGGTCTGAGTAGCTGCCCTGAGATTCCCCGGAAGAGGTTTACTTCGTGGGGGTCCGTGGGGAGGGGGGGCGGTCTCTTGAGCTGGGTGGTTTCCTGGCAAACGTCTCGTGACCCAAGTAGGGAACGTCATCAGCGCTAGAAGAGGAGTGTGGGGTTTGCTTTCTGTTTGTGGGCAAGTGTCGGGGTCGGTGGGGGTGGTGTTCTTGGTGGTTCCTTGGGTGGGCTTTTGTGTGCTGTGGGTGTGATGGTTTGTGTGAGTTGGTGGTGTGGCAAACAGATTGTATCTAAACGGAGAGCGAATCCCACACTCCCTTCTAGCGCTGATGGTGTTCCCCAGTTGGGTCATGAAAGGTCTGCAAGGAAACCACCCAGCTCAGAGAGCACCAAGGACCCCACAGTCTTCCTCCTCCTCCTCCTCTTCTCTGCACAACCCCTCCCTTCTAGCACTGATGATGTTACCTAGTTGGGTCATGAAACGTCTGCAAAAAGACCACCCAGGACCCCACAGTCCTCCTCCATTCCACAATCCCCACTCCCTTCTATCACTGATGATGTTACCTAGTTGGATCAAGAAATATCTACAAGAAAACCACCCAGCTCAGAGACCACCAAGGACCCCACAGTGCTCCTTTTCCTCTGCAGACCCCTTCTAGCACTGATGATGTTCCCTAGTAGGGTCATGAAACGTCTGCAAGGAAACACCATCTCAGAGACCACCAAGGACCCCTCATTTCAACCTTGAGCTACAAAATATTCCCTCTTGAGTTTATCGTCGCCCAACAAATCAACTTCCCTAATTTATTTTTTTCCCCCCTCTCTGCTCTGTTGACGTACATCACTCCTATGTTTCCTGTTGTTGCCAATACTTTTCCTGATTTTCTTGGCTCTGGTTCCTTTGGGGAAGAGGGATTTTTCAGATCTACCGGCCACTCCATTTTTCTCCTAAAACGTTCCGAACTGGGGACCCAATGCGCCAAAAGAAATCTTTTTCTGGGGGAAGATTCCTCAGTAGGTCCTTGGGATCTGGAGCGAGAGACTGTGGGCCGTGTTTTTCCTTCTTGTAAATTCCCCTGGCGCTGTTTGGAATTGCAGTGGTGGCAAAACCAGCTCAGGACGAGGGAGGTGCTGATTTGTCGGCGCCTGGTTCTCTTTCAGGCGCGCCTGGTCACCTACTTCCCAGAAAAGAAATTTCTCAAAGGGACAACAATGGAGAGCAACTACTTTAGCCTGACTTTTTCCAAGCAAAAAAACCCCCCGCAAACATTGAAACAACGAATCTTTTTGTTCCTTTTAAAGCTGTGAGGACGATTCACCAGTGGAACTCCTTGCCTCCAGAAATCGTGGGCACTCCATCACTGGAGATTTTAAAGAAGAGGCTGGACAGCCACTTGTCTGAAATGGTATAGGTTCTCCAGCTTAAGTGGTGGGCTGGACTAGAAGACCTCCAAGGTCCCTTCCAGCTCTATTCAACTATTCAAAGCAGTTGGGCAAACTGAGGACTAGCCTCCAAAGTAGTAAAAGGCTTTCGTGGAGATCAATGGGGCCACCTCTTCTGCTTTGGCTGATCAATACCAGCAGCTGTGTAGCACCAGTAAGGTCCTTCAGATGGTCTGGAGGACCTTTAAGGGACCCACCTCTCCCTCCCCCTGCAGGGATTTTTTGTGTGGGTGTGTTAAAAACTCAGTGGATTCAGACATCGTCACCCCTGGCTGTCATCGGACCAAAATACTGTGCCATCCCGCTGTATGTTGTGACTGTCTTTGAGATGTTTTGCTCGTGTTCGATTCCCGGAAGAGACCGCAAAGCTGATAGAAGTCCAGAGGAGAGAAACCCCTGGATCTCGGATCATTTACAGAAGGATTTCTGGCTTCCTTTGAAAGGACTTTTCTTCCTGTTACATTCCTCCCCCCCCCCCCCCATGGATCTTGCCATCCTTGAACAATTCAGGGCAGGGGGTCTTGATTTTTTCTTTGCACTAAGGGAAAATAAAGTTTGGGATTGTCAAATCCAGCCACTTCCACTTCATCATCATCAATGGGACATCCACTCTCCTTTCAGGATTATATATATATATATATAAAATTATTATTATTATAGATCAGGGGTGTTAAACTCAATTTCACTGAGGGCTGCATCAGCATTGTGGTTGTCCTGGGGTATATGTGTGGCCAGGGTGGGTGTGGCCTACTGGGTAGGCATGGCCAGTTCCACATCATGTCAAGGGTGCCTGTGGGGGCCTGGGCAAGAGTGGGACAGATCTGAGGGTCTCTGGCAGAAGGGGGTGGGACCGGGGCAAGGGCCAAGGCATGGTCCATTGGGGCAAGGGCCAAGATGGCCACCACAAAATTGTACATTGGCTCCCAGCCGGCTTGGGCCAGGGCCAAGGCAGCGGGGGCTGTTCCCTCAATGTTTCCAGGATGGCTTCATGGGCCGCATGAAACCACTTTGCGGGCTGCATCCGGCCCCCGGGCCTTGCGTTTGACATGTCTGTTATAGATTATTATTATTATACACATAAACACACACTCCTGAAAGGAGAGAGGGTTTCCCATTGAGGATGATGAAGTGGAAGTGGCTGGATTTGACAATCCCAAACTTTTAATGACTTTTTTTTTTTTTTTTTTCAAATACCACTTGCAAAACATACAATCTAATTTCCCCAATTCCGGTTGAGGATTGCACAAACCTTCCCCAAGTAACATTATAACTTACAGCTCCGACATGTAGCTTTGCTTAACGGCCGTTCGCAGCGAGGATGGAGGGACTCCGAAAGGGAGCTTGGGCACAATTTACGATGCTCTTGGCTGTTTTCCAGTAAAAACACCTGTCGGATATGCTGGATTTGCTTAGCGGCCACGGGATCCCTTACGGCAACAGTTGTAAAACCAAGTCAGTGTACTTGGGGACCCGCTTAACGCCCCCTCTTGCCGACTTAACAATGGAAATGGTGTGGTCGTAAATGGAGGACCATGTGTAATTTAAATTTTTGATCATTTAATGTTAATTTTGACTCCTCTCTAGGAGAGAGAGAAGTGCTTGGAAGTTTTTGCTAAAAAGGATTTTAGCTAAATCCTTTGGCTAAAAGGATTTGGACCCTTGCTCTCTCTTTAACTCTCCTAAGTCTCCAGGCCTCATTAAGGAAGAGAAAGCAATTACCCATCATTTTTGGATTAACATGGAAAATAAATATAGTTCTTGTCTTACGACCCCACCATTTCCTCGTTCAGCGAGACATTTGTTCAGGGAATTTTGCCCCATTTTACGACCTTTCTCGCCACAGTTATTAAGTGGAACACTGCAATTATTAGTCACATGATTGTTAAGTGAATCTGACATTCCCCATCGACTTTGTGTGTCCGAAGGTCACAAATGGGGATTGATCACGTCTCACACACACACACACACACACACACGCCCCGGAACGCTGCGACCGTCATAAATACGAACTCGTAAGCATCTGAATTTTGATCACGTGACTACGGGGGGGGGGAATGCTGCAAAGGTGGTAACTCTGAAAAATGGCCGTAAGTCATAGCTTTTCGATGGTCACTAAATGAACTTTTGTAAGTTGAGGGCTACCTGCGGCGGCCTCAGATCTTAATTTTGATCCGTTGGAAATGTCTCTTCCCCCCCCCCCTAGTTAAAGGGGATACAAATCTCAGGCAGCCATGTTTTGCACAGAGTTGTAATAATAATAAAGTTGGAAGGGACCTTGGGAGGTCATCTAGTCCAACCCCCTGCTCAGGCAGGAAACCCTATAGTACATTTTGGAGTCGTCACATCGGGAAACAAAGATGGGGAGACGAAACTGTGTTTTGCTAGGTATCCTGTGTTGGTCCAACTCTTTTAGTTTTATATAAAACCACAAAAGTTCGTTCTCTTTCTTTCTCTGCTGCGGAGAGCGTGTGTGTGTGTGTGTGTGTGTGTGTGTGTGAGAGAGAGAGAGAGAGAGAGAGAATGTGCAGGAACTGATTGGATTTGTGGCACAATTTCTGTGAATCTGATTCTGCCACCAAATAAAGGCATTTTTGATATTTTTTTTTTTCTCACGGTGTCCCTGGCGTGTTTTGGGGGAAAAAAAAGAGGCAGCTGGATGTTGAAGGCCTAGCAGTTGGATCCAAGAATATTTAATTCTCTGCAATTTCTATTACATCCTAGTCTGCTTCAGGCATCTCTGGAATAACAAAATTGGAAAGGACCTTGGAGGTCTTCTAGTCCAACCCCCTACTCAGGTCCTTGACTTAACAACTTATAAGCGAGCCCGTTTCCATGGCTGAGCAAGACAGTGAATTTTGCCCCATTTTACGGACCTTTTTCGCCACAATTGTTAAGTAAACCGGAGAATGAAAATCCCCAGAAAACTAGAATGGTGCTCCATGTCCAATCTCAGTTAAAAACAACCAGGTTAATTGGCGGTGAGGCTAGAGAAGTGATGGTTAGGGGCCCTGAGCATATCCTGTTTTGCGATCTATTGCAGGAGTCTGAATAATTTGCTGCCGGTATGATGCCGACTGGTGCTTCAAATCTGAAGATCGGCCTTTCAAAACCGGGTTTGACAGGCAAAATGGAGGGAAAGACAGAGTGCAAACTATCTTAAAATGGTGGCAAAATTGAGTAAGAGGAAAGCTCTGTGCCTTAGGGATTAGAAGAAGGGATAATGAAGCAGAAATTCTAAGGCAAATGATTTTAGGAAGATAATGAAAACAGTGATTCCTCAATTTACGACCACAAGAAGAGACTGGACAGCCATTTGTCTGAAATGGTATAGTAGGATTTCCTGCCTGAGCAGGAGGTTGGACTAGATGATCTCCAAGGTCTCTTCCGAATCTGTTATCCTTCCTTCCTTCCTTCCTTCCTTCCTTCCTTCCTTCCTTCCTTCCTTCCTTCCTTCCTTCCTTCCTTCCCTCCCTCCCTCCCTCCCTCCCTCCCTCCCTCCCTCCCTTCTCCAATACTGGAAGTCTTTAAGAAGAGACTGGACATTGTCTGAAATGGTATATAGGGTTTCCTGCCTGAGCAGGGGGTTGGACTAGATGACCTCCAAGGTCCCTTATGAATCTGTTTTTCTCTTTCTTTCTTTCTTTCTTTCTTTCTCTTTCTTTCTTTCTTTCTTCTTTCTTTCTTTCTTTCTTTCTTTCTTTCTTTCTTTCTTTCTTTCTTTCTCTTTCTTTCTTCTTTTTTTCTTCCTTCCTTCTCTCTTTTCCTTCCTTCCTTCCTTCCTTCCTTCCTTCCTTCCTTCCTTCCTTCCTTCCTTCCTTCCTTCCTTCCTTCCTTCCTTCCTTCCTTCCTTCCTCACCCTGCCAACAAAAGTACATATAGTCAAGGCTGTGGTTTTCCCAGTGGCAATGTATGGCTGGGAAAGTGGGACCATAAGAAAGGCCGAGCGCCAAAGAATGGAGGCCTTTGAACTCTGGTGCTGGAGAAGACTCCTGTGAGTCCCCTGGACTGCAAGGCGATCCAACCGGTCAGTCGTAGAGGAGATCAACCCCGACTGCTCTTTAGAAGGCCAGATCCTGAAGCTGAAACTCAAATACTTTGGCCACCTAATGAGAAGGAAGGACTCACTGGAGAAGGGCCTAATGCTGGGAAAGATGGAGGGCAAGAGAAGAATGGGACAACGGAGAATGAGGTGGCTGGATGGAGTCCCTGAAGCAGTAGGTGTGAGCTTAAAGGGACTCCAGAAGATGGTAGAGGACAGGAAGGCCTGGAGGAATGTGGTCCATGTGGTCGCGATGGGTCAGAAACCACTTTGCAACTAACAACAACAACAATCTAGGTTACCCAGGTGCAGAAAAAAAGGATAAAGCAGACAGCTTAAAAAACCAAACCACTTCCCCTAATTTTTTTTTCACTCTTCACTTATCTCGGCCCTATTTAATGACAACCCAATTCCCCAACTTTTTTTTTGGCGTTTGTCATTTTCAAGCCCCCACATCAAACGCACGTCCCAGGCGTGTAGACCGTTCGATGTGTTACTTGGCTGGATTAAAGAAGCGATTGCGGTGCAAATCATCAGCCGAGATCCTTGCCTGGCGGGCGGGTCAAGCTACAGACCCTCCAGGCTGCCGTTTCCAAGGTCTTACACGCGGCTTTCCCAAGAGACCCCTTCAGCATCTCCCAACAAAGGCACAAGTGTACACGTGTCGAGGCAGAAAAAGCCGGGAGATGTTGCGCTCCTCGCTTTCTCCCCGCAATTTCTACGCTGCTCCGCCCAAGGAAAGCCGGGATCCCGAAAGAAGACACCCGCCCCCTCGATCCCCCCCGGGAATGGAAGGGATCGGCCCGAGGGATTTTTATTAATCGACTCTTTTATGCACCTCCAGAAACACAAAATCTCCATCATCAGGAGCCGAGTCGGACCCAACAAAGCGCCGGGCTGGCAACGGACCAATCAGCGCTCAGCTCCTCTCCTATAAATACCAGCGCCCGCCGCGCCGACGGGCACTCGAAAGGTCCGCGTCGGAGGAAGAGGGTATCTTGTCTCTAGGATGGCAGAAGTCGCGCCGGCTGCGCCCGTAGCGGCGGTTCCGCCTTCGAAGGCGAAGAGAACGGCGGGCGCCGCCGCGAAGGTGCAGCAGCGGAAGCCGGCCGGCCCCAGCGTGACGGAGCTGCTGATGCAGGCGGTGGCGGCGTCCAAGGAGCGCGGCGGCATCTCGTTGGCCGCGCTGAAGAAGTCGCTGGCGGCCTCGGGCTACGACGTAGAGACGAACAACAGCCGCATCAAGCTGGGCCTGAAGAGCTTGGTGACCAAGGGGACCCTGCTGCAGACCAAGGGCACCGGCGCCTCGGGCTCCTTCAAGCTCAACAAGAAGCAGGCCGAGCCCAAGGTGAAAGCGGCGGCGGCCCGCAAAAGGAAGCAGCAGCAGCCGGCCAGGAAGCCCGCCAAAAAGGCGAGGAAGGCTCCGGGAGCCGCCGGGCCGAAGAAAGCCCCTAAAAAGGCGGTCAAGAAAGCGCCCAAGGGCGTCAAAAAGCCCAAAGCGTCGGCGGCTAAAGCGAAAAAGGCGGCTAAAAGCCCCGCCAAAGCCAGGGCAGCGAAGCCCAAAGCGAAGCCCAAGACCCCCAAAGCGAAAGTGGCGAAGCCCAAGAAGGGCGTGAAGAAGTGAGCGAGTGAGTCTCCTTACTTGCAAAAGTAAAAAAAAAAACCCCAAAGGCTCTTTTAAGAGCCACCCACAAAAATGTTAAAAGGTGCTGCTTTCCACTAAAACAATTAAGTTGACTCCCTCGCAGGGCTGTTTGGAAAGGGGAGGGAAGTGGCGCGCAGCCGTTTTAATGTCTGTCCCAAGGTAATTCAGGCAAAGCAAAAAAAAATTTAGCAAAAGTTAAAATTTAAATTTAAGGAAAGGAGTTATATAAATCAAAACTTTTAGAGGGAAAGTCAAGCATTTTATAGGGCACTGAAAATGTGACAAGTGAATCAAACAAGACAGTTGGGGGCAAAAAAGTGTTTATTGATAAGATAAGTCCAGAAGTAGCCAATTTCTGGGTCACATTCCTCCATCCAGCTGGGTTTTTGTGCAAGTGAGTTGAGGCCTATCCGGTTCCTTACTTGCTGAAAAAGCAGCTTTTATTTTTTAAAAATTTAAATTTGGCCAAGAGGAACTTGTGTAGTTTCCTGATTTTCAAAAAAGGCAGGGATGCCATGTAACGGAAGCCTAAAAATCCCAGTAATAGCACACCTAATGCTCACCCAGTAGGCAAAAATATTTTAATAGCTTTGGGGGATCCATCCTATAAGCCTCATATTTGTTGTTAGTTGCAAAGTTGCGACCCCATGACAATGTTCCTCCAGGCCTTCCTGTCCTCTACCATCTATATATATATATTAACATTTATATAGGTAGCCATGCTGGCTGAGGAATTCTGGGAGCTGAAGTCCACAAGTTTTCAAAGTTGTCAAGGTTGCAGAGTCCTGTCATATTATAAATAGACCACCCAAATCTATTTTAGTTCAACCTGTCAAATTATGGCTTCAATCCCTAATTTTAAAGGGATGAAGGCAGCAGATCCCAATGCTAAATGAGTAATTTAAATTACTGGCAACCTGTTTCCAATTTCAGTCTTTCTCGGATGTTTTCTAGACGTAAAACGACCGTAATTGGAAATACAGCCGGCGTGATCAGCACTTTCCCTAGAGTAATTTGGTGGCTCTTAAAAGAGCCTTTGGGTTTGTGAAAACGAAGCAGCAATTCCTCACGGCGGTGCTTTTTTTGTCTACGCCCGTTCCCCGCGGATGCGGCGGGCCAGCTGGATGTCCTTGGGCATGATGGTGACGCGCTTGGCGTGGATGGCGCACAGGTTGGTGTCCTCGAAGAGCCCCACCAGGTAGGCCTCGCTCGCCTCCTGCAGCGCCATCACGGCCGAGCTCTGGAAGCGCAGGTCGGTCTTGAAGTCCTGCGCGATCTCGCGTACCAGCCGCTGGAAGGGCAGCTTCCGGATTAGCAGCTCCGTCGACTTTTGGTAGCGGCGGATCTCCCGCAGGGCCACGGTGCCGGGCCGATAGCGGTGAGGCTTTTTCACGCCACCCGTAGCTGGAGCGCTCTTCCGCGCCGCCTTAGTGGCCAGCTGCTTGCGGGGCGCCTTCCCGCCGGTAGACTTGCGAGCGGTCTGCTTGGTACGAGCCATTCCGAGAAACTGCAGCCAGAGTTGTAAACTGCAGTGCTGCTCTTCGGGATATTTATAGGCGCTTCGCAGAGCCTGATTGGCTGAAGCCTAGGAAACATCCGTTTGTGACGTTTGAATTTGGAGGGCCGAGCTGCAATTGGTTGAATTGAGTTGTCAGCTTCGCTTGAGCCGGTTCAAGCGAGCTGCATTTGATTGGACAATAACGACCTAACTCAACGCCAGCTCAATCGCGACGAAGTTTTCTTTCTGGTCGGACTTCCATCTTTATAAGCTATCCCTCCGCAAAGCCTCGAAGTCATTTTCTGCTGGATTTTCAGGATGTCTGGTCGTGGGAAAGGCGGAAAAGGCTTGGGTAAAGGTGGAGCGAAAAGGCACCGGAAGGTGCTGCGCGATAACATCCAAGGCATTACCAAGCCGGCTATCCGCCGCTTGGCTCGCCGCGGAGGCGTGAAGCGAATTTCTGGATTGATCTACGAAGAGACCCGTGGAGTCTTGAAGGTCTTCCTGGAGAACGTGATCCGCGATGCTGTGACCTACACGGAGCACGCTAAAAGGAAGACCGTGACGGCCATGGACGTGGTGTACGCGCTGAAGCGCCAAGGACGTACCTTGTACGGCTTTGGGGGCTGATTCCAGACAAAAGAGACAAAAATAACGGCCCTTTTAAGGGCCACCCACAATTCCAGAAAGAGAGTTGTAGCATATGTAAAAATTCGACATAATTCTACTTCATGAAAATAACTGGAGATGTGATGTGTATTAGTAAAAACTACTCGGTGGTGTAACTGCTATGTAAGTAAGCTAAAAACGCTTTTCTCCATTTCAGATCCTTTTCTAGACTTAGGAGACTTGCCTGGAATTGTTAGGCTTTTGGGTTATTAACATTTTTATAGCGAAATGTGGAGATTCTAGAAAAACAGTTGCAATTTGGAAAAGCACCTTTGGAATTTTGAACCTGGCAATCAGTCTTCAGGGTAACGTTTTTTACTTAGAGATTACAATCTTGGCGATTTACGATTTTAAAAAAACGCCTTAAAATAAAAAGACATTTTTCAGTTAAAAAAATTAAAACCAAGAGGTGAGTCACTCGATAGCAATAGGATATTTAATAAAAGTCCTTGGAATACACTTTCAGGTTTTAACACGAGCCCAGCCAGCAAAAATGTATGCAATGTTACCTCGAATCAAATGTTTTGTATTATTCGAGTCTCACACGTGATCATAGAATCCCCTAGGTAGAAGGGACTTTGGAGGTCTTCTAGTCCAACCCCTGGATATACCCCTTAGGGTGTCTTTGTGTTAGCAGTGCCGAATTTCCAGCACCTTGTTAAGCTTAAATCAGGGGTCTTGCAAGTTGGCCCTTTGATGACTTGTGGACTTCAGCTCCCAGAATTCCTCAGCCAGGCATTCTCACGTCATCAAAGGGCCAACTTGCAAGACCCCTGACCTAAATGAACTGCTTTGGCCATTAGGTAGCTAACGGACTAATACATTGAAAAAAATCAGCTTTTTTCGTGAGGTTGTGGGTGGCTCTTAAAAGAGCCTTTGCAGTCTTATTTGTATTACGTGGAATGAATTACTTCGCCTTGGCTTTGTGGCTCTCCGTCTTCTTGGGCAACAGGACGGCCTGGATGTTGGGCAGGACACCACCCTGGGCGATGGTGACCCGGCCCAGCAGCTTGTTCAGCTCCTCGTCGTTGCGGATGGCCAGCTGCAAGTGGCGCGGGATGATGCGCGTCTTCTTGTTGTCCCGAGCGGCGTTGCCCGCCAGCTCCAGGATCTCGGCCGTCAGGTACTCCAACACGGCGGCCAGGTAGACCGGAGCGCCGGCGCCCACCCGCTCGGCGTAGTTGCCCTTGCGAAGCAGCCGGTGCACGCGGCCCACCGGGAACTGCAGCCCGGCGCGGGAAGAGCGAGTCTTGGCCTTCGCTCTGGCTTTGCCGCCCTGCTTGCCGCGCCCAGACATAATCAACCAATTCCTGTCTCTCCAAAGCCCAGAATGAAACGCTGCACCGCAACCCCGCCTATTTATTTACTCCTCGGGTTTCTAGCGGCGTCTTTTGATTGGGTGGCTGTCGCGCTTCAGGTTGGGCTGTCCAATAAGAACGTCGTTCTTTCAGCCAATTGGAACGCGGCGTTCACCGACTCTGGCGCGCGGTACGTTTTTATGTCTTCCAATCGTAAGCCTCCTCTGAGCGCGTTCCTTTCCCCCGCCCTCCACCTGGACTTGTCTGCTGATTTTTCAGGGTAATTTTGTTTTTTTCTGGTCCAGATCAATAACTATCGTCTTAAACTTAAAGTAATCTCTTTAAATTAAGCCAGTGAACAAACTGGTTGCCTGGCTGGTGCTTCAATGCTAAGTTAGGATGCTTCATTTGATAATGCTGCTCCACTTAATGTAATTTAATTTTAATTGGTGGTTTTAGTTTAAGGGCACTTCATTGAAGATCAAATTAGCCTGACTTTAAATTGTTCTGAAAGTACTTTAAATAGAATGGGCAGAGAGGAAAACATTGCCTATATATTTTATGGGCTATTCCATAAAACTCACCCTTGCAAGCTGATAGCCCTGTAACAATATCCCCTGAACATCTTTTTCGGTCAAGGTGTGGGAAGAATCCAGAGAAAGAAATATTTTGGGAAATATTAAAAAGGCAGAATATATTTCCCCAAAGGATTTTAAAGGCAGAAACCAACCAAACCACCCCCTAGTCTCTCTGCCCCAAACAGAAACCAGGTCTGCAGAAATGCAGATGTGATAATCTTGTCAGAAAGATTCATGAATGAAACATGGCTTCTGTATCTCTTTTTCCGAGCTTTATTCTTGTGATTTGGGGGGGGGGGGATAGTCAAAAGGACTTGGGTGTGTGTGTGCGTTCTTATCCCACTAGAATCAATGTTTTCTTTTGTTCTATTCTCACATCAGCATCTTTTATTGCTTTGCCCCATTTTACGACCTTTGTGCCACACTTGTTAAGTGAATCACTGCAGTTAAGTTAGTAACTGTGATTGTTAAGTGGATCTGGCTTCCCCACCTATCAACATGTCTTCTGTTTTGATGGAATGGTTTCAAGAGCAGTACTGTAGGATCACAACTAATGTCTCCTGAGAACAACTATATTTTTACTCTGTCTAGTTTTCCTCTCTCCCCTCCAAATCACATTCTTGGTTTTCATCCGTTACAATAACCAGCTATAAAAGGGCAACGCTTCTGAAGAACACAAGGAAGAACCAGATAGCGCAAAGGGGCTGTCAACGCTGCTAACATCGGATGTTTTTGCATCGACAACAGAGGGAAATGTAGCCACATTTTACCTTTTGCTTTTAGAGTTAGATGATGTTGGGAAGGGGGATGTGAGCAAGAGTCCAGCTAGACGTAACAACACTAGACCTAGCGTGAGAATCAAGGTTATTGTAACCAGAACTGATAAAGAAGTGGGCTGGAAAACTGGAGAGGAAGCCCTCGTTTCAAGCTAATTGGGGAATGTGATTTACGATTGTTAATTAGTGGAGGGAATTCTGCTTTGATACTATGTGCTCAGGGGAGGGAGGGGAATTCAGTTTTTGGCACCAATTATGCACTGCCGATGCTATGCTACTCCAAATAAAGATTCTGTAAGGAAACAATGCCTCGAAGTTCTTTGGAAGAGTTTCATCGGTCGGAACCGTGACAGGTGGTTTTTTTTTTCAAGTTTTCATCGTACTTGCGAGGCCCCCAAATGTGCTTTTTCATGAGGCAATTAGACCTTGTTTTTCCTTAAAGACGGTTCACTTCTCATTCAAGAAGCTTCATCAGCTCTGACTGGTGAGGAAGGAAGGACCTTTGCAGTCTTCTGGTCGCTAGTACTCCCTCTGAGAATCATTGAGGCCACTTGGAGATTGATCTGTGCCCTCAGGGTCACCTGAATAGTGAAAATGGTTGGGGAACCATCTTGGAACTGCTGAAAAACCCATGTTGCAAATAGGAGACAGGTGGTGTCATATCCCTTCCCCCCTGTTGAGAGAGGGCTGTTCAATTTTAACATAGATGGCCTCTTTGAGCATCTCTGAGACAACCGTTACCTGGATGACTGAGAATCTCCATAGACCAGGGGTAGGCAACCTTGGCTCTTTTATGATTCGTGGACTTCAACTCCCATAATTCCTGAGCCAGCCATGCTGAGGGGAAAGGGAGAGGTTTCCAAGCTGAGCCATGCTGGCTCAGGAATTCTGGGAGTTGAAGTCCACTAGTCCTAAAGGGGGCCATATTTTCCCCATGCTGGCTCAGGAATTCTGGGAGTTGAAGTCCAGAAGTCATGAAGGGGCCATAGTTTCCCCATGCTGGCTCAGGAATTCTAGGAGTTGAAGTCCACGAGTCATGAAGGGGCCATAGTTCCCCCATGCTGGCTCAGGAATTCTGGGAGTTGAAGTCCACAAGTCATGAAAGGAGCCATAGTTCCCCCATGCTGGCTCATGAATTCTGGGAGTTGAAGTCCATGAGTCATAAAAGAGCCAAGAGTGCCTACTCCGGCCATAGACGTACTTGGGAGGGTATGCAAAATTTGACGATATACTGTAACTCAATAACAAAATACATTTTCTTCTTCCCTCTCAAAAAAATGTAAACATAAGGAAGATATATTTATTAATTTAAATTAATTATTTATTAAAACTTGTTAGAGATACCCAATTCCAGGGATTCTGGGCAGGTATGAAACAAAAAAAAAATTAAAACCAGATCAACCGCTTGGATTAAAGCCTTCTGAAAAGCATTACAAATCCCAACCCAGGGCTGTCCAAAATACTGAGGCCTAAACCAAATGTCAAGACCTTTCTGAAATGCCCATATCATTTTTTCCTCCTGCATTTCCCTAGCAGTTGCTCGCAAAAATAAGTCAACCTCTGGTTTTAGGATATTCCATGCAAAAGAAATGGAGGTGCAGTAGAAGCCACAAAGCTACTGAAGCCTCAGCAGGATGGGGAGCATAGAAGCTTAATAAATATTTTAAGGCCACCAACTGGCCATCCGGATGTCTGAAATTTAGAGCCGAGAAACCCAGACTACAAGCAAATTCCAGTTCCCATTATTTCCAGGAAACCTGGAAACCGTTTCCAGATTGTTCCCGCTGAAGCTACAGAAATGACCTTCAGAATTTACGCAGTGGAACATGGGACCTCATCACTTAAGAAGCAGTTAAGGATCAAGCTGCATAAAGGCTTTTTGGCCGGCATTAGTTCCTCAAGCCAATTCTAAGGCCTGCGCAAACGTTTATCGGGATTAACTCAATGAAAATCCCAGAGGTGCTTTTTTCACGAGGCAACTGGACTTTCTTGTTTTTCTTTGAAGACATTTCGCTTCTCCTCCAAGAAGCTTCCTCAGCTCTGACTGGAGGGTGGAGAATGGAAGGATTTATACTTGCCTCGTGAAAAATAAAAAGCATCTTTGGGATAATTATGACCTGGATGACTGAGAAGCTCCATAGAGAAAAGTCAATGGAAATTTCCAAGATTTCCTTCTTGTAGCTTCCAACGTGGTAGCCATTTACAGGGGTCTTCCAACTTGGCCCTTTGAGGACTTGTGGACTTCAACTCCCAAAATTCCTCAGCCAGTGTGCCCGGCTGAGGAATTCTGGGAATTGAAGTCCACAAGCAGGGCTCTTCCAACTTGGCCCTTTGATGACTTGTGGACTTCAACTCCCAGAATTCCTCAGCCAGCATCCTGGCTGAGGAATTCTGGGAGTTAAAGTCCACAAGTCATCAAAGGATCCTAGTTCCCTCACACTGGCTGAGGAATTCTGGGAGTTGAAGCCCACAAGTCATCAAAGGGCCAAGTTGGAAGACCCCTACTTGTGGACTTCAACTCCCAGAATTCCTCAGCCACAAGTCATCAAAGGGCTGGTTCCCTCATGCTAGCTGAGGAATTCTGGGAGTTGCAGTCCACAAGTCATCAAAGGGTCATAGTTCCCTCACGCTGGCTGAGGAATTCTGGGAGTTGAAGTCCACAAGTCATCAAGGGTCCTAGTTCTCTCACACTGGCTGAGGAGTTCTGGGAGTTGAAGTCCACAAGTCATCAAAGGACCAAGTTGGAAGAGCCCCGCATTAGCACCTTTTCACCAGTTTTAAATGTTAAAAGACTTTTTGGAGTTTTCGTTCTGGCCCCGCACGATATATTATATATTTCAGGCGTTACCAAACGCGACGAGCTCTTTTTGTGACTTTGTAAGCGGCTCTGAAAAGAGCCTTGGGGAAGAGTCCAGGCGCTCGGGCCGGGCTGGAGAAGTTGCCTTAAAGTCTCGGCTTCAAGTCTTCTTGGGCAGCAGGACGGCCTGGATGTTCGGCAGGACGCCGCCCTGGGCGATGGTGACCCGGCCCAGCAGCTTGTTCAGCTCCTCGTCGTTGCGGATGGCCAGCTGCAAGTGGCGCGGGATGATGCGCGTCTTCTTGTTGTCCCGAGCGGCGTTGCCCGCCAGCTCCAGGATCTCGGCCGTCAGGTACTCCAGCACGGCGGCCAGGTAGACCGGAGCGCCGGCGCCCACCCGCTCGCCGTAATTGCCCTTGCGAAGCAGCCGGTGCACGCGGCCCACCGGGAACTGCAGCCCGGCGCGGGAAGAGCGAGTCTTGGCCTTCGCTCTGGCTTTGCCGCCCTGCTTGCCGCGTCCAGACATGGTAGCTCTAAACGGCGACAATCCAAAAATTCAAGTGAAGATCGAAGTGAAAAATCGCCCCGGCGTCCTCCTGCTTTTATATTCGCCCGCCGGCTCCTGGAAGGTGGAGGCGATTGGACGAGAAGGAGGCCACTCCTCCAATGAGACGTCGGGTGTGTCTTCCTAGCCAATCAGAGAGGAGCTGCTCAAGATAGCCAGTAGCAAAAGCGGCGAGAAGAACGCTAAGGAAATGTTAGAAGGTCTTTCTTTCTTTCTTTCCCTTTGTTTATTTATTTCCTTTCCCTATTTATTTATTTTCTTTCTTTCTTTCTTTCTTTCTTTTTTTCTTTCCTTTTGCTATTTATTTATTTCCCTTCCTCTTTCTTTCTTTCTTTTTCTTTCTTTCTTTCTTTCCCTTTATTTATTTATTTATTTCCTTTCCCTATTTATTTTTTCTTTCTTTCTTTCTTTCTTTCTTTCTTTCTTTCTTTCTTTCTTTCTTTCTTTCTTTCTTTCTTTCCTTCCTTTCGCTATTTATTTATTTCCCTTCCTCTTTCTTTCTTTCTTTCTTTCTTTTTCTTTCTTTCTTTCCCTTTATTTATTTATTTATTTATTTATTTCCTTTCCCTGTTTATTCTTTCTTTCTTTCTTTCTTTCTTTCTTTCTTTCTTTCTTTCTTTCTTTCTTTCTTTCCCTTCCCTTCCCCTTTATTTATTTATTTATTTCCTTTCCCTATCCTATTTATTTATTTATTGCCTTTCCCTATTTATTTATTTCCCTTCTTCTTTCTTTCTTTCTTTCTTTCTTTCTTTCTTTCTTTCTTTCTTTCTTTCTTTCTTTCTTTCTTTCTCTTTCTTTCTTTCTTTCTTTCTTTCTTTCTTTCTTTCTTTCCCTTCCCTTCCCCTTTATTTATTTATTTATTTCCTTTCCCTATCCTATTTATTTATTTATTGCCTTTCCCTATTTATTTATTTCCCTTCTTTCTTTCTTTCTTTCTTTCTTTCTTTCTTTCTTTCTTTCTTTCTTTTTCTTTCTTTCTTTCTTTCTTTCTTTCTTTCCTTCCTTTCGCTATTTATTTATTTCCCTTCCTCTTTCTTTCTTTCTTTCTTTCTTTTTCTTTCTTTCTTTCCCTTTATTTATTTATTTATTTATTTATTTCCTTTCCCTGTTTATTCTTTCTTTCTTTCTTTCTTTCTTTCTTTCTTTCCCTTCCCTTCCCCTTTATTTATTTATTTATTTCCTTTCCCTATCCTATTTATTTATTTATTGCCTTTCCCTATTTATTTATTTCCCTTCTTTCTTTCTTTCTTTCTTTCTTTCTTTCTTTCTTTCTTTCTTTTTCTTTCTTTCTTTCTTTCTTTCTTTCTTTCTTTCTTTCTTTCTTTCCCTTCCCTTCCCCTTTATTTATTTATTTATTTCCTTTCCCTATCCTATTTATTTATTTATTGCCTTTCCCTATTTATTTATTTCCCTTCTTCTTTCTTTCTTTCTTTCTTTCTTTCTCTTTCTTTCTTTCTTTCTTTCTTTCTTTCTTTCTTTCTTTCCCTTCCCTTCACCTTTATTTATTTATTTATTTCCTTTCCCTATCCTATTTATTTATTTATTGCCTTTCCCTATTTATTTATTTCCCTTCTTTCTTTCTTTCTTTCTTTCTTTCTTTCTTTCTTTCTTTCTTTCTTTCTCTTTCTTTCTTTCTTTCTTTCTTTCTTTCCTTCCTTTCGCTATTTATTTATTTCCCTTCCTCTTTCTTTCTTTCTTTCTTTCTTTTTCTTTCTTTCTTTCCCTTTATTTATTTATTTATTTATTTATTTCCTTTCCCTGTTTATTCTTTCTTTCTTTCTTTCTTTCTTTCTTTCTTTCTTTCTTTCTTTCTTTCTTTCTTTCCCTTCCCTTCCCCTTTATTTATTTATTTATTTCCTTTCCCTATCCTATTTATTTATTTATTGCCTTTCCCTATTTATTTATTTCCCTTCTTCTTTCTTTCTTTCTTTCTTTCTTTCTTTCTTTCTTTCTTTCTTTCTTTTTCTTTCTTTCTTTCTTTCTTTCTCTTTCTTTCTTTCTTTCTTTCTTTCTTTCTTTCGGGGGAGGACTTCAACTTCGGGAAAACGGTAAACCGAGATTCTAGCTCAGTGTTTCCCAAACTTGACAATTTTAAGGCATGTTGGCTGTGGAATTCTGGGAGTTGAAGTCCTCATGCCTTAAAATTGTCAAGTTTGGGAAACACTGTTCTAGCTGAAGGATGCAAAAGAGATTGATTTCTTGCAAAAAGGAGCCATACGCCCCTCCCTCCCCCCCCCCAAAAGAAATTTCTGCCCCTTTCTTTTTCCAATTGGGATTTCATGTTCAGTTTGGCCGAGCAATTGATGCACGGAATCCTTGCATGCCAATTTAATAAGCACCGATAAAGAGTTTCAGGATGACTACATTATTTGCAGGCACATCACTGGACAGGTAACTGTCAAGCACAACTGGCACCAGAATTTCCACTGCTAAGCCAGGCAGTTTTTAGGTGAGAAAATGGCTGATTTTGCGATATTTTCTTTGTTGTCATGGTGCTTAAGCTAATCGCTGCTGATCTTATGTGAATCATGTGGTCATTATGCTTCAGCCATTGCTTGTCAGAAAGTGGGAAGGTTGCAAACGGCGATCCCATGATCCCGGAGCGTTGTACTGTTGTAAATACTGGTTTGGCACAAACGTGAATTTTGATTTGGTGACCATGGGGGGGGGGATGCTGTGAGAGTTGTAATTGCAAGGACCAGGTGATATAGGGTATAGGGTTTCTTGCCTGAGCAGGGGGTTGGACTAGATGACCTCCAAGGTCCCTTCCAACTTTATTACTATTATTATTATCGATCATCGCACAGTCAGCCAGATGTTCAGACTGGATTTGGCATTTTGTCTACCTATCGAGTCCTTACCCAGGATTATTATTATTATTATTATTATTATTGATCATCGCACAGTCAGCCAGATGTTTAGACTGGATTTGGCATTTTTGTCTACCTATCGAGTCCTAGTAAGGCCGCCTTTTGCAATTGACTAATAGCGAATTTGTCAATGCCGATGATGGTGTTCAAGTGGTGCTCCAGTTGTTTTGGGATTGCACCCAAGGCGCCTATGACTATTGGTACTACCCTTGCTTGCCTTTGCCACAGTCTTTGTATTTCTATTTGTAGGTCTTTGTATTTTGTTATTTTCTCCAGTTCTTTCTCGTCTATTCTGCTGTCTCCAGGCAATAATAATAATAATAATAATAATATGTTTCGCTGACTGTAAGAGAGGGGGACAGACTGCAAAAATCAGAAATGCATTTTGACTCCCTGAGAGGGAAAAGAAAGATTTCTTGTTGCTGAATGAGCCCCTTATAAAAGAATAGTTCTGCAACCAGTTGTTTTTGATACTACAAGTAGTCCTCTACTTATAACTAACTATTCCTTTAGCACAGTGGTTCTCAACCTGTGGGTCGGGACCCCATTTGGGGTCGAACAACTATTTCACAGGGGTCACCAAACAACGCAGTCCACCATTCCCCCCCCCCTTTTCCTTAGCTGTGCTACTCCCTTTTATTCTATTGGCTTTTGAAAGCCAATAGAAGAGACTCTCTTGAATAGAGTCTGATTCTATTGGCTTTCAAAAGCCAATAGAATTGTCCAGGCTGTCTCTGCCCTGCTGAGCCCGCCAAAAGCCCCAGTCTGCAAACGGTGCTGCACCAGTTGAGTAGTCCTCGACTTACGACCGGTTGAGTAGTCCTCGACTTACGACCGGTTGGGGGTCGCGGCATTAAAAAGGTTGAGAACCACTGCTTTAGCAACTGCTTGAAATTACTGGAGCACGGAAAAAAGGGACTTAGGACCGTCTTCCAAACTTACGACCGTTGCAGCATCCCCGTGGTCACGGGATCAAAATCCAGACGCTTGGTCAACTGACTCGTGTTTACGATGGTTGCCTTTTCCAGGGTGACGTGATCGCATCCTGTGACATTCCGACAAGCAAAGTCAAGGGGGGAAATCCAGTGCAGTGATTCACTAAACAACAGTGGCAAGGAAAGGTCGTAAAAGGGGGCAAAACTCACTTAACAACCGTCTCACTTAGTAACCGAAATCCTGGGCACGTGCAGTCGTAAGTTGAGGACTAAGCTGCAGTGAACTATCAAACAGGCAGCAAGGAAATCTATAGGAAGTGTCGCAAGTGTTTTTTTCCGAAGGGGCATTGGTGGTTCAGTGGTAGAATTCTCGCCTGCCACGCGGGAGGCCCGGGTTCGATTCCCGGCCAATGCAACAAGAGTATTTTTTTTTTTTTTACACTTTGATTCGTTGGCTACTGAATTTCTCCCAATAGGGTTGAAGGAGCGAGGTGGGCTGCCAAGAGACGCCCGTTGTCCTTGCAACGCACCATTTCCACTTCAACGGCCCCCTCTCCCTAGGGCGCACGAACATCATTCCAGGCTCTACTCCAAGCATAAAAAAATGGAAGGAAGAGGGCAAAAGAGCGGGAAGCCGGCTTCAGTCCCGCGACCGCGCACGCGCTCCGGCGCTTTCAGGTGTGGGCGCGGCCGCGCATGCTCCGTTCCTCCCCCTCGGCGGATGGTGCCCGGCGCCGCGATGGAAGCGGGCAAGATGGCGTCGCCCAAGAGCGCCCCGAAGGACGCGCAGGTGGGGCTGGGGAGAGGCTGGGGAAGCCGGGAGGCTTTTGATGGTGCGGGGGCCGAGAGGGCAGCGCCGCCTCTCTTCGTCTCTGCCTCCCCGGCGCTGGCGCTGCTCCCCAAGTGGACGATGGGCTTTGTAGTCCGAGGGCTCTGTACTGGGGGGGGGCGGGGGTCTCTCCGCTGCATCTGCCCCTGATTTACTCTGCCTCTACTTTCCTTCCTTCCTTTCTCCTCCCTTGCTCCCTCCTTCCTTCTTTCCTATCTCCTTCCTTTTTCCCTTCCTTCCTTCCTTTATATTCCTTACTTTCTTCTGTCACATTCCTTCTTTCCTTCCTCCTCCCTCGCTCCCTCCTTCTCATTCCCATCTCCTTCCTTCCTCCCTTGCTCCCTCCCTCCTTCTTTCCCATCTCTTTCCTTCTTTCCTTCCTTCCTTCCTCCTCCCTCGCTCCTTCTTTCCCATCTCCTTCCTTCTTTCCTTCCTTCCTCGCTCCCTCCTTCTTTCCCATCTCCTTCCTTCCTTCCTTCCTTCCTTCCTTCCTTCCTTCCTTCCTTCCTTCCTTCCTTCCTTCCTTCCTTCCTTCCTCTCTCCTCCCTCTCTCTCTCCCTCCTTCCTTCCTTCCTCTCTCCTCCCTCTCTCCCTCCTTCTCATTCCTATCTCCTTCCTTCCTTTACATTCCTTCCTTCCTTCTGTCGCATTCCTTCCTTCCTTCCACCTCCATCACTCCCTTCTTCTCATTCCCATCTCCTTCTTTCCTCCTCCCTCCCTCCTCCTCATTCCTATCTCTTTCCTTCCTTTACATTCCTCCCTCCCATCCATCTCCCTTATTTTCTTCTGCCTCCTTCTTTCTTTCTTTCTTTCTTTCATTCCTTCCTCCCTTCCTCCATCCCATGTTTTCCTCCCTCCCATGTTTCCTTCCTTCCTTCCTCCTCCCTCCCTCCCTCCCTCCCTCCCTCCCTCCTCCTCATTCCTATCTCTTTCCTTCCTTTACATTCCTCCCTCCCATCCATCTCCCTTATTTCCTTCTGCCTCCTTCCTTCTTTCTTCCTTTCTTTCATTCCTTCCTCCCTTCCTCCATCCCATGTTTTCCTCCCTCCCTCCCATGTTTCCTTCCTTCCTTCCTTCCTTCCTTCCTTCCTTCCTTCCTTCCTTCCTTCCTTCCTTCCTTCCTTCCTTCCTTCCTTCCTTCCTATTCCTTCCCTCCCTCCCTCCTTTCCTTCTATTGCTCTTCCTTCTTTCCTTCTACATCCTCCCTCCCTCCCTCTATTATGGCTCCTGGGGTGTTTTTTACTCCCTCTTTTCTAAAGGGCTCCTGGTCACCCCTTTGCACCCTCTCCCCGCAACCTGAGGCCGCTTTCAGGTGCACGGATGGCTGCCAGTCCGAGGACCGGCTTTAGAGAACACCTTGTAAGCTTTTAAGCACTCGGAGCTTGAATCCCAGCAGGTCCCCCTTGGAAGACCTGCCCTGTCCCTTTTCCTGACTGATTGTCCAAGGTGGATTAAGCAGAGCCGGTTTCTTTCAAGCGCATCAGCCACAATGAACTTCACCCAAACTGGACAAATAGAAAAGGAGGAACAGAGATCTAAATTATTTGGCGGCGGGAGGAAGAAAGGAGTAGGGTAGAAAACCGAGAGAGAAGCTTTAGAACTTTGTTTAGTTTTCAGAGGCCAAGAAACATTAGGAAAAGGAACTCATCAAAAGTGGGTTGCTGTTATTGCTGTGGTGTGCCTGACTATTTCATTCCGTTGCACAGGTGATGGCCCAGATTCTAAAAGATACGGGAATTATTGAGTATGAACCGCGGGTTATAAACCAGATGTTGGAATTTGCATACAGTAAGTGATTTTCTTGGTTGCCTCTGCGTGTTCCTACGCCGCTCTGTTTGCTCCCTCTTTGCCACAGAGGCAGAATCCACAATAACAAATTCCCTTTCAAAAACCTTGGAATGGAGTCTGTCTCCTTGAGCAGCTTGATCTGAGATGCCCTAAATAATCCCAAATAAACCAGGATTCCCAGACTTTCTACCACAAAATAAAAAAGGTTCCAGGGAGACCAAAATCTCAAGGCTGTTAAAGCCTAATTTCTTTCTAGAAAACAGGCCTCTGCAAAAACCTTTCCTTCTGGGAGACGATGGATTTTTCAGAAGGGGCCTGATCTATTTTTCAGTGCCGTTGTAACATCGAACGGTCACTAAATGAATGGCTGTCGAGGACTTCCTGTATCCTCGTTGTGTTCCTTTGTTATTGTTTATTTTATTCTATTATTTTACTTACGTTCCGTTTACACTGCTTTCGTTTTTCATCTTTCTTTTTCCTTCCTTCCTTCCTTCCTTCCTTCCTTCCTTCCTTCCTTCCTTCCTTCCTTCCTTCCTTCCTTCCTTCCTTCCTTCCTTCCTTCCTTCTTTCCCTTGTACACGGGTATATGAGGAAAGTTATGTTCAGCAGAAAGTCAGCAGAAAGTGTAAGATTGCTGATCATCTGCCTGCGGTTTTAGGTTGGGAAAGGGTATAAAGTAGTGGTTCTCACCCTGTGGGTCGGGACCCCATTTGGGTTTGAATGACCATTTCCCGGGGGTCGCCAAACAACGCAGTCCACCATTTTTTTCCCCTTTTCCTTAGCTGTGCTACTCCCTTTTATTCTATTGGCTTTTGAAAGCCAATAGAATAGAGTCTCTTGAATAGACTCTAATTCTATTGGCTTTCAAAGCCAATAGGAATTGTCCAGAAGTCCCATTCTGCAAACGGTGCTGCACCAGTTGAGTAGTCCTCAACTTACGACCGGTTGGGGGTCGCGGCATTCAAAAGGTTGAGAACCAGTGGTATAAAGAGTTGGGACTGGACCTGATTGATTTGCCACTGGCCTATAGCTGTCCTTGGTGGACCTGCTATGTGACTGGACCTCATTGCAATGGGTTACTAATGTAAGCGATGTTGTGTTATTACATTTGCTATGTTCCAAATTATTAGCAAAATAAACCTCTGAATCTTAAAGTAAGAATTTATTGTTCTGTGTTGCTGCCTCTTGTCCTTTTCACTGGGTTTTCCCCACCGCAGTGCGTCCTGATCGGTTTGCTCCCGGTTTGAAATTGCGACTGTGGGAACGATAACCCGTTTGGGAAAGTGGGAGGCAGGTGACGGGAAGACCGGCTGCTGTGCCCTCTGGTGTGAATCTCTGCCTTCTTCCTTTTCATCTGCTTTGTTTCGTTTCCCGGAAAAGGATACGTGACGACGATCCTGGAAGATGCAAAAATTTATTCCAGCCACGCCAAAAAGTCAAGCGTTGATGCGGACGACGTGAGGTTAGCCATCCAATGCCGGACAGACCAGTCGTTCACTTCCCCACCGCCCAGAGACGTATGTTTTTCAAATCTTTTTCGTTCGAATCTTGCCTTAGGCTGGGGGAAATGGAATTGCTGTTTTGGGGGAAGGCGTGTCTAGGGAGATTCTCAGCCATCCAGCTCATAGTTATGGCAAAGGTGCTTTTTTCACATTTTTCACATAGGCAACTAGACTGTCTTGTTTTTTCTTTGAAGACGTTTCACTTCTCATCCCAGAAGCTTCTTCCGCTCTGACCGAATGGTGGGGGAATGGAAGGATTTATACTCCTTTGCAGTCCTCTGGTCATTTGCCTTTTTTAAGAGAGCCGTTGAGGCCACTTGGAGGTTTATCTGTGTCCTCAGGGTCAGCTGAATGGTGCAAATGGGTGTGGAGCTTTCTTGGAACTGCTGAAAGGACCGTCTGGTAGATGGATTGTGATGACCCAGAGCCCCCGAACGTAGGCAAAGCACTTAGCTGGTCAGAATAATTGTCTTTGTAAGCACTGCCAACGTTCACCCAACAGCCCCCACATACGCTGGCACAAGTTCAATAAAACAGTCAACGGAGTTCAACAGTTCTTTAAAGTAAAACAGATAACAAACAAAGTATGATCTTTTCCACGCCCAGGCTTGCCTGTAACCTGCAAACTGCAAAACAAGGAGAACTCCGCAGGAAACAAACTTGATCCAAAATGCAAAGAGTCCCCGTACAAGAGCTCACATCACAAGAGTTCACGTTTGTTCCCGGCAAATGTCCCACCCCACAGTGTCTCCTTAAACACCTACTCCCCAGGTGTCCCTTGTGGAGTGGGGCGGGACGCTCTCCTCCCAAACAAGTGAGCCTGCTTCTGTTGTTCCCGCCTCCTCTCTGCTCTCCTTGCTCTGGGATCTGGCGGGGAGGGGCCTTGCTCCTTGCCCAAGCTCTGCCTTCCCTGTTCCAAACTTGAAGGGCCCTGGCCTGCTTCAGCCTGTTCCTCCCTACCGTCCTCCGAAGCCACAGACACGGTCCCCTGGGCCTCAACAGGGAACTCCATGTCGTGTCCCTCCCCCTCTGTTGACGGAGGGCTGTTCAGTTTTGAACTAGTTGGCCTCTTTGACCCCCTCTTTCAAACCATCCAGCAAAGTCCACATTTTGGACAGAGAGGACAACACAGCCCTTTCAGCAGCTCCAAGAAGGCTCCACATCCATTTGCACCACTCAGCAACAAATATGATCAGGGGGCTGGAGGCTAAAACACATGAAGAACGGTTGCTGGAACTGGGGATGTCTAGTTTAATGAAGAGAAGGACGAGGGGGGACGTGATAGCAGGGTTCCAGTATCTCAGGGGCTGCCCCAAAGAAGAGGGAGTCAAGCTGTTCTCCAAAGCCCCAGAAGGCAGGACAAGAAGCAACGGATGGAGACTAATCAAGGAGAGAGCCAACTTATTGATTATTTTCTGACAGTGAGAACAATTAATCAATGGAAGGGCTTGCCTGCAGATGTGGGTGCTCCAAAGCTGGATAAATTTTATACAATCTAAGTATCATTTAGCTTTTGAATAATTTATATTTAAAGTTTAAGATATTATTTAGAAGTGTAGAATAGTTTTTTTCCCCCTCTTATTATTTTTCTTATTTTCTTTCTTTTCTTCTTTTTCTCTTTCTGTTTTTTATATATAATGGAGTTAAAGTACTTAACAATTTGTTTATTGAATGTAATCATATTTGTTTGAGGTTTATTTGAGTTTAAAAGTTTTTTCTTTTAAGTTCTAGTTAACCCTGTATTCAGCTCTGGGAAGAATGAGGGAGGGTTTTGGGGTGGGTTGGGAGGGATTGGGAAAGGGGTTTTTATTGTAAAATTGTAAAAATTTATAATAATAATAAAAAAGAGAATGGACAGCCATTTGTCTGAAATGGTATAGGGTCTCTTCCCCGAGCAGGGGGTTGGGCTAGAGGACCTCCAAGGTCCCTTCCCACCTTACTGTTCTATGTCTTTGTGTCTCACAGTTTTTGCTGGATATTGCAAGGCAGAAAAACCAGACCCCGCTGCCTTTGATTAAACCCTACTCGGGACCAAGACTGCCTCCAGACCGATACTGCCTGACAGCTCCAAACTACAGACTGAAGTCTCTGCAGAAAAAGGTAAGGACATTTATACTAAAATGGACCCTTTTGTGTGGCTGGCAGAAATCCAGACTTTCCTACCTTCAGTGGGGTGGAAAATATCCTTTAAAAAGCTAGCGTTTAGAATCACGTCCCGTTTCCCCGTTTATCGCTTCTTTGTTTAGTCATCTAGGCCAGCATTCTGGCTGGGGAATTCTGGGAGTTAAGTCCACACATCTTGAAAAGTTGCCATGCTTGGAAAAACAAAACAACAACACCACCCAGAATTAAACCGCCTTTCCAGGCAAGCTTTTACACAATTCATGTTCTTGAGACAGAATTTTCCCAAGAGGGTGGGCTCCACGTCAGATGGACTTCGATTCCCATCATCCCCCAGCCTGGGAAAAATGGAAAGCTGCTTTAGCATTTTCTTTAGATCCTGATCCAAAATCCCTTGTGCTCGGAAGGGATGTGTGGATGTCGAGTGAGGAGATCTGATCACTGTTGGGATTAATCATCAATTAAGCAGTGGATGCTCCCAACACTGGAAGTTTTTAAGAAGAGACTGGACAGCCGTTTGTCTGAAATGGAATAGGGTTTCCTGCCTGGGCAGGGGGTTGGACTAGATGACCTCCAAGGTCCCAGCTTTATTATTCCTTCCTTCCTTCCTTCCTTCCTTCCTTCCTTCCCTCCCTCCCACCCTCCCTCCCTCCAGTGTCAACATTGGAAGTTTTTAAGAACAGACTGGACACCCATTTGTCTGAAATGGGATAGGGTTTCCTGCCTGGGCTGAGGGTTGGACTAGATGACCTCCAAGGTCCCAGTTTTATTATTCTGTCCTTCCTTCCTTCCTTCCTTCCTTCCTTCCTTCCTTCCTTCCTTCCTTCCTTCCTTCGTTCCTCCCTCCCTCCCTCCCTCCCTCCCTCCCTCCCTCCTCCAACACTGGAAGTTTTTAAGAAGAGATTGGACAGCCACTTGTCTGAAATGGTATAGGGTTTCCTGCCTGAATAGGGGGTTGGACTAGATGATCTCCAAGATCCCTTCCAACTTTGTTGTTATTATTATTGTTATTAGAATTAGAATTATTAGAATTAGAATAATTCTCGTTTATTCTAATTCTAACAATTAGAATTAGACTTTGCTTGTCAAAGCTTGCCGCAAAAGGGTGGATCGATCACATGACACACACACACACATACACACACACACACACACACACACACACACCGGAATGCTGCGATTTGTCATAACAATGCATCTGAATTTTGATCCCAGGACCGTGCAGGAGCGCCAACGGTCGTAAATGTGAAAAACGGTCCTGTCTTAAATGTGAAAGATGGTCCTAAAGTCCCTTTCTTTTCAGGGCTGTTGCAACTTGGTCACTAAATGAACTGTTGTAATTCAAGGACGACCATAGGCTCTGCAGTTTCGACCGACTCTTGGTTCTGCTTTTTCCCCAGATCTCGTCGTCTGCTGGGAGGATCACCGTGCCCCGGCTGAGCGTTGGCGCCGTCAGCAGCCGACCTAGCACACCCACCTTAGGTAAGAAGCCCCTCCAATTTTTTTGGGGGGGAAGGAGGGGGCTGTCTGCTCATGGCTTCCAAGGTGTTTCTTTTCTCCACCTGCTTTCCCTTCTATGATGACCCAGGGCACGGCACCGAGGCAACGCAGTGAGCTGGCAATTCAAACCGCCCTTTAATTGCTCCAAATTTTCCCCAAATGCTCCCGCTTTTCTGGCAAGCCTCCAAACACAAGAAGACATACTTCAGCCGCCTCTGGCTGCAAGCAGTTTCACATACAGTCTGATTAGGAGAGGAATTTACTCAAGGCCATGGAGATAAGAAGGAATGACGCATACATTATAAACCTAACAAGTCTGTGTGAACACACGCTTGCCTGAGCAGTTTCAAAGGGAAGCCAAAATACAGTCCGAGTTCTTTGAACATCCAAGCAATGTTGTCAGCTAGTCCAATGGTCAGTGTCCAGGTTTCCCAGCAGAAGTCACAGAACAAGAGATCAGCAACAACACAAACACACACACAACTCCAAAGAATCAGCGTTTGTTCCCGACAAATGCCTCTCCCCACAGCGTCTTCTTAAATCTCAGTCTCCAGATGTGCCTTGTGGAGAGGGGCGGGATGTTCTCCCGAGTAGTAGTAGTTGATCCTGCCTGCGCTGTTCCCTCCTTCTCTCCACTTTCCGTGCTCTAGGATCAGGAGGGGGTGGCCCTTGCTCATCGCCTGAACTCTGCCTCTCCTGTTCAGCCTGTCCCACTCCTGAAGGGCCCTGGCCTGCCTCGGCCTGCTCTTCCCACATTCCTCTGAAAACACAGACCCCTCCATCTCTGACTGAAGCATGACACCTTCCTCAAAGTCTGTCTCTTTATATGTGGCTATTCCATGGTGCTCCAGCAGGTGGCGGCAACACCTTGCCAAGCTTGGCTGATCTAGCTGGCTTCGATCTTTTAATACTGGGATGGGAGACCACCAAGAGACCACCGGTTTTACAAAACAAATATACAAACCCCCCCCCCACCCCACTTCAGCAGAAGAAGAGCAGGAAACCGTTGAGGTATTCTTGCTTGCTTCTTGTCATCCAGCTTCCATCAGTTCTTCTTCTCTTTGTCTGGTTTATTCTCCTGCTCCAGCAGGGGGTTGGACTAGAAGACCTCCAAGGTCCCTTCCAGCTCTATTCTGATTGAAAAGAGATTTAACCCTCCCTTTTTGTTTAATCCGTGCTCTTACAGTAACTTTTCAAAACGCATGTTTGTTTATTTACCGAATAAATAAACAGCGAGATGGGTGGCACAGAAAGGGACCATGGAGGTCCTCTAGTCCAACCCCCTGCTCAGGCAGAAAACCCTATAGTACCATTTCAGACAAATGGCTGTCCCATCTCTTCTTAAAAACTTCCGGCGTTGGAGCATTCGCCGCTTCCGGAGGCAGGTTGAAATTGAAATTGAATAGATCGATAGGCTGAGGTAAAAAATAAATAAATAAATAAATCAACCTAATAAAGAAGATATACAATTAATCTTATCTGAGTTTACCAAATAGATAAAACAAGCACGTGAGCTAGCAAGCTGATTGGGTTGTGGGGGGGGGGGAGGGTTTGCTGGGGAGGCTGTATTTTTCTCAGCCTTATGGAGCCTGGAGTTCTGCATTTGCAAGCGATGGGTGGGTTAAGAGTCTTCTTCTCGGCCAGCGGTTCTCAACCTGTGAGTCGGGACCCCATTTGGGGTTGAACGACCATTTCACGGGGGTCGCCAAACAACACAGTCCGCCATTTTTCCCCCCCTTTTCCTTAGCTGTGCTCCTCCCTTTTATTCTATTGGCTTTGGAAAGCCAATAGGATAGACTCTCTTGAATAGAGTCTACTTCTATTAGCTTTCAAAAGCCAATAGGAATTGTCCAGGCTGTCTCTGCCCTGCTGAGCCCGCCAAAAGTCCCATTCTGCAAACGGTGCTGCACCAGTTGAGTAGTCCTCGACTTACAACCGGTTGAGTAGTCCTCAACTTACGACCGGTTGGGGGTAACGGCATTAAAAAGGTTGAGAACCACTGTTCTAGGCTCTCCTTCGCTGCCCTTCCGGTCTGACCTGCCTCGCCTCAAATTGTCGTTTTTCCCCATTTGCAGGACCCCCTTCGGCGCAGGCGGTCTCCGTTTCGGCCAAAGTCGGGACTCCCGTCTCGCTGACCGGACAGAGGTTTACCGTCCAGATCCCCACCTCTCAAACATCTGTGAAGTCAGGTGAGGGGGTTTTGAGTGTTACTTTGGGCAGGAGGAGGGAGTGAGAAGAAGGGAGAACGGGGTGGGGTGAAGCCCCCTCCGGGACCTGGTCATAGGCTTGAAATGGTCGCCTCACTTTTACCTTCCTTCGGTTCTCCTCGAGGGAAAACATAAAAAACTCCTTAAGGGTATTTCTATTCTATTCTATTCTATTCTATTCTATTCTATTCTGTTCTGTTCTGTTCTATTTTATTCTGTTCTGTTCTGTTCTATTCTATTCTATTCTATTCTATTCTATTTTATTATTTTATTTTTAGTATTTTATTTTATATTTTATTTTATTATTTCTTCTTGTCTTCCCTTCCTTTTTCTCTCTTCTCTTCCCTTCCCTTCCCTTTTCAAGTATTTTATTAGTCTTAATATTAGTAGTAGTAGTAGTAGTAGTAGTAGTAGTAGTAGTAAAGTTGGGACCATGTAGGTCATCTAGTCCAACCCCCTGCTCAAGGAAACCCTATACCATTTCGGACAAATGGCTGTCAGGTCTCTTAAAAACTTCCAGTGTTGGAGCATTCACCGTTTCTGGAGGCAGGTAGTTCCACTGGTTAATTGTTCTCACTGTCAGGAAGTTTCTCCTTAGTTCTAGGTTGTTTTTTTTCTTAGTCCTAGCTAGGGCATTTCCATTTTCTTATGAATAGTAATTTTAATCTGAATCAACCTGGAGCCCATTAAGAGGGGCTGGAGATTTTTTTTTTTTTTTTTGCACTACTTTATCCGGGAAAGAAAGTGGGTGGAGACATTTTGGGTGAGCCCCCCAAATCTTGGGACATTAAGGCACAGGAAGCTAGTAATCCTGGATCTAGAAAGAAAAGGGGTTCGCCTCAGCTCTGCTCACACTGAACCAAAACCTGAAAACTGTCTTTTAAGTCCAGGCACTTATCCTGTGAGGTCGGATCAACGTTGACAGCTTGAAGAGGGGCGGACTTCAAGGCCCAGAATTCCCCAGCCAGTATGGGAGATAGCAACCTCAGACACTTTAAGATGGGGGGAGCCTCTTGCCCCAATCAATCTGGGTCCTGATTTAGATAGATAGATAGATAGATAGATAGATAGATAGATAGATAGATAGATAGATAGATAGATAGATAGATAGAGATACATAGAGATAGAGATAGATAGATAGATAGATAGATAGATAGATAGATAGCAATAGCACTTAGACTTATATACCGCTTCATAGTGTTTTACAATCCTCTCTTACAGAGTCAGCTTATTGCCCCCAACAATCTGGGTCCTGATTTAGATTCAGATAGATAGATAGATAGATAGATAAGAGAGAGAGAGAGAGAGGGAGGGAGATATGAATCTGGGTCCTGATTTAGATTGAGACAGAGACAGAGAGAGATGATAGATGGAGATAGATAGATAGATAGATAGATAGATAGATAGATAGATAGCAATAGCACTTAGACTTATATACCTCATTTAGATTCATATATATATATATATATATATATATATATATATATATATATATAGAGAGAGAGAGAGAGAGAGAGAGAGAGAGAGAGAGAGAGAGAGAGAGAGAGAGAGACTAGACAGACAGACAGACATACGCACACACACACAGAGATGATAGACATAGATGATGGATGGATGGATGGATAGGTAGATAGATAAATAGCAATAGCTCATAAGCTTATATACCGCTACATACTGTTTTACAGCCCTCTCTAAGCAGTTTATAGATTCAGCCTATGACCCCCCCCCCAAACAATCTGGGTCCTCATTTTACTGACCTGGGAAGGACGGAAGGCCAAGTCAAATATCTATATCTATATCTTATCTTATCTTATATTACGTTACATTATATTAATTATATTATATTATTATTATATTATATTATCATATTATAACCTCCCTCTCGTGTTTTATGTGTCTGCTTGATCCTTGCTCTCCCTCTCCCCAGTCGCCCCCACCACCCCCACCGTGCAAAACGTCCTGATCAACCCCTCGCTGATCGGCTCCAAGAACATCCTCATCACCACCAACATGGTCTCCTCCCAGGGCGCCGTGGGCGAGGTGCCCAACCTCTTGAAGCGGAAACACGAGGAAGAGGAGGATTACGACGTTTTATGAGCTCCCATGGGGCTCGGCTCCCCCCCCCCCCGCGACCGCCCACCACGCTCCTTCCAAAATCTTGTGCCAAACCAGGTGCATTTTCAACCGGGACACCCCAGACTTAAAAAGGTCCACCTTTTTGGCGTTTCTCGCAAAATTGCATTGGAGGGACTCTGAGCTGTTTGCAGGCAGGAGAGTTTTGTGTGTGTGTGTGTGTGTATGAGAGAGTTGTGGGGGGGCTGTCAAAGGAGGAGGAACTGAAGCCATCCAGCCCCCTCTCCTCGCAAAAAGACGGTGCTGTGATTTTAACTAGGCGGATAAAGTGCATTTATCTGTCTTCATCTAACTTGGAAGGGAAGGAAATTTTGACTAGGGAGGTGTCGGGTTCACACAACCGTGGTTTTTTTGTGTGTGTGTCATTTGAGGTCCCCTGTCCTGTTGTGGGAAACCCCCTCCGCTATCGCTTCTGTGTTTGTGTGTGTATGTGTGTTAAGTCGTCCGTCGATTCTGCAGAGACTGGGATGCGAAAGAAGTTCATCCCCCCCGCCCCCCGTATTTCGTGTGCTTTTTGTTTCCTGAAAGGAACGGAACAATTTCGGTGCGGCACGAAACCACCTCTGCCAAGTTTTGTTCTGTTCACGTCACCCGGAAAAGGACAGGGCCTTGTGTGGCTGTGAGGATTGCCGACCCTCCTTGCCGTTCTTTTGTAGGTCACTGCCACAAACAGCCACAATTTTGTATTTCTTTGAGAGCTGTGTTCTAAATTAAACATTTTTTTTTTCCATTGAGGAATAATGCAACAGAGATGTTTGTTTTTTTTCCAGAGATTTTTTTTTGTGGGCTTAAGGCTGCAAAGATTTGCTTTTGGGATGGGGGGGGGGCCTCTGCAATCTTTCTTAGTCCTCAGAGACCCTCAGTGGGGCTAGTGCAAAACCACCCCCCCATAGTCCACCCCCCACCCACCCAATAGCATTTGGCTGTGCTGTAGAGAGCGGCGGTCTCCAATATTTCCAGCTTGGTGGATCCACGGAATTGGCAGGATGGGGATGGTTTTGCATGTGTTCACACTGCTTTCACAAATGCAGCTTTGTGCACAAACTCACACTCACAACTTCCACAACCTGGTTCTGAATGGCTCTGGGCCACAGACCTGGCGTTGGGGGTCCCCTGCTGCAAAGCCAAGATGTCACTTAAAGCAGGGGTTCTCAACCGTGGCAGCTTTAAGACTTCTGGACTTCAACTCCCAGAATTCCTCAGCCAGCATGCCTGGCTGAGGAATTCTGGGGGTTGAAGTCCACAAGTCATCAAAGGACCATAGTTCCCTCACGCTGGCTGAGGAATTCTGGGAGTTGAAGTCCACAAGTCATCAAAGGGTCATAGTTCCCTCACGCCGCTGAGGAATTCTGGGAGTTGAAGTCTACAAGTTATAAAAGGGTCATAGTTTCCTCACACCAGCTGAGGAATTCTGGAAGTCCCAAGTCATCAAAGGGTCATAATTCCCTCACGCTGGCTGAGGAATTCTGGGAGTTGAAGTCTACAAGTTATAAAAGGGTCATAGTTTCCTCACACCAGCTGAGGAATTCTGGAAGTCCCAAGTCATCAAAGGGTCATAATTCCCTCACGCTGGCTGAGGAATTCTGGGAGTTGAAGTCTGCAAGTCATCAATGTTGCCAAGGTTGAGGACCCCTGCCTTAAGGGACAACCCAAGAGCCCAGCCAGGTCAGTGTGGACCCCCCCCACTTAACGGGGACCCCAGGACAATGGCTGGCCCGGAGAGCAATTAGCGGGGTTCCCGGGGTCGGGAAAGGCTGGTTGAGTTTTGATTCCTCTCCTCGCTTTTGCAGAGCCACTGTATTGGGGAGGGGGTCTCGATTCTCCGTCGGCTTCGAGGAAGGCCCCCCCTTTTTGCCTGGGGCCGGTGGAAGCCAGCCAAAGAAGCCATCTTTCCGGGTTGCAAACCTTTATTTATTAATCTATACACATCCTAAAAGGGACTATTTACACATTAAAAGAGGAGAGGGGTGGGCGGGCTGACTGCTCGCTCTCCTCCATGAAGCCCTCTTTGATCGGGGTGCAGCCGGAGAAGAGGCGGCTGGTGTTGCTCAGGAGCCGCTTCCGATGCTTCTTCAAAGTGGGCAGCGGGACTTTGGCCCCCTCCAAGGGTCCCAGGGCCAGGAAGGAGGAGGCCGGGGCGCCGTTCTGGGGGGCTGCCAAGGATTCGGGCTTGATGGTGTCTTCCAGGCCCTGGGAGGAGGGGGGAGATGGAGGGAGAGGGGGAGAAGGGAGGGAAGGAGGGAGGGTGGGGGATATGGAAGGAGGGAGGGGGGGGAAGGAGAGGGAGGGAAGGGAAAGGGAGGGAAGGAAAGGGAAGGAGGAGGGAGGGAGGAGAAGGGAAGGCAGGGAGAGGGAAGGAGAGAAGGGAGAGGGAGAAAGGACGGGGAAAGGGAGATAGGGAAGGAAAGGGAGGGAGAGGGGGAGAGGGAGGAGGAAGGAGAGGGTGGGGGATATGGAAGGAGGGAAAGGGGAGAAGGAGGGAGGGAGGGAGGAAAGGGATGGGGAGAGGGAAGGAGAGGGAGGAAGGAGAGAAAGGGGGAGGGAAGGGAAGGAGAGAAGGAGGGGGAAAGGGAGGGAGAGGGAGGAGAAGGAGAGAGGGTGGGTGATATGGAAGGAGGGAGTGGGAAAGGAGGGAGGGGAAAAGAAAGGGAGGGAGGAAAGGGATGGGGAGAGGGAGAACAAAGGAAAGAGGGAGAGGGAGGGAAGGAGACAGAGGGAAGGGAAAGGGAGGAAGGGAAGGAGAGAAGGAGGGGGAAAGGGAGGGAGGGAAGGAAAAGGAGGGAAAGGGGGAGGAGGGAGAGGGAGGAAGGGAAGGAAAGAAGGAGGGGGAGGAAGGGAGAGGGAAGGAGAGGGAGGAAGTGAAGGAGAAGGGAGAGGGAGGAGGAGAGGGAAAGAGGGAAGGAAAGCGAGGGAGAGGGAAGGAAAGCGAGGGAGAGGGAGGGAGAGAGGGAGGAAGGGAAGGAGAGAAGGAGGGGGAGGAAGGGAGAGGGAAGGAAAGGGAGGGAAAGGAGGAGGAGGGAGAGGGAGGAAGGGAAGGAAAGAAGGAGGGGGAGGAAGGGAGAGGGAAGGAGAGGGAGGAAGTGAAGGAGAAGGGAGAGGGAGGAGGAGAGGGAAAGAGGGAAGGAAAGCGAGGGAGAGGGAAGGAAAGCGAGGGAGAGGGAAGGAGAGGGAGGAAGTGAAGGAGAGAAGGGAGAGGGAGGAGAGGGAAAGGGAGAGAGGGAAGGAAAGCGAGGGAGAGGGAGGGAGAGAGGGAGGAAGGGAAGGACAGAGGGAGGGGGAGAGAGGGAGAAAGAGACAATGTGAGCTGATGGAAGTCAAGGGGGAATTGCACGTCAACGGATTCGCTTCAGGACCGACCGATTCGCTTCACAACTGCAGCCCCTCGCTTTACCCCACTCTGGCAAAAAGAATCTGGATCGCGTGACCCCGGGGAAGGTCGCGTCGCTCGTTAAGTGTAATCAACGGTCCCAAGTCCCTTTTTTCCAATGCCGTTGTAACGTCGGTCACTAAACAGAACGTCGTAAGTCGAGGACTACCTTTTTGTTTTTTTTAAAAAGACCACCAGTTGATTGTCTTGCTCAACAACAGCCTCTCCCTGCTTCCCCCCAAGCCACAGCCTCCTCCCCCCCCCAGTGAAAGCTCAGAGCCCCCCCAATTCATTTACCCCACCCCGACGGCCTCTTTGTACCATTGCTGGTGTGATGGGGGGCGCAAAGAAAGTGTCTCCGCAGGTCACCTGGGTGGGATCCTCCAGGGTGAAGGTCCTCTCCCGCAGGTCTCCCGTCAGCTCGTCGCTCAGCAGCCCGTCCTAAGGGGGGAAAGAAAAGGCAGGCGGGTGTCAGCCAGGTCGAGCTCACCTTCAGCGGATGGAGCTGGACCGGGAGGGGCAGCCTGGAGTCCAGCTCGGTCCGTCCCCGAGTCCCTTTTTCTGGCTCCGAGCAACTTCCCGACACAAAACAGGGAGTCACTGGGCAGCTGAAGGCAGTTTTTCCTGGCCAATTGACCTCCAGATGTGTCGGAGTAGAATGGAATGGAATAATAATAGAATAGAATAGAGAATAGAATAGAATAAAATTAGAATTAGGAATAGAATGAAATAGAATAGAATAAGGACTAGAATAGAATAGAATATATGGAATGGAATAGAATAGAATAGAAATTGGAATATAGAATAGAGTAGAATAGAGTAAAATAGAGAATATAATAGAATAAAATTAGAAATAGAATGGAATAGAATAGAATAAGGAATAGAATAGAATAAGGAATAGTATTATGGGATAGAATAGAATAGAATTATGGGATAGGAAGAATAGAGCTGGAAGGGACCTTGGAGATCTTTTAGTCCAGCCCCCCCCCCCCCCCCTCGAGCCACAGAACCTACACCAGGGGTAGGCCACCTTGGCTCTTTTATGACTGGTGGACTTCAACTCCCAGAATTCCTGAGCCAGCCTGGCTCAGCTTGGAAACCTCTCCCTTTTCCCTCAGCGTGGCTGGCTCAGGAATTCTGGGAGTTGAAGTCCACGAGTCATAAAAGAGCCAAATTGGCCTACCCCTATACCATCTCAGACAGGTGACTGTCCAGCCTCTTCTTAAAAACCTCCAGTGATGGAGCGCCCAGGATTTCTGGTGGCCAGCTGTTCCACTGGTGAATTGTCCTCACTGTCACGAAGTTTCTCCTTAATTCCAGGTTGGCTCTCTCTTTGACCAGCTTCTAACCATTGTTTCTCGTCCTGCCCTCTGGTGCTTTGGTGAACAACCTGGCCTCCCTCTGCCTTGTGGCAGCCCCCCCCCCCCAAATACCGGAACGCTGCTATCCCCTATTTCTTCTTTTCTTTAGACGACTAGCCAAACCCAAGTCCCGCAGCCGTCCTTCATATGCTTTAGCCTCCAGGCCTTGGATCCTCTTAGCTCAGTGGTTCTCAACCTGTGGGTCGGGACTCCATTTGGGGTCGAACGACCATTTCACAACGCAGTCCGCCATTTTTTCCCACCTTTTCCTTAGCTGTGCTCCTCCCTTTTATTCTATTGGCTTTTGAAAGCCAATAGAATAGACTCTCTTGAATAGAGTCTAATTCTATTGGCTTTCAAAAGCCAATAGGAATTGTCCAGGCCGTCTCTGCCCTGCTGAGCCCGCCAAAAGTCCCCTTCTGCAAACGGTGCTGCACCAGTTGAGTAGTCCTCGACTTACGACCGGTTGAGTAGTCCTCGACTTACGGCCGGTTGGGGGTCGCGGCATTAAAAAAGGTTGAGAACCACCGTCTTAGCTGCTCTTCTCTGAACTTTTTCCCAAACTCTCCAGAAGAAGAAGGCTTCCCCACCGGGTGGAACTCACCAAGAACCCATTCTCCCGGTTCCGACACTTCTCTCCCTCACAACGACAGTCCTCCGAGCAGGCCAGTTTGTGTTTCCGACAACCGCACTGCTTGTTCGCGCAGCGGCCTCGGCAGGTGCACTAGAGGAGATTCCCCCCCCCCCAGGAGAAAAGTCAGGGAGACACACACACACCCACCAGAAAAGGACGGTGAGAAGGAAAGCACCAACGCCAAGACCCAACAGCGAGGGTCAGGCAAGCCGTTCCCCCCAAGGCCAGAAGATGGGCAGGTGGGCTGAGAAGACAGTGAAGGAGGGCCAGGGTGGGGTGGTGGCAAAGGGGCTGGCTGGGAAACCAGGAGACGGTGAGTTCTAGTCCCCCCCCCTTGGGCCTGAAAGACAGAGCTGGGTGACTTTGGGGCCAATCGCCAGGAGACGGTGAGTTCTAGTCGTACCTGAGGCGTGAAAAACTGGCTGGGTGGTTTTGGGCCAGCCAAATACTAGGAGACTGTGAGTTCTAGTTCTACCTTAGGCATAAAAGCCAACGGGGTGATTTGGGGCCAATCACCAGGAAACGGTGAGTTCTAGTCCTGCCTTAGGCATAAAAAACTGGCTGAGTAACTTTGGGCCAATCACCAAGAGACTGTGAGTTCTAGTCCTGCCTTAGGCATAAAAAACTGGCTGAGTAACTTTGGGCCAATCACCAGGAGACGGTGAGTTCTAGTCCTGCCTTAGGCATGAAAAACTGGCTGGGTAACTTTGGGGCCAATCACCAGGAGACGGTGAGTTCTAGTCCTGCCTTAGGCATAAAAAACTGGATGAGTAACTTTGGGCCAATCACCAGGAGACGGTGAGTTCTAGTCCTGCCTTAGGCATGAAAAACTGGCTGGGCGATTTTGGGCCAATCACTAGATCGTAAATTCTAGATCTACCTTACACATAAAAGCCAGCGGGGTGATTTGGGGCCAATCACTAGGAGACGGTGAGTTCTAGTCCCGCCTTAGACCTGAAGACAGCTGGGTGACTTTGGGGCCAATCACTAGGTGAATTCTAGTCCTGCCTTAGGCATGAAAAACTGACTGGGTAACTTTGGGCCAATCACCAGGAGACGGTGAGTTCTAGTCCTGCCTTAGGGATGAAAAACTGGCTGGGTGATTTTGGGCCAGCCAATCCGTAGGAGACTGTAAGTTCTAGTTCCATTTTAGGCATAGAAGCCAGCTGGGTGATTTTGGGCCAATCAACTGGGAGACGGTGAATTTTAGTCCTACTTTAGACCTAAAAGCTGACTAGGTGACGCTAAGCCAGTGCCTCTTTCTCAGCCCAGCTTACCTTACAGTTATGGAAAAAATGATAGGAGGTGGGAGTAGGAGGTGTATTGAGTGATATATGAAAAAAAGGGCAGAATGAAAATCTAAAGAAAAAGAAAAAAGAAACCCAGATCTTAATGTAAGTAAGTAAGTGCTCAAGACCTTAGTTAGAAGCGAAGATCCCAGGGCCTGGTGCTCACAGAATTCCAGCCTGCGGGAATTCTTCCTAGCAATTGCAGCCAATCATCTCGCTCCCGCCTGGTAATATGGAGGCCTTCAGATCCCTCCCGTGAGCGCACGCACACCCTTTGTCCATTTGAAATAATTTATTTTAAACTCACTTACTTCTATGATTCATATCTGGAACTGAAGGGGCTTAGACCAGGGGTCTTCAAACTCGGCCCTTTGATGACTTGTGGACTTCAACTCCCAGAGTTCCTCAATCAGGCACACCTGGCTGAGGAATTCTGGGAGTTGAAGTCCACAAGTCATCAAAGGATCATAGTTCCCTCACGCTGGCTGAGGAATTCTGGGAGTTGAAGTCCACAAGTTATCAAAGGGCCAGGTTTGAAGACCCCCGGCTTAGACCACCCTGGCTGGTCTGTCTTTCGGCAGGGAAAGAAAGGAATTCGACTCAATGGCTGCCAGCTGAGACAGAAAAAGCGAGCCTCCATATTCAGGAGCAGTCTCCTGGAAAACTGAGGAGAGTGACATGAAGGATGATTTCTCCCTGTCACTCACGTACCCCTAAAATGCTCTTCTTCATGCCTCGGGCAATTTTGGGCGGCACCCAGTCATCCTCCGCTTCTTCTGTCGACTCAGAGGATTCGGAGAAGGGGTCTTCGGGACTCATTTCGGCTTTTGCTTTCGCGCTGGTCATCCGGCGAGGCTTCGGCTGAAGAAGGAGGGAAGAAAGTTGCTAAGCGAAGGAAGGGCAAAGAATACTTCACAGGGCTAGTTTAGGTCAGGGATAGGCCACCTTGGCCCTTTGATGACTGGTGGACTTCAACTCCCAGAATTCCTCAGCCAGCATGAGGGAAACTTTGGCCCCTTCATGACTCATGGACTTCAACTCCCAGAATTCCTCAGCCAGCATGAGGGAAACTTTGGCCCCTTCATGACTCATGGACTTCAACTCCCAGATTCCTCAGCCAGCATGAGGGAAACTTTGGCCCCTTCATGACTCATGGACTTCAACTCCCAGAATTCCTCAGCCAGCATGAGGGAAACTTTGGCCCCTTCATGACTCATGGACTTCAACTCCCAGAATTCCTCAGCCAGCATGAGGGAAACTTTGGCCCCTTCATGACTCATGGACTCCAACTCCCAGAATTCCTCAGCCAGCATGAGGGAAACTTTGGCCCCTTCATGACTCATGGACTCCAACTCCCAGAATTCCTCAGCCAGCATGAGGGAAACTTTGGCCCCTTCATGACTCATGGACTCCAACTCCCAGAATTCCTCAGCCAGCATGGCTCAGCTTGGAAACCTCTTCATTTCTCCTCAGCATGGCTGGTGCAGGAATTCTGGGAGTTGAAGTCCACGAGTCATAAAAGAGCCAAGGTGGCCTACCCCTGGTTTAGGCAAGCAATGGGCAGCCTTGAAGCATACAGCTACAGACTAAGATGGTGTTTCTCAATCTGTGCGACTTTAAGAGAGGTGGACTTCAACTCCCAGAATTCCTCAGCCAGCCCAGCGTTGGCTGGCTGAGGAATTCTGGGAGTTGAAGTGCGCAAGTCTTAAAGTTGCCAAGTTTGAAGACCCCCGCTTGCTCAATGGTTGCTGCTTGACAAACCATACATAAACCAGGCAGGCTGGGGAATTCTGGGAGTTGAAGTCCACCTGTCTTAAAGCAGCTGACTTTGGAATTCTGGGAGTTGAAGTCCATCTTAAAGCATGGCTGGCTGGGGAATTCTGGCAGCTGAAGTTCACCCATCTTAAAAGCATTCTGGCTGGGGGATTCTGGGAGTGGAAATCCACCCATCTTAAAGGATTCTGGCTGGGGAATTCTGGGAGTTAAAGTCCACCCATCTTAAAGCATGGCTGGCTGGGGAATTCTGGGAGTGGAAGTGCATCCATTTTAAAGCAGGCTGGCTGGGGAATTCTGGGAATGCAAGTCCACACATTTTAAAGCAGGCTGGCTGTAGAATTCCGGGAGTGGAAATCCACCCATCTTAAAGCAGGCTGCCTGGAGAATTCATTGTGATGATATGGGCGGCAAATACATTTAATAAATAATAACAACAACAACATGGTCTTAAGACTTCCAGAATTTTTAGGCAACATGGTCGCTCCGAAGTCGGATAATTACGCGGCTGCTGTTTAACAGTAACCGGGACAACGGAAATATTATAAATTTCCCTATTTCTATGCCCTGCGGCAGTGGCCAGCCCACAGAAGACGTTGGTGAGGCCAGCCCCTCCCTCAGAAGACCTCCCCCCCCAAAGAACACCCACCTTGGGAGGGATGTAATCAAAAGGAGATTCGGGACTGTCTCCGAGGCCGGGATCCACGTGGTAGATCTTCTGCCCGCTAGCAGCCTGGAGAATGGTCAGCTTCTGCGGGAGGAAAGATGGAGGGTGGGTGGTGTTCGCCCAGAAACAGGCGAGGTTACCTGTCCAGGCAGGTGACGCCCTTCCTCGGACTCACCTGCTTCAGCCTGTCCAGCTCTTCGCACAGCTGCTGGTTCTTCTCAAACACCTCTTTCATTTTTCCCAGCTCTTCGTCCTGCCCGCCGAAGGGGAGAGGCAGGAGGGGCAAAGAGAAAGGAAAAGACAGGCGTGTTCGTTTAGCGACCGCTTAGCCAAGCTCCAACGGCACCGACAAAAAGCGAACGAATAGTTGATAAAGGGAACTGGGGTTATTTAAAACCTGGAAACAGCCAACCCAGGAGAGTCCGCCTCGGCTACCTCGTGTCCTGAAACGTTATCGAGACACCCCTGGATTTAAGGCCATTCCCCCCCCGCCCTTTACCTGGAATTTGAGGCGCTCGAAAAGCTGCTGCTCCCGTTCCGAAATGGACATTTCCAGCCTTTTCTCAGCTTCTTCCTTTTGCGGGACTTGGCTGAGCAGGTAGAAGATCTGCCAAAGGGACAGGAAAGACGGTGGCAGCGTTTGGGAGGACGAAGGCAGTCCAGGAAGTGGAAGTCCCATAAGCCCCAGCTTCACCGGGCTTTCTCCCTCCTAATAGCATTTCGGCTCCAAGCCAGCTCCGGAGTTGATGCTTGAGGGTGCTGGTGGGGAAGGGGAAGCTGGATCCCCTGAACAACATTCTTACGCAGGGGTCTTCCAACTGGGCTCTTTGGTGACTTGTGGACTTCAACTCCCAGAATTCCTTAGCCAGGTGTGCCTGGTTGAGGAACTCTGGGAGTTGAAGTCCACAAGCAGGGGTCTTCAAACTTGGCCCTTTGATGACCTGTGGACTTCAACTCCTAGAATTCCTCAGCCAGCATGAGGGAACTGTGACTCTTTGATGACTTGTGGACTTCAACTCCCAGAATTCCTCAGCCAGCGTGAGGGAACTGTGACCCTTTGATGACTTGTGGACTTCAACTCCCAGAATTCCTCAGCCAGGTGTGCCTGATTGAGGAACTCTGGGAGTTGAAGTCCACAAGCAGGGGTCTTCAAGCTTGGCCCTTTGATGACTTGTGGACTTCAACTCCCAGAATTCCTCAGCCAGCGTGAGCGAACTATGACCCTGAAGCTTCTTCAGCTCTGACTAGATGGTGGGGAATGGAAGGATTTATACTCCTTGCAGACAGCTGGTCATTTGCCTTCTTTTGGAGGGTCGTTGAGAGCACTTGGAGATTTACCTGTGTCCTCAGGGTCCATATTCTGGACAGAGAGGACCGCTGGGTTGAAAGAGGGCTCAAAGAGGCCACCTCGGTCCCTAACCCTAACCCTTCAACAGAGAGGGAGGGATACGACACCATCTCTCTCCAGTCTACCACACAGCCCTTTCAGCAGTTCCAAGAAGGCTCCACGTCCATCTGCACCGCCCAGGGGACCCTGAGGACATAGATAAACCTCCAAGTGGCCTCAACGGCCCTCTAAAAGAAGGCAAATGACCAGCGGTCTGCAAGGAGTATAAATCCTTCCATTCCCCACCATTTAGTCAGAGCTGAAGAAGCCTCCCGGGTGAGAAGCAAAACGTCTTCAAAGAAAAACAAGGAAGTCCAGTTGCCTTCTGAAAAAAAAAAAAAAAAAAAAAGAAATCTAAAAGCATCTTTGGGACAACCTGGATGACGGAGAATGTCCGCCATCTTTTTTTTTGTGTCCGGGCCGTACCTTCTCCTGGTACTCCTCTTGCACCTGGACCAGGCGCCTCTCCAGCTCGGCCTCCGCGTCGGCAGCCCCCTTCCGCTCCTCCAGAAGCATCTTGTGCACGTCGGCGCAGGCGGTTTTGTTCTGCTGAAGGCGGCTTTCCAGCTTCCCGTTTTCCACTTTGGAGGAGACCAGCTTTTTTCGGGAGCAAGGAAGTTCCAGCACAAGGAGAGGACGTTAGGAGAGCTTCTGGCCACATACACACACCTCTTGACCAGCACCTCTTGAAGGTACCAACCACCACATCGTGGGGCCAGGCGGGCCAGCAAGGAAGGCCCCGGTGACGTTTCTGGGGTGGTCCCCTGGCTTCTCTGCGCCCCCCCCCAAACTTACTTCCCCAATCAGGTATTTGATGCCGCACTTGGCTTCCGATAGGGTGGCAATGTTTTCCCAGCGCTGTTTGGTCCGGTCGCTGGTCTCGGCGTCCAGCAACTTTTGCTGCAGATCTGCAATCTGGGCGCTCCTGTGGAACGGGGTCAAAGAGTTGGCGGGCTTTAGCCATAGCACTTAAGACTTATATACCGCTTATGTACCACAGCTTGCAGAGTCAGACTCTTGCGCCCCCCCCCCCAACAATCTGGGTCTTGATTTTAGCGACCTCGGAAGGACGGAAGGCTGAGTCAACCTTGAGTCGGTCAGGATTGAACTGCTGGCAGGGGGCAGAGGGAGGAAGGAAGGAAGGAAGGAAGGAAGGAAGGAAGGAAGGAAGGAAGGAAGGAAGGAAGGAAGGGGAGAGATTGGAATAAGAAGGGAGAAAGGAAAGAAATTGGAATAAGGGAGGGAGGGAGGGAGAAAGGAAGGAAGGAAGGAAGGAAGGAGAAGAGGGAGGGAGGAAGGGCAGTTGCAATAGACTTATATACCACTTCACAATGCTTTGCAGCCCTCTGTAAGCAGTTTACAGACTCAGCCTCTTGCCCCCAACAATCTGGGTCGTCATTTTACTGACCTGGGCAGGAAGGAAGGAAGGAAGGAAGGAAGGAAGGAAGGAAGGAAGGAAGGAAGGAAGGAAGGAAGGAAGGAAGGAAGGAGAGGGAGGAAGGAAGGGCAATAGCAATAGACTTATATACCACTTCACAATGCTTTGCAGCCCTCTCTGAGCGGTTTACAGACTCAGCCTCTTGCCCCCAACAATCTGGGTTGTCATTTTACTGACCTGGGCAGGAAGGAAAGAAGGAAGGAAGGAGGGAGGAAGGAAAGAAGGGCACAAGTAATAGACTTATATACCACTTCACAATGCTCTGCAGCCCTCTCTAAGCGGTTTACAGAATCAGCCTCTTGCCCCCAACAATCTGGGTCCTGATTTTACCGACCTCGGAAGTCCAGTTGCCTCTTGAAAAAAAATACCTTTGGGACAACCAGGATGACGGAGAATCTCCATAGACATCGAGACCCTAAGGCAGGCATCTTCCAACTTGGCCCTTTAATGACTTGTGGACTTCAACTCCCAGAATTCCTGAGCCAGGCACGCTGGGCTGAGGAATTCTGGGAGCTGAAGTCCACAAGTCATCAAAGGGCCGAGTTGGAAGACCCCTGCCCTAAGCCATTCCAGACAAACGCCTGTCCCATCTCTTCTTGAAAGCCTCCAGCGATGGAGCACCCACCACTTCTGGAGGCAAGTCGTTCCATTGCTTGATGACCGCCGCTAGCCTGTCCTGCTTTGCGCCTACGGAGGCGTCCAGCTGTCATTCATAACCCTTCCATCTATTCCACATTTGGTCTTTTGATCATCTTAAGGCAGGGTCTGCCAACCTTGGCCCCTTTTAAGACTTTTGGACTTTAGCTTCCCGGAAAACCTGCTGGGGAATTCTGGGAGTTGAAGACCACGGGTTTTAAAGCGGGCCGAGGTCGACAAACCCCGATTGAAGAAGCCAGCTTCTCGTATCCTCTTACCTCAGCTCCATTTCGGTCTCCAGGCTCTCAATCTGCTTGCTGATGGAATGGTTGACTTCCATGGATTTGTAGGAAAAGGTCCGTCTCTGGGGAGGAACAAGCGTCGGAGAAAACCCCAAAGGCTGAGTTTAGTGGGGTGAAATTCCTTTAAAGCCAGGAAATGAGAGGGAATCACCTCCCAGCCCGCTTCCAAAGACCTGGATTAAGAGAAGAGGGAAGTACCCCCACTTTCCCCTCCGGGCTCCCGCAGGCTCACCCTGTATTTGGACGGGAGAACCTCGCCAGCCTCCTGCTTCTCCTTCAGCAGCGCAATCTCCTTGGCCAACGTCTTGCGGTCATCCAGAAGGTCGTTTAGATGGTGGCGGGCTTCTTGTATGCTCACGAGGACCTCAACTTCGTTCATCAGCCAGTTCTGGGATGGAGGAGAGGACCTTGGTGCCCGGGAACCCATGGCAGTCTCTCTCTCTCTCCCACTTGCGCCCGGCCACCCTTCCCCTCATCCACTGCCCGCCGGGGAAGAAGGCAAGCCTGCTTTCCCCAGCTGCCAGGAATCCGAGGGGATCTAAGGAGCAAGAGGGCCGTTTGCGGAGCCTCACCTTCACCCGGGCAGCGGCCGCTTCGAAGCCCCGGTTCTGAAGGACCTTCCGCTTCGTCCCGGCATCGTGCTGCTTCTGGAGGGCGTCCTTCAAGCGCTTGTTAGCTGCTGCAGCCTGGGATGGATGGCAGAGAAGGTCAGAAGGTTGGGAGAAAAGAGATGGAGCCTTACAGGGCAGTCCTCGACTTAACAACTGTTGCAGCCAGTCAGGTGATGAGAAACAATGGAGAGCGTCTGGACTAAACCGCATCGTTGTCTGGGTTTGGTGGCAGCAAAGCCTCAGATAGAAGAGGGTGCTAAGGACAGCCAAGATCATCGGAAGCTTGCTTCCCATTATATAGGATACGGCTTGTAAGCAATCATGTGTGCTTAGAGCTCGGAGCATCATTAGAGACCCCCCACACACACACCACTTCACGGTCTGTTCCTGTTGCTCCCCTCTAGGAGGAGGTTTTGAAGTATTTATAGCGGAACGACAAGATTCTGTAACAAGCTTTGTTCCTTAGGCCGAACTAGACTGTGAATGTTTCTCTGTGTCATATATGTTTGTGTAATGTGGGTAAGTGCATAGTTGTATTTTTTGGAGAGCGGAATGCAACAAAGTTTCGTTTTAATGTATGCTGACTAATGTACATTTAAATCAGTGTTTCTCAACCTTGACAATTTTAAGACATGTGGACTTCAACTCCCAGAATTCCACAGCCAGCATTGCTGGCTGTGGAATTCTGGGAGTTGAAGTCCACATGCCTTAAAATTGTCAAGGTTGAGAAACACTGATTTAAAGTGACAATAAAGTTTCTATTCTATTCTATTCTGTTCTGTTCCATTAATTCTATTCTATTCTATTCCATTCTTATTTCTTATTCTATTCTATTTCCTATTCTAGTGGTGGCAAACCTACGGCACGCGTGCCAGAGGTGGCACTCAGACCCCTCTCTGTGGGCCTGTGCACCATCGCCCCAGCCCTGCCTCCCCCCATGGCCCCTCCTTCTCACCAGCAACCCCCCCCCAGAAGAGAGTTGCCCCCGAGCGCAGTCTGCACAAAGCAACACAGCCAAGGGCATGGCAACGAGGCAGCGGGGACAAGACTCTGCACTCGCACCCTGTCCCACGCAGATGATGCTGCAGGGCATGGGCAGAGGGTGGCCACCATGGCGCTGCTGGGCTGCCTGGGCGATCTGCTGCGGGGGGGGCGTGGTGGGGGGCCATGCGGGTGGGCGGGGCGCGGAGTGGGGGTGGGTAGGGAGGCTGGGGCGGTTTTTGGGCACTTGGTCTCTAAAAGGTTCGCCATCACTATCCTATTCTATTCTATTCTATTCCACTTATTTCTTATTCCATTCTACTCTATTCCATTCTTATTTCTTATTCCATTCTTATTTCTTATTCTAATCTATTTCCTATTCTATTCCATTCCATTCCACATTTTCTATTCTATTCCATTCCACTTATTTCTTATTCCATTCTACTCTATTCCATTCTTATTTCTTATTCTATTCTATTTCCTATTCCATTCCATTCCATATTTTCTATTCTATTCTATTCTATTTTACCCCACTCCACATTTTCTATTCTATTCTATTCTATTCCATTTATTTCTTATTCTATTCTACTCTATTCCATTATTTCTTATTCTATTCTATTTCCTATTCCATATCACTCCATTCCATATTTTCTATTCTATTCTATTCTATTTTACCCCACTCCACATTTTCTATTCTATTCTATTCTATTCCATTCCACTTATTTCTTATTCTATTCTACTCTATTCCATTCTTATTTCTTATTCTATTCTATTTCCTATTCCATATCACTCCATTCCATATTTTCTATTCTATTCTATTCTATTTTACCCCACTCCACATTTTCTATTCTATTCTATTCTATTCCATTCCACTTATTTCTTATTCTATTCTACTCTATTCCATTCTTATTTCTTATTCTATTCTATTTCCTATTCCATATCACTCCATTCCATATTTTCTATTCTATTCTATTCTATTTTACCCCACTCCACATTTTCTATTCTATTCTATTCCATTCCATTCCCACAGTGGCTTCCCTCACTGGCTCCGCTTGTCAGAAGGCCGCAAACGATGATCACGTGACCCAGGGGAACGCTGTGACCATCATAAATATGAGTCAGTGGCCAAGTGTGCCAATTTTGATCTCGTTATCCTGGGGATGCTGCAAGTGTGAAAAACGGTCATAAATAACTTTTTTTTTGCTTCCGTTGTAATTTGGAACGGTCACTAAATGAACGGTTGTAAAGCCGAGGACTACCACGGTTATTCTAAGGGGAAACACGGGGCGGGGGGGGGGAGACTTCTGAAAGAGGAAAGGAGAGGTGTCAGCGGTCCCTCACTTCTTCGGCTTTCCGTCGGAGGACGGCGGCCTGCTTCTGGAAGTCCTGCTCCAGCTTGACCAGTTCATACTGCCGCTTGCGATCCTGAGGAAGGAGACAAGATTAGATTAGATTAGATTAGATTAGATCAGGGCTTTTCAACCTTTTCACCCACTGTACCACTTTTAGGATATGGCAACATCCGAAGACCACCAGTCGCCTAGCAAGGTGTCCAAAACTTGATGACCCCCCGCCCAAAAAAGTGATAAAGTACAGGTCGTCCTCGACTTACAACAGTGCGCTTAGTGACTGTTCGAAGTTACAATGGCACTGAAAAAAGTGCCCCCCAAGCCACAGCTGAGCAAGACACCTGCCTGCCCACCCGGTGGCGTTCTTCCTCCTGTCCGAGGTTTTCATTGTTGTGAGCATTTCTGTTGAGTATTGGCAGCGGGGGTGGGGTGGGGGGGTGTTTGGTTTTTATTCCCCGTCTGCTGGGTGGTTGCAGCAGGTTTTGGTCACTTCCCATGACCCTGGGACACTGTGACCGTCATAAATATGAATCAGTTGCCAAGCATCTGGATGTAAATCACAAGACCCTGGAGAGGCTGCAACATTCCAGCTGATTGGCACTTCTTCTGGGCTCAGCAGAAGCGCCAGGATCAGTTCTGCTTTCCAGCTGATTGGTACTTCAGGACTCAGCAGAAGCGCCAGGATCAGTTCTGCTTTCCAGCTGATTGGTACTTCAGGACTCAGCAGAAGCGCCAGGATCAGTGCTGAGCTCCAGCTGGATCCTGGCACTGATCCTGGCGCTTCCGCTGAGCCCTGACAGCCCTGCAGCTCCAACCATCTCTTGCTCAGGCTTGTGCGGTGCTGCCCCCGGTTCAGCTCATTCCCCTCCCCCGCTACCACTTTTCTAGGATGGTCACGTACCACCTGCCAGGTGCCAATGGACCACAGGTGGTACCCGTACCACTGGTTGAAAAGCCTTGGGTTAGATAACCTTTATTGTCATTTTTTCCCCCCTGTGGATCCAACGGCACACGTTAAAAATGAAATTCAGTTGCTCCCTCTCAAAGCGTACGCCTAGACAGCATTTGTTTAAAACATACTACAGTAGTGGCCCAAATGGTGGAAACCTTTTGGGAAAAAGTGTAGAAATGCCACTTATGGTTTAAGTTTCCACCCATTTTTCTTCTCATTTCTTTATAAACCGTAGCCTCGTTCACCTAATAATGCTATTTTACGCCGCTTTCTGGGCGACCGATCAACTCTTTGCAATTGGGTGAAGGTCTGGGTTATTCCCAGGCCTTAGGATTATCTTGAAAGCACTTTTTGCGCCCAGCAGCAACGAGACACGGAGCTGAATCCTGTTGAAATATAAACGCTTCATTGTCTCGGAAAAGATCGCGCGCGGAAGGCTTCGGTTTGGGCTCCAACTATTTCACTGAGGTGTTTTTGGCCCCATTAATCGCACCAATTCGGCCCGCACCTTTTGATATCATACAACCCCAGATCGTAACACTGACTGGGTGTTATGTCCTCAGGGTCACCCGAGCGGTGCAAATGGGTGGAGAGTCTTCTTGGCTGCAGGGACAACAGGGCAGAAGTCTTCCTGTGACCAACAAGGCTCCACACCCATTTGCATCACTCAGGTGACCCTGAGGACTCAGAGAAGTCTCCAAGTGGCCTCAACGACCCTCTAAAACAGGGGTGTCAAACTCAATTTCACTGAGGGCCGCATCAGCATTGCGGTTGCCCTGGGGGGGGGGCTGGGTGGGTGCGGCCTACTGGGTGGGCGTAGATGGAGTGGGTGTGACCTATTGGGTGGGGCGTGGCCAGTTCTACATCACTCGCGTGAAGGGTGCCTGTGGGGGCCTGGGCAGGAGTGGGACAGATCTGAGGGTCTCTGGCAGAAGGGGGTGGGACCGGGGCAAGTGCCAAGGCATGGTCCACTGGGGCAAGTGCCAAGATGGCCACCACAAAATTGTACATTGGCTCCCGGATGGCCTGGGCCAGGGCCAAGGCAGCAGGGGCTGTTCCCTCACTGTTTCTAGGATGGCTTCACGGGCCACATGAAACCACTTCGCGGGCCGCATCCGGCCCCCCGGGGCCTTGTGTTTGACATGTCTGCTCTAAAAGAAGCCAAATGACCAGATGACTGCAAAGGAGTCCCCACCATCCAGCTGAGGAAGCTTCTTGGATGAGAAGCGAAACGTCTTCAAAGAAAAGCAAGGAAAGGCCAGTTGCCTCCACAAAAAAAAAAAAAAGCGCCTTTGGCATCTCCATGCCGGGCCAGCTGATTTTAAGGAAGCTGCTTCCGCGGGGGAATGTCCACGCGTCCAGCTCACCTGGGCCTTCAGCTGGATGACTTCCTTATCCTTCTGCTGCTTCCACTGCCGGAATTTCTCCGCGTCTTCTTTCATCTGCCGAATCAGCTGAATGCGTTGGTTTTTCATGGCCTATGAGTCGAGAAAAGGGGAGGGGTTTTTTTGGGGGGGGGCGGGGGGGAAACAGAGCCCGTGAGAATGGCAGATACAAGAGTAAAAATGCCTCCCATTTTTACCGACGGGCTTTGGGGAACGGATTATATCGCTAGCCATCTTCCTCTTCCATAATTAAAGGAGCGGGCTTCCAAACTTCGGCGTCTCGTAGACACGCAAACACATGTCCTGTATACCTCCATGCATTTGCTTTCCTTTTTTTGATATCCCAAGGGGGACACTCAGCTGGGTGACTTTGGGCCAATCACCAGGTGACAGTGAGTTCTAGTTCTGCTCTCGACACGAACGCCACCTGGGTGCCTTTGGGCCAATCACCAGGTGCCTGTGAGTTCTAGTCCTGCCTTAGGCATGAAAACCGGCTGGGTGACTTTGGGCCAATCGCCAGGTGACAGTGGGTTCTAGTTCTGCCTTAAACATGGGTGACTTTGGGCCAATCACCAGGTGCCTGTGAGTTCTAGTTCTGCCTTAAACATGGGTGACTTTGGGCCAATCACCAAGTGCCTGTGAGTTCTAGTCCTGCCTTAGACATGAAAACCGGCTGGGTGACTTTGGGCCAATCACCAGGTGACAGTGAGTTCTAGTTCTGCTTTCGACACGAACGCCGGCTGGGTGACTTTGGGCCAATCAGCAGGAGACGGTGAGTTCTAGTTCTGCCTTAAACATGGGTGACTTTGGGCCAATCACCAGGTGCCTGTGAGTTCTAGTTCTGCCTTAAACATGGGTGACTTTGGGCCAATTACCAGGTGCCTGTGAGTTCTAATCCTGCCTTAGGCATGAAAACCGGCTGGGTGACTTTGGGCCAATCACCAGGTGCCTGTGAGTTCTAGTTCTGCCTTAGGCATAAAAACCAGCTGGTGACTTTGGGCCAATCACCAGGTAACAGTGAGCTCTAGTTCTGCCTTAAACATGGGTGACTTTGGGCCAATCACCAGGTGCCTGTGAGTTCTAGTCCTGCCTTAGGCATGAAAACCGACTGGGTGACTTTGGGCCAATCGCCAGGTGACAGTGGGTTCTAGTTCTGCCTTAAACATGGGTGACTTTGGGCCAATCACCAGGTGCCTGTGAGTTCTAGTTCTGCCTTAAACATGGGTGACTTTGGGCCAATCACCAAGTGCCTGTGAGTTCTAGTCCTGCCTTAGACATGAAAACCGGCTGGGTGACTTTGGGCCAATCACCAGATGACAGTGAGTTCTAGTTCTGCTTTCGACACGAACGCCGGCTGGGTGACTTTGGGCCAATCAGCAGAAGACGGTGAGTTCTAGTACCACATTAGACATGAAAGCCACCTGGGTGACTTTGGGCCAATCGCCAGGTGACAGTGAGTTCTAGTTCTGCCTTAAACATGGGTGACTTTGGGCCAATCACCAGGTACCTGTGAGTTGTAGTCCTGCCTTAGGCATGAAAACCGGCTGGGTGACTCTGGGCCAATCACCAGGTGCCTGTGAGTTCTAGTTCTGCCTTAGACATGGGTGACTTTGGGCCAATCACCAGGTGCCTGTGAGTTCTAGTGCTGCCTTAGACATGAAAACCGGCTGGGTGACTTTGAGCCAATCCCCAGGTGACAGTAAGTTCTAGTCCTGCCTTAGGCACGAAATTCCGTTGTTGAGTTACACAACGACAATAAAGATATTCTATTCTAAAGCCGACTGGCTGATTTTGGGCCAGTCCCTCCCTCCTTCTCTCTCTCAGCGTAGTCCACCCCACAGGGCTGTTGTGGTGGGGAAAACTGGAGGAAAGAAACCGCCAAATCAATACATCAATATCGTTTACCCAGATTTCTTGGTGGAGCTTGGAGACGGTCTGCTCGCTGGATGCTTTCATCTTCAGCAGCTTAGACTGCTCCTTCAGCTTCTTCTTTAGCTCCGTCATCTCCCCTTCCAGCTCCTGGAGACGTTTCCGCCGACGTTCGCTCAGCCTGAAGGGATATCGGAGTCAGAGGGTCCGAAGCCCGGCAACCCACCCAGAGACCCTTCCCCTAAGGGGTTAACGCCCAGGCACCCGTCCTCCTTACTTAGCTTGGGTGACGTCCTTCTTGTTGATCTGCAGGGCGAGGACTAGGTCTTCCTTCTCCTTCTGCAGCTTGGCCACCTCCTCTTCCAGGTTCTTGACGTTGATCTTGTCAAAAGGGAAAAGAAAAAGCAGTCAAGTTGGCGTCTTGGGGAGGGAGCCCAACTGCCCAGATGTCACAAAGGGCCACTTGCTCTGGCCAGCCAGCCAGGCTCCCTCAACTCTTCTGCTTGTGCTTCTAGCTGGTTGGCAAGAAGCTTGCTGCGATTCTTGTAAGCCAGGGGTCTTCAGCTGGGCCCTTTGATGACTTGTGGACTTCAACTCCCAGAATTCCTCAGCCAGCGTGAGGGAACTGTGACCCTTTGATGACTTGCGGACTTCAACTCCCAGAATTCCTCAGCCAGCGTGAGGGAACTAGGACCCTTTTATGACTTGCGGACTTCAACTCCCAGAATTCCTCAGCCAGCGTGAGGGAACTATGACTCTTTTATGACTGGTGGACTTCAATTCCCAGAATTCCTCAGCCAGGCATGAGAGAACTAGGACCCTTTGATGACTGGTGGACTTCAACTCCCAGAATTCCTCAGCCAGCGTGAGGGAACTATGACTCTTTTATGACTGGTGGACTTCAATTCCCAGAATTCCTCAGCCAGGCATGAGAGAACTAGGACCCTTTGATGACTGGTGGACTTCAACTCCCAGAATTCCTCAGCCAGGCACGGTCAGGATTAAACTGCTAGCAGTGGGCAGAGTTAGCTTACAATGTTGCATTCTAACCCCTGGGAAGGAAGGAAGGAAGGAAGGAAGGAAGGAAGGAAGGAAGGAAGGAAGGAAGGAAAATGAGAAAGAAGGAAAGGAAGCAAGAAGGAGGGAAAATGAGAAAGAAGGAAAGGAAGGAAAATGAGAAAGAAGGAAAGGAAGCAAGGAGGGAAAATGAGAAAGAAGGAAAGGAAACAAGGAAGGAAGGAAGGAAGGAAGAAGGAAAATGAGAAAGAAGGAAACAAGGAAGGAAGGAAAATGAGAAGAAGGAAAGGAAACAAGGAGAAGGAAGGAAAATGAGGAAGGAAGGAAGGAAGGAAGGAAGGAAGGAAGGAAGGAAGGAAGGAAGGAAGGAAGGAAGGAAGGAAGGAAGGAAAAGGAGAAAAGGAAAGGAAAGAAGGAAGGAAAGGAAGGAAGATAGCAATAGCACCTAGACTTATATACCTCTTCACAGGGCTTTTACAGAGTCAGCCTCTGGCCCCCAACAATCTGGGTCCTCATTTTACCGACCTCGGAAGGCCGGAAGGCCGAGTCAACCTTGAGCTGGTCAGGATCGAACTGCTGGCACTGGGCAGAGCTAGCCTGCAGTACTGCACTCTAACCACTGCGCCACCCCAGCTCCTCCATGGCAATTAGATCCAATTGTCATGATTTGCAACCTGACGATTGGGCCCCCGCTGGGTTTGAGGGTGGCAGCCCTTACCTGGGACTGGCACTGGATGGGCTCCAGCTGCCGGTCACTCTGGGACAGCTTCCGGGCCAGGGCCTCCTTCAGGGCCAGGGCTTGGTTCAGCTCCAGCAGCTCCTTCGACATCTGAGCTTGCTGGAGGGCGTGCTGGGCAGCGTAGTCGTCCGAAGACTGAGGCGCCTCCAGGGGTACCGAGGACGTCTGGAGAAGAGAGAAGATGGGGTACGTGTGTGTGAGATGAATTACATTTAACACTGTTGCGCAGCGTTTCTCAACCGCGGCCACTTTTATGACAGGGCGGACTTCAACTCCCAGAATTCCCCGGCCAGCAAAGCAAAGCCTTCTCGGAGCTGAAGTCCGCCCGACGTCAAGCGGCCAAGGTTGAAAAAAAAGCTGCTTTAACCTAACTGTATAAAGCAGTGGTTCTCAACCTTTTTAATGCCGCGACCCCCAACCGGTCGTAAGTCGAGGACTACTCAACTGTTGCAGCACCGTCTGCAGAATGGGACTTTTGGCGGGCTCGGCAGGGCAGAGACAGCCTGGACAATTCCTATTGGCTTTTGAAAGCCAATAGAATTAGACTCTATTCAAGAGAGTCTATTCTATTGGCTTTCAAAAGCCAATAGAATAAAAGGGAGTAGCACAGCTAAGGAAAAGTGGGGGGAAAAATGGCGGACTGCGTTGTTTGGCGATCCCCGTGAAATGGTCGTTCAACCCCAAATGGGGTCCCGACCCACAGGTTGAGAACCGCTGCTAAAAAGCAAAGTTCCACTTGTATTTATAGAGTCGGCTACCCCATCCAGCCTACCTCGAAGGGGTGATGTCAGCTTTGAAAAGCCTGGCTGGCGGTTTCCCTTCCCTCCCCATTATTTTTTTCCATGAGGCGTTTTCCTGACAGCCGGAAGTGCTTTACACCTGTTGCAAGGCCCTTGTCACTGGAAATGGCCATTAAAACATCTGGCGGCTAAGGAGAGCACAGCAGCCCAAACTTTTGGGGTTGGTGGCCCAGAGACGGGGGGGGGGGGAGGGAGGAGAGGGGGGGAAAGGGATAGTTCTGTAGTGTGTGTGTGTGTGAACAAGCCCACACATGAACACCTGTTGCTCACACAAGTGAGGTGGCGAATCCTGGCAAAGCTCACATGGGTGGGGCTGTGCGTGCCCACACAAACACACAAACGTGGACCGGCCAGCCATTCATGTGGCCCAATGGCCAATAGGCCATGGCACGGTACTGGGCCACAGCCCACAGTCTGGGGACCCCTGATGTAGAGCGCTGGCTGTACTTACAGGATCAGACTGCTGCTCCGTTATGTCCATGTCGGCAATAGCAGGATGTTCCTTTTGTAGAAAACCCGAAAAAACAATTTTAGAAAGGAGGGAGGGATGGAGGGGGGAGAAAGAGAAAGGGAGGGAGGGAAAGAAAGGGAGAAAGATAGAACGGGAGGGAAAAAGTGAGAGTGTGTGTGAGAAAGACAGAAAGGGAGAGAGAAAGAGAACAGGAGAGAAAGAGTGAGAGAGAAAGGAGAGAAAGGTAAAGAGAGAGAGAAAGGGAGAGAGAGCGTGTGTGTGTGAGAGAAAGGTAGAGAAAGAGAGTGAGAGAGAGAGAAAGATAGAACAGGACGGAAAGAATGAGAGTGTGTGTGAGAAAGAGAGAAAGGAAGAGAGAAAGAGAACAGGAGAGAAAGAGTGAGAGTTGAATGTGTGTGAGAGAGAAAGGAGAGAAAGGTAAAGAGAGAGAAAGGGAGAGAGAGTGTGTGTGAGTGAGAGAGAAAGGGAGAGAAAGAGAGTGTGTGAGAGAGAAAGGGAGAGAAAGAGTGAGAGTGCGTGTGAGAGAGAGAAAGGGAGAAAGATAGAACGGGAGGGAAAGAGTGAGAGTGTGTGTGTGAGAGAGAGAGAAAGGGAGAGAGAAAGAGAACAGGAGACAAAGAGTTGAGTGTATGAGAAAGAGAGAGAAAGGGAGAGAAAGAGTGAGAGTGTGTGTCTGAGAGAGAAAGGGAGAGAAAGAGTGTGTGTGTGAGAGAGAGAGAGAGAGAAAGGGAGAGAAAGAGTGAGAGCCTGTGTGTGTGAGAGAGAACAGGAGAGAGAACGGGAGAAGAGGAGAGAAAGAGTGAGAGTGTGTGAGAGAGAAAGGGAGAGAGAGTGTGTGTGTGAGAGAGAAAGGGAGAAAGAGAGTGAAAGTGTGTGTGAGACAGAGAAAAAGGAAGAGAGATAGAATGGGAGAGAGAAAGAGAGTGAGTGTGTGTATGTGACAGAGAAAGGGTTAGAAAGATAGAATGGGAGAGAGAGAAAGGGAGAGAAAAAGTGAGAGTGAGAAAGAAAGAAAGAGTGTGTGTGTGAGAGAGAGAAAGAGTGAGAGTCTGTGCATGTGAGAGAGAACGGGAGAGAGAAAGGGAGAGAGAGTGAGAGTGTGTGTGAGAAAGGGAGAGTGAGAGTGAGTTTGTGTGAGACAGAGAAAAAGGGATAGAAAGATAGAATGGGAGAGTGTGTGTGTGTGTGTGTGAGAGAGAGAGAGAGAGAAAGGGATAGAAAGATAGAATGGGAGAGAGTGAGTGTGTGTGTGAGAGAGAGAAAGGGAGAAAGAGAGAAAGGGAGAGAAAGAAAGAGAGAGAAAACAACAATGGATGTGTTTTTACAGTAACCACAAACATTACATCAGGAGTACGTAGATTGTAAATTTTTTTGTTGGCTCCCTTACAATACTGGAATTCTGGATGATCTAACCAAGACTGAGGAGGGGCAGGCCTGGAAAGTGAACAGAAGACTTAACGTTTTTCTCTGTCACCCCTGTGAGAATTGAAGGGTGGGCTGGATCAGGTTGTGGCCCACAGAACAGCCCCCTTCAACGTTCACCGCACCTTCCACTTAGACCCAACACTAGCAACTACGGCTCAAAATAAAATAAGCGGGTTTATTTTGCAGGCTAAGCCTCCCTAGAACCGTTTTGGGAATCGCAGCTCCACCCCCCCCCCCCCCGAGGTGGCTGACAGCGGGGTCCCCTTAAAAGAGAGCCCCGTTTTTGGGGGGATAACCCTCACCAGCAGCTGAGCAATCGCTCGCTGTAGCTGCATAAACAGCTCCAGGGGCTCTTTCAGTTCTTCGTCCTCCAGCGCCGTCAGCAGCTTCTCCAGGTCGAGTTTTAATCTGAAATTTCAAGGCGAATATTTGGAGGCTTTTCCCACACTGGAGATTTGGCTGGATGGGGGCTTGGGACATCGGCTGTCTTTCCCTCTCTTTGCCTAAACCGGCGCTTTTCCATTTGGAGAACTTTAATTTTAAGATAACTTCAACTCCCAGGATTCTCCAGCCGGCCTACTTTAAGAGGGGTGGACTTCCATTCCCAGATTTCACCAGCCAGCAAGCCTTAAGATGGATGGACTTCAACTCCCAGAATTCCCCAGCCACCTCTGCTTTAAGGTGGGTGGATTTCCACTCCCAGAATTCCCCAGCCAGCCTGCTTTAAGGTGGGTGGATTTCCACTCCCAGAATTCCCCAGCCAGTCTGCTTTAAGGTGGGTGGACTTCAACTCCCAGAATTCCCCAGCGAGCATGTTTAAGATGGGTGGACTTCCAAAATTCCTCAGTTAGCCATACTTTAAAATGGATGGATTTCATCTGCCAGAAATCTTCACCCAGCATCCTTTAAGCCGGGTGGACTTCAACTCCCAGAATTCCCCAGCCAGCATGTTTTAAGATGGGTAGATTTTGACACCGGCATGCTGGCGGGGGAATTCTGGGAGCTGAAGTCCACCCGCCTTAAAATTCCCAAGTCTTCCTTGACTTACGACCACAATTGGGAGCTTAAGTTCCGTGGCTAAGCAGAGAGCGTGGTTAAGTGAGCCACACCCAGTTTTTTTGCCCACGGTCGTTAAATGAATCCCCCGGGCCGGTAAGCGAATCGCGTGGTAGATCCTGGCTTTCCCCACTGACTTTGCTCGTCGGAAACTCACAAAAGGGAATTACAGGACGCCGCGACCTTCATAAATACATGCCGGTTGCCGGCATTATGACCTGATGACCGTGGGGATGCTCAGACAGTTGCAAGCACGAGGGCCAGTCGTAAGTCGCTTTCTTTCAGCGCCGCTGTAACTTTGGTCGCTAAACAAGGACTACCTGTATATATCTCCCTTTTCGCAATTCGGACATGGCTGATCCGTTGCTCTGGGTCTCATTTAAGAAGACTGTCAACGCTGCTAACGTCGGATGTTCTTGCTTGGACAACAAATGGAGATGCGGCTTTTTTAGTTTTTATGCTTTACTCTTAGAGTTAGATGATATTGGGGGGGAGAGGAGGAGGAATGTGATGGGAGTTAGTCAGACATAACAATATTGCAATAGTGTGTGAACTCAGGGCTTTTGACATAAGGGCTGATAAGGAATGGCGGACTGGAGAACTGGAGGGAAAGCCTGCATTTCAAGCGAATTGGAGAATGTGATTTATCACAGTTAATTGGAGGAGGGAATTGATACTTTGATACTAGGTGCCCAGCGGAGGGGAAATTCAGTTTTTGGCTTTGATTATGCAGCGCCAATATTATGCTACTCGAATAAAAGATTCTTTAAGGTAAACAATGCCTCAAAGTTCTTTTGAAGAGTTTCATCTGTCGGAACCATGACAAAGACCTTGGGCAATGTTAAGAAGAGACTGGACAGCCATTTGTCTGAAACGGTCTAAGATTTCCTGCCTGAGCAGGGGGTTGGACTAGGTGACCTCCAAGGTCCCTTCCAACTCTTCTTATTCTATTCCATTCGTACCTCAAGCGACCTCTAAGCAGGAGAGCAAAGGAGCTACTTACGCTGCATGTTCTCGGAGCTCTTCCATCTTCTGGCCGATCCTTTCATTTTGCTGCTCGGTCTGCAGAAGTGGGGGGAAAGGGCTTCTCTTTAGGAGAGTCTCTAGGGCAGGGGTCTGCCAACTCGGCCCTTTGAACTTGTGGACTTCGACTCCCAGAATCCCACAGCCAGCATGCCTGGCTGAGGAATTCTGGGAGTGGAAGTCCACAAGTCATCAAAGGGCCAGGTTTGAAGACCCCTGCTTGTGGACTTCCACTCCCAGAATTCCTCAGCCACAAATCATAAAAGGGTAATGGTTCCCTCACGCTGGCTGAGGAATTCTGGGAGTTGAAGTCCAAAAGTCATCAAAGGGCCAGGTTTGAAGACCCCTGCTTGTGGACTTCCACTCCCAGAATTCCACAGCCACAAATGATAAAAGGGTAATGGTTCCCTCACGCTGGCTGAGGAATTCTGGGAGTGGAAGTCCACAAATCAAAGAGCCAAGTTTGAAGAACCCTGATTGTGGACTTCCACTCCTAGAATTCCTCAGCCAGGCACACTGCTGAGGAATTCTGGGAGTTGAAGTCCACAAGTCATCAAAGGGCCAAGTTGGAAGACCCCTGGCTCTAGGATACCTCTTCTCCCAGGTGTTGGCCGTAGGTGGAACAATGGCTCCTTAGCACAGATGGGTGCCAGGTTCTTGTGTTTTTTTTTTTTTAATGTTTTAACTGGTTGAATTTTAGAATAATTTTCTTATTTATTTTTTTGAAAATGTTTCGGATGGGGAGTTGCCCAGAGGCGGTTGAACGATGCGAGGCTGTGTAAATAATGTTTGAAATAAAATAAAATCCCGGTACGAGAAGATGGACAAGTTCTCTAAAAGTCACCATAAGCCCATTTAGGCTGGTAGCTTCCGGTATTCATTTTCCACCTTCGTCTAACCCAGGGCTCTTCAAACTCGGCCCTTTGAGGACTCGTGGACTTCAACTCCCAGACTTCCTCAGCCAGCGTGCCTGGCTAAGGAATCCTGGGAATTGAAGTCCATAAGCAGGGGTCTTCAAACTCGGCCCTTTGATGACTCGTGGACTTCCCAGAATTCCTCAGCCAGCGTGCCTGGCTGAGGAATTCTGGGAGTTGAAATCCACAAGTCACCAAAGGGCCAAGTTTGAAGATCCCTGATCTACCCCATCTCCAACAAACACATTCCGATTACAGGAAAGGAAGGCTTAAATCCCCCCAAAACACATTCCCCCCCCCTATGTGTTCCTCTTTTTTGGGTGGTGGCTGGGATGTGTGTGTGTGTGTGTGTGTGTGTGTGTGTGTGTGTGTGTGTGTGTGTGTGGTGTCCTTTAGCAGGACATTTGTGTGCCCCATCGCTTCTGACAGCTGGGAATCTTACCACTATGATCCTCTCCAACAGCTGAGCAATCTGACCGGCAGCTTCGCTCAAACCACGGCTGAGTTTTGCGTTCTCTTCCAAAAGCGAATGGTTCTTCTCCATCAGGGACGGGAGATTTTCGGCGGGCTCCCCTCTGTGTGTGGGGGGGGGGGGGAGAAAAGAAGCATCAGATCTATCCCAGTGTGCCAGAAACACACACACACACACACACACACATCCTTCTATTTCAGGGGTTTCCAAAACTGGCCACTTGAAAAGACTGGTGGACTGGCTGGGGAACACTGGGAGGTGGAAATCCGGCTATATTTGATACCTAAGACCAGTGGTTCTCAACTTTTTTAATGCCGCGACCCCCAACCGGTCGTAAGTTGAGGACTACTCAACCGGTCGTAAGTCGAGGACTACTCAACGGGTGCAGCACCGTTTGCAGAATGGGACTTTTGGCCGGCTCAGCAGGGCAGAGACAGCCTGGACAATTCCTATTGGCTTTGGAAAGCCAATAGAATCAGACTCTATTCAAGAGAGTCTCTTCTATTGGCTTTCAAAAGCCAATAGAATAAAAGGGAGTAGCACAGCTAAGGAAAAGGAAGGGGGAAAATGGCGGACTGCGTTGTTTGGAGACCCCCGTGAAATGGTCGTTCGACCCCAAATGGGGTCCCGACCCACAGGTTGAGAACCGCTGCTTAAGAGGGTCTCCCAGTTTCTTTGTGGGTACAATTCAAGCCCTGCAGCCTCACCTTTCCCTAAGAACATCTACCTATCCTACCAGGCCAGACAGGGTGAGCACGCTCCTAGTCCCTTCCCCCAAATACAGCCATCTGATGGGGGGGGGGGTCCAGAAAGTGGATCTTTCCTGTGGTAGACCCAAAAGAACCACCTCAAGGCAGGGGTCTTTAAACTCGGCCCTTGGATGCCTTGTGGACTTCAAGTCCCAGAATTCCTCAGCCAGGCAGTGCCTGACCATGGGATCCTTGGTGCTCTCTGAGCTGGGTGGTTTTCTTGCAGACGTCTCAGGACCCAGCTAGGGAACGTCATCCATGCTAAATGGGGTTGGGATTTGAGGAGGAAGAGGAGAGGAAGGACTGTGGGGTCCTTGGTGCTCTGAGCTTGGCGGCTTTCCTTGCAGACATTTCATGACCCAACTAGGGAACATCATCAGTGTGAGAAGAGAGGGAGGATGGGGAGAGGAGGAGGAGGAGGAGGAGGAGAAGAAGAAGAGAGAAGAGGAGGAGACTATGGGGTCCTTGGTGCTCTTTGAGCTTGGCGGCTTTCCTTGCAGACATTTCATGACCCAACTAGGGAACATCATCAGTGTGAAAAGAGAGGGAGGAGGAGGGTGGGGTCCTGGGTGCTCTTTGAGCTGGATGGCTTTCTCGCAGACGTTTCAAGACCCAACTATGTAACACCATCAGTGCTAAAACCCGCTCGTTTCATCAGCATCTACCAGAACGCAACCCAGCTCAGAGAGCACCCAGGACCCCACAATCAAGCTTAAGAAGACAAACAGAAGGGTGTGTGTTTGGGGGTCTTCCTTGGGGGGGGGGCAGAGAAACATCTTCAAGTCTCCAGGGACTGAGGCACCCACCCTCGGCTCTTACCGAAGAGTCACGGGCAGCGTCCCCCCATGGGCTTGAAGCAGTAACACTTGCAGTTCTTGCACCTAGAGAGCGAAAACAAGAGACCGAGGGTCTGAAATTTGAGAATTTTTTAACAAGCCTGATTCAAATCGTACCGTCAGCGGCTTCTCCCGGTCCAGCGAGAAAACCCGCAGCAGAGACGGGAGGCCTTCTCACAACTTTTTTTCCCCCAAAAAACAATTTATTAGTTTTCCATTTTACACCAACACAGTTTAATAACCTCCGTGGAAACCAGCTTAAGAACCCCCGTGGTGATCCATTTTTTGAAAACAAACAATAACATAGTAAATATATACCCATTATTTCTTAAAAATTTCCCTCTCTGTATAGAATATTATAATCAAATTAATACATTTTCAAATGAATTCATTCATTACTACGTCTAACCATCAACCGCATTAATCAATAAAAAGTTTTTAATCTATTAAAAAAACCCTATATTTCTTCTCACATTTCAACGTAAGCTTAATGAACGCCGTTTATTTAAAAACATTATAATCAAGTCAATATCTTTCTGAAACAAATTCATTCACTAATAGAACATTTCATCCGTCATATAATTAAAGATAAGCTAACATTCTCTATCTATTTATATTGTTAGACTCATGAAAACATTTCTAAAACAAATTTTCATTGAATGTATCACTCTATATAAATTTCATTAATCAATAAAAGTTTACAAACTCATTATCCATCCCAAAGATCCTGTATCATGCTTTCTTTATTTTGCAAATATTTAATCTTAAACTTACATATTCCTTTTTTTAGCTAAAAATACTTATTTTATTTTTAACCAAAACAAAACAAAACAAAGCAAAGCAAAACATAACACACATACACACACAATATATACTCCTTTCCCCTTTTTTTTAAACAGCGATTACGTAACGGTAATCTTCTATTCTCACTGGAGAAGGGCCTAATGCTGGGAAAGATGGAGGGCAAGAGAAGAAGGGGACGACAGAGAATGAGATGGCTGGATGGAGTCACTGAAGCAGGAGATGTGAACTTAAATGGATTCCAGAAGATGGTAGAGGACAGGAAGACCTGGAGGAACGTTGTCCATGGGGTCGCGATGGGTCGGAAACGACTTCGCAACTAACAACAACAGTCTAGTCTATTCTGTAATTCTATTCTATTCTATTCTTCTAACTCTATTCTATTCTAGTTTAGTCTAGTCTAGTCTAGTCTGGGAAAGATTGAGGGCAATAGAAGAAGGGGACGACAGAGAATGAGATGGCTGGATGGAGTCACTGAAGCAGGAGGTGTCAACTTAAATGGACTCCAGAAAATGGTAGAGGACAGGAAGACCTGGAGGAACGTTGTCCATGGGGTCGCGATGGGTCGGAAACGACTTCGCAACTAGTAACAACAGTCTAGTCTATTCTGTAATTCTATTCTATTCTATTCTATTCTATTCTATTCTATTCTATTCTATTCTATTCTATTCTATTCTATTCTTCTAACTCTATTCTATTTTAGTTTAGTCTAGTCTAGTCTAGTCTGGGAAAGATGGAGGGCAATAGAAGAAGGGGACGACAGAGAATGAGATGGCTGGATGGAGTCACTGAAGCAGTAGATGTGAACTTAAATGGACTCCAGAAGATGGTAGAGGACAGGAAGACCTGGAGGAACGTTGTCCATGGGGTCGCGATGGGTCGGACACGACTTTGCAATTAACAACAACAACAACAAATCTTCTATTATTTACATTTCCCCCCCTTATTCTTCTTTAGAATATTTGTCCTTATTGCCCCGTTGTTTCTTATTTACATTTTTCTTCCTTCATATTCTAACTAAGAATAATTCATATTATTATTATTATCATACATTATTATACACATATTTTCACTTTTGACCTTTCCATATTTATCCTCCTCTATTGTGAAAACTAACATATTCAATCTTCTCACAACTCTGAAGGCCCACCTCGTGCCAGCTGGCCCGCCTTACCTGCAGCCTCAGCCGGCTGATCTCGGCCGCTTGTGGGTCCACGTTCACAATCGGCTTGTTCTTGATTTTTCGGGCCCGGTCGGCGTAGCGGAGGGTGTTCAAGCTCTCTTCTAGGTTGGAATCCGCTGGGCTCACACAGGCGATCATCAGCGTGTGGCTGTTGCCCCCCAAGGAATCTGAAACGGATTTAAAAAAAAACAACAAGAAAAACCAGCCTTGGTGGAATCGCCTGGTGGCCTCCGCTCCCTCAAGAGCAGCCGGGCCGCCGTTCTCACCTTGCAGAAGCCGGGTGAGCTTCGAGTCGCGGTACGGGACAAAAGTGCCTTTCTTGGACTCGTCTCCCAGCGCGCTGATGACGTTCCCCAAGCAAAGCAGCCCTTTGTTGATGTTAATGCCTGCAGAGGGCGAGGAAGAAAAATGGGCTCAGTAGAAACCGTCTTTCTGGGCGGCCGTGGAGATGCTCAAGTCATCCGTCCCAAAAAGGGGCTTTTTTTTTTCCTTTTTCACCTGAAGTGTTAATACCACTCTACAAGGCCTTGGTAAGGCCACACTTGGAATACGGCCTCCAGTTTGGGTCCCCACGATGTAAAAAAGATGTTGAGACTCTGGAAAGTGTGCAGAGAAGAGCAACAAAGGTGATTAGGGGACTGGAGGCTAAAACATAGAAGGAACGGTTGCTGGAATTGGGGATGTGTAGTTCCCCAGTGCGACATCTCTGCAAACGGGGTGTGTGTGGGTGGATGTTACAAAGGTGGGTTTTTTTTTTTCCAGGAGGCAACTGGACTACCTTTCTTTTTCCGTTGAAGACGGAAAATTGCTTCTGATCCGAGAAGCTTCTTCACGTTCTGACTGCATGGTGGGGGAATGGAAGGATTTACCCTCCTTTGCAGTCACCTGGTCATTTGCATTCTCTTAGAGACTCGTTGAGCCCACTTGGAGGTTTGTCCCAAAAGTGCTTTCTTTCATGAGGCAACTGGGCTTTCTTTGTTTATAATAATAATAATAATAATAATAATAATAATAATAATAATAATAATAATATGGCCAATACGTTAAAAAAAATAGCTGGGAAAGCAGATATTAACAAGACCTGGCAATGGCTAAGAGCAGGAAAATGGAAGAAAGAGACCGAGGGACTAATTCTATCTGCACAAGACCAAGCCTTAAGGACAAACGCACATAAAGTCAAAATGGAGAAGACAGCAACAGACAGTAAGTGCCGCCTATGCAAAGAAGCTGAAGAAACAGTGGACCACCTGATAAGCTGCTGCAAGAAGATTGCACAGACTGATTACAAGCAGCGGCATGACAAAGTAGCAACAATGGTGCATTGGAAGATCTGCAAAAAATATCATTTGCCTGTAAGCAAAAACTGGTGGGATCATAAAATAGAGAAAGTCATAGAAAATGATAAAATTAAACTGCTCTGGGACTTCAGAATTCAAACAGACAAGCACCTGCAACATAACACCCCAGACTTAACAATTGTCGATAAGAAAGACAAAAAAATCTGGATAGTGGATGTGGCAGTGCCTGGAGACAGCAGAAGAGACGAGAAAGAACTGGAGAATACAAAGACCTACAAATAGAAATAGAAAGACTGTGGCCAAGGCAAGCAAAGGTAGTACCAACAGTCATAGGCTCCTTGGGTGCAATCCCAAAACAACTGGAGCACCACTTGAACAGCATTGGCATTGACAAATTTGCTATTAGTCAATTGCAAAAGGCGGCCTTACTAGGAACTGCTTCAATCCTGTGACGATATCTGTAATACCATCAAACATCCACATCTGCCTATCCCAGGTCCTTGGGAAGGACTCGATAGGTAGACAAAATGACAAATCCAGTCTGACCATCTGGCTGACTGTGAGATGATCAATAATAATAATAAAAGTTGGAAGGGACCTTGGAGGTCATCTAGTCCAACCTCCTGCTCAGGCAGGAAAGCCTATACCATTTCAGACAAATGGCTGTCCAGTCTCTTCATAAAAACTTCCAGTGTTGGAGCATTCACCGCTTCTGGAGGCAGGTTGTTCCACTGGTTAAGTGTTCTGTCAGGAAGTTTCTCCTTAGTTCCAGGTTGCTTCTCTCCTTGATGAGTTTCCATCCATTGCTTCTTGTCCTGCCTTCAGGCGCTTTGGAGAATAGCTGGACTCCCTCTTCTTTGGGGCAGCCCCTGAGATACTGGAAGACTGTTATCATGTCCCCCCTCGTCCTTCTGTTCATTAAGCTAGACATCCCCAATTCCAGCAACCATTCCTTCTATGTTTTAGCCTCCAGTCCCCTGATCAACTTTGTTGCTCTTCTCTGTACTCTTTCCAGAGTCTCAGCATATTTTTTACATCGTTGGGACCAAAACTGGATGCAAGATTCCAAATGTGGCCTTACCAAGGCCTTGTTAAGTTGTATTAACACTTCAGGTGATCTTGATTTTATCCCTCTGTTAATGCAGCCCAGCACTGTGTTGACTGCTTTGCTTCCCATCCCCGAAGCTTCTTCTGACTGGATGGTGGAGAATGGAAGGATTTATCTTCCTTTGCAGTCACCTGGTCATTTGCATTCTTTTAGAGAGTCATTGAGGCCACTTGGAGGTCTGTCTTGTGTCCTTAGGGTCCCCCGAGTGGTGCAAATGGGTGGGGAGCCTTCTTGGCTGCAGGATGTTTTCTGCCTTGTGTCCCTGCAGCCACCCATTTGCACCATTCAGGGGATCCTAAGGACACAAGACAAACCTCCAGGTGGCCTCAACGGCTCTCTAAAAGAAGGCAAATGACCAGCTGTCTGCAAGGAGTATAAATCCTTCCACTCCTGTCACTATAGGGTTTCCTGTCTGAGCAGGGGCTCGGATTAGATGACCTCCAAGGTCCCTTCTAACTCTTGTTATTCGGATCTGATCCTTCACGGTTGAAGACAGGCGCGGGCTGTTGGGGATAAGTACAACTGCACCACTCAGGTGACCCTAAGGATACAGGTAAGCCTCCAAGTGGCCTCAAGTACTCTCTAAAAGGGTGCAAATGACCAGCTTTCTGCAAAGGAGTATAGATAGTAATAGTAATAGTAGTAAAGTTGGAAGGGACCTTGGAGGTCATCTAGTCCAACCCCCTGCCCAGGCAGGAAACTCTACACCATTTCGGACAAATGACTGTCCAGTCTCTTCTTAAAAACTTCCAGTGCTGGAGCATTCACCATTTCTTCAGGCAGGCTGTTCTTCCTTCCATTCCCCACCATCCAGTCAGAGCTGAAGAAGCTTCTGGGATGAGAAGCGAAACGTCCTCAGAGGAAAACAGGAACGTCCAGCTCTCTCCTGAAAAAGCACCTTTGGGACAACTGAGGACACAGATAAACCTCCAAAGCACCAGAGGGCAGGGCGAGGAACCATGGTTGGAAACTGAACAAAGAGAGAAACAACCTGGAATGAAGGAGAAACTTCCTGACAGTGAGGACAATTAACCAGTGGAACAGCTTGCCACCAGAAATAATAGGTGCTCCATCACTGGAGGTTTTTGAGAAAAGACTGGACAGTCACTTGTCTGAGATGGGATAGGTTTTCCTGCTTGAGCAGGGGGATGGACTAGAAGATCTCCAAGGTCCCTTACCGCTCTATTATTCTATTCTATTCTATTCTATTCTATTCTATTCTATTCTATTCTATTCTATTCTATTCTATTCTATTCTATATTCCAATATCTATTCTATTCTATTCTATTCCTTATTTCTGTTCTATTCTATTCTATTCCTTATTTCTATTCTATTCTATTCTATTCCTTATTTCTATTCTATTCTATTCCTTATTTCTATTCTATTCTATTTCTTATTCTTCTATTCTAAATTCTATTCTATTCTATTCTTAATTCTATTCTATTCTTATTCTATTGAATTTGGCCTTAGATCTGGTAGTTTTCCCCTTTTTACCTTCTCGCAGCCGATCTCCTTCGGCTTTCGTCTTCTTCTGCCTCTCCGAACCAGCCAGGTCAACCAGATGCAGTTTGGAAAGAAAGCCAACGTTCCTAAACCGGGAAAAATTCAGTTAGCTCAGAAGGCAACCGATGGCAAAAGGCTGGGAATTGAGAAAAGAGCTTTAATGTGTGTGGAGTATTTAAAACATGAACTGGGGCCCAAGAAGACGCCCACAAGAGCAAAACAAGGGGGCGTTCTCCTCTCCCTCAACATCTCTTCTGCTGCTAGGACAACTCTTTATTTTATTTAGATTTGTTTTCATCCCGCCTTGATCACTTTTAGAAATAATTCAAGGTGGCAAAGGTACAGAGTCCTTTCTCTTCCTCCTGTTTTTCCCACAAACACCCTGTGAATTGAGTAGAGACAGGGGACTGGTCCAAACTCACCCAACTAGCTTTTATGCTTAAGGTGGGACTAGAACTCCCAGTCTCCTGGTGACTGGCCCAAAGTCACCCAGCTGCCTTTAATGGCTAAGGTAGAATATAACTCAGTGTCCTTGGTGATTGGCCCAAAGTCACCTGGCCGGTTTTTGTGCCTAAGGTGGTACTATAACTTCCAATCACCTGGTGATTGGTCCAAAGTCATTCGGCTGGTTGTCATGCCTAAGGTAGAACTATAACTCCCAGTTTCCTGGTGATTGGCCCAAAGTCACCCAGGTGGCTTTCGTGCCTAAGGTAGAACTATAACTCCCAGTCTCCTGGTGATTGGCCCAAAGTCACTCGGCTGGTTGTCATGCCTAAGGTTGAACTATAACTCCCAGTCACCTGGTGATTGGTCCAAAGTCACTCGGCTGGTTGTCATGCCTAAGGTAGAACTATAACTCCCAGTCTCCTGGTGATTGGCCCAAAGTCACCCAGGTAGCTTTTGTTCCTAAGGTAGAACTATAACTCCAAGTCACCTGGTGATTGGTCCAAAGTCACTCGGCTGGTTGTCATGCCTAAGGTAGAACTATAACTCACAATCTCCTGGTGATTGGCCCAAAGTCACCCAGCCGGCTTTCATGCCTAAGATAGAACTATAACTCCCAGTCTCCTGGTGATAGGCCCAAAGTCACCCGGCCGGCTTTCATGCATAAGGCAGGACTATAACTCACCATCTCCTGATTTCTAGCTGGGTGCCTTCACCACTAGACCAAACTTATTAAAAAAAAAAAAAAAAAAACCAAAACACTGCAAACCCCATAAAAAGCTTGGCTATCCAGACCCTTTTCTTACTCATCAGCCTTGCTTTTCTGTTCCACCGAGACGGTGAAGATGGCGTGGGAGCGGGACGACTGCGTATTCATTGCTGTGGCTGCGACCGTCCTGGAATTGTTGCCTTGTTCCAGGCAGAGGACGGTCTCTCGCGCGCTTGACACCACGTGCTCCGTCAGGCCCACAATCTGCGTTGAAGCAAGAGGAGGAGAAAAAAAAATCCTCATATACTCCCAAGGCTGCTGCCATCCCTACATGTTCAGAAACCCCAGTGGGCTGAATTTGGGCCCAGTTGCCAGAGGTGATGTTTATCCTCTTTGGTTAGACCTGCTCCAGGCTCCGGCCATCGAGACTCATGAGATTGCAATTCCGCGCTTGCAATCATTGAGAAACAGAATCCAAAGGCTGAAAAGGGAACCCAGAGGTCTTCTAGTCCAGCCCCCTGCTCAAGGTGGGAGGTCTTATACCAGGGGGTCTTCAAACCTGGCCCTTTGATGACTTGTGGACTTCAGCTCCCAGAATTTGAGTTGGAAGAGCCCTGCCTGTGGACTTCAACTCCCAGAATTCCTCAGCCAGGCATGCTGGCCGAGGAATTCTGGGAGTTGAAGTCCACAAGTCATCAAAGGGCCAAGACCCCAGGTTGTGGACTTCAACTCCCAGAATTCCTCAGCCGGGCACGCCGACTGAGAAATTCTGGGAGTTGAAGTCCACAATCATTAAAGGGCCGAGTTTGAAGAGCCCTGCTTGTGGACTTCAACTCCCAGAATTCCTCAGTCGCATGCCCGGCTGAGGAATTCTGGGAGTTGAAGTCCACAAGTCCTAAAAGGGCCAAATTTGAAGACCCCTGCTTGTGGACTTCAACTCCCAGAATTCCTCAACCAGGCACCCTGACTGAGGAATTCTGGGAGTTGAAGTCCACAAGTCATCAAAAGGCTGAGTTTGAAGTCCCCTGGCCTTATACCATCCCAGACAAATGATTATTCAATCTTTTCTTGAGAATCTCTAGTGATGGAGCACCCCTGACTTCTGGAGGCAAGTTGTTGCATGGATTAATTGCTCTCCTTGTCAGGAAATTTCTCCTTTGTCGTTCAATGTTCCTCCCTTAAAATTAGTGAAGTATTAAGAATTTTACCTTAATGCCTCCCTTGGGGTCCTCGCGGATGCTGATCTGAGAAGTCCGTTCCTTGCCTGTGGCCAACAGGTCCAAGATATCTTCGTTGTAAATCTGAAGGCAGTAGAAGAGAGTCAAGTGGAATAGAGCAGCCAATAAATCAGGACTTCAACTCGCAGAATTCCTGAGCCAGCCATGCTTCAATGACCTGTGGACTTCAACTCCCAGAATTCCTGAGCCAGCCATGATTCAATGACCTGTGGACTTCAACTCCCAGAATTCCTGAGCCAGCCATGCTTCAATGACCTGTGGACTTCAACTCCTAGAATTCCTGAATTCTGGGAGTTGAAGTCCATAGTTCCCCACCCATGCAATAAATGAAGGCTTTGGCCTTGCCATACATTAGCTGGCTGCAGAATCTGTTTTCAAGTGGGAACACAGAGTTTGTGGAACTGTTTTAGCTTGGAAACATAAGCCAAATGTTGACCAAACCGATAGCTGGCTACTTGCTTAAAATAATCATCTTTTCAACATTCAGGAAAATGTTTTTAATTTTTTTTTTTTAAAAAAAACACATTTATTTACTGGAAACTGCTGACTGGTATTTTGTTGGCTAATGGACAGCGCTGGTCATTTATCAGCCAGCTTTCCTTGCTACCCCATCAGCAAAATCTTGAGAGTATATTCCCTTATACTACTCTTACTTGATTTAATTATATGTTGTTAGTAGGCTTCGGTTTATGATTTTATTGGGCTATAAAGGGATGGTTAAATTAAAGCAGTAAACAACACCCTGGTCAAGGAACCACCACCTCAGGCAAACAAGCTAACAGGAAACAGCAGCCTAATCGGGGAACCAACAACACTGACAAGGCAAGCCACTGGTATACAAACAGAGAGCGGATCCCACTCCCTTCTAGCGCTGATGATGTTGCTTAGTCAGGTCATGAAATGTCTGCAAAAAGACAACCAGCTGAGACAGCATCAAGGACCTCGCAGTCCGCAAACCCTAATCCCTTCTAGCACGGATGATGTTTCCTAGTTGGGTCATGAGATGTCTGCAAGTAAACAGCCAAGCTCAGAAAGCACCAAGGACCCCACAGTCCTCCTTCTCCTTCCACACTCCCTTCTAATACTGATGATGTTCCCTAGTTGGGTCATGAGACGTCTGCAAGAAAACATCCAAACTCAGGGAGCACCAAGGACCACCCCCAGTTCAACCGAGCGACAAATATTATCTTCTATTGGTAAATCGATTCGTTGTTCAGGAGCCCACCCAGATAGCCCATCAACCAGATTCTTCTTGACCGTTCCAATGCCCAAACCCTTCAAAGACCATCGGGGGTGTGTGTGTTCCCTAATGATTACAGCCCGGTTTGGATTTCAAACCCCCCTCCCCCCAAATCAGGTGATCTGCGTCCTTTGGCTCCGCATGTCAACTCACCTCCAAATAGGAGACTTTCAAGGCGAAGTGCCACTCGGCTTTTTGCTTCATTTCTTGGAAGAGCAGCATGATGACACGGGGAATGGCTCCAACCATGGGGTCGTTCTCTTGATCGGCGGTGTAGGCCCCGCCCATGGAGTAGGTCTTCCCGGAGCCCGTCTGCCCGTAGGCCAAAACCGTGGCGTTGTAGCCTGGGGAGCGACAAGCACAAAACCGAATTAGACGAGCCAACGGCGTAGCCCTTGAAGCAGCTTCTTTGGGCAGTTCTCGCAGCACACCTGAGATACCTAAAAAACCCCGGACCCGCTCTGCACATTTTCCAAAACCTTGTACGGCTTTTTTCTGATTGGTTTACGCCCTGGCTGGCGTTGGCTTTGAGGGTGTCTAGCCACCCCAGTTTTTTGGGTGGCCTGGTTTCCTTCCACCATTGAGCATAACGCTGAGCATAACTACTTTTTTCTCAGTATTGCGCTTTGTTGTTGTTAGTTGCGAAGTCATGTCTGACCCATCGTGATCCCATGGACCACGTTCCTCCAGCCTTCCTGTCCTCTACCATCTTCTGGAGTCCATTGAAGCTCACGCCTCCTGCTTCAGTGACTCCATCCAGCCACCTCATTCTCTGTCGTCCCCTTCTTCTCTTGCCCTCCATCTTTCCCAACACTAGGCTCTTCTCCAGTGAGTCCTTCCTTCTCATTAGGTGGCCAAAGGACTTGAGTTTCAACTTCAGGATCTGGCCTTCTAAGGAGCAGTCAGGGTTGATCCCCTCCAGGACTGACCGGTTTGATCGCCTTGCAGTCCAGGGGACTCGCAGGAGTCTTCTCCAGCCCCAGAATTCAAAGGCCTCAATTCTTTGGCGCTCAGCATCTTATGGTCCAACTTTCACAGCCATACATTGCAACTGAGAAGACCATGGCTTTGACTATATGCACTTGTGTTGGCAGGGTCAGTTTAGAGAGTAGCAAATTCCTGATGTCTATGGAGATTCTCAGTCATCTAGGTCAGGGTTGTCACAAAAATGCTTTTTCCACGAGACAACTGGACTTTCTTGTTTTTCTCTGAAGACATTTTGCTTCCCATCCAAGAAGCTTCTTCAGTTCAGTCTGGATGGTAGGGAATGGAAGGATTTATACTCCTTGCAGACAGCTGGTCATTTGCATCCTTTTAGAGACGCTGAGGCCACTTGCAGGTTTACCTGTGTCCTCAGGGTCACCTGAGTGGTGCAACTGTGCTCATTCCCAACAGCCTACGCCCATCTTCAACCGTGAAGGGACCAAAGGCAGAAAACATCCTGTAGCTAAGAAGGCTCCACACCCATTTGCACCACTCAGTGACCCTGAGGACGCACGCACTTCTAGGTCTGGAGAGGGCTGTTCTAGGTCCGGGGGGCCTCCTCCAGGCCCCCAAGGCCTAGAACGGACTTCCGGAAGTGGCATCCACGCACTTCTGGCGGGCTGTTCTAGGCCTGGGAGGCCTCCTCCAGGCCTCTGAGGCCTAGACTGGTCTTCTGGAAGCAGTGTGCACTCAGCCAGTTCTCTGAACTCAGCAAAATTGAGCTACTGGTTCTGCCGGACCGTTGCGAACTGGCTGAATCCCATCACTGGTTTTAAGTCAAGGACTATCGGTACATGCTCTTTTGGAAACGTGAAAGACGAAGCGTGTCTCCGGGATTGTGACTTTTACGGAAATGCCCTCTGAACGCCCAGCTTTCGAGGCTCTCACCAGAGAAAATACCCCTTACAAGAGGGGCAATAGAGGTACTGAAGACTTCCTCCTGCTCAGTCGACGGGTCAAAGACGTAGTCATAGGTAAAGGATTTGTCCTTGCCTACAATCACCTGCAGAAAAAGGAGCAGAAAGAGAAGAACAGTAACCATACAATCCTGTCATCTCACCTTTGGGGGGGAGGGGAGATTTTGATCGAATCCAGCCTCTCCCAATCTCAGCTGTCGATCCTGCCAGAGGGACCCAGTGCAGCTTTAGCGGCCCCCTTAGTAGACATCCTCCCACCAGCTGCTGATCTTCTGGCTTCTGCACCACTCCAAGCTGTTGCAAGGCCCCACCTAATTGCGAAGGCCTCCTTCTCCCAGATTGCCCATCTCCTCCAATGTTAGCAGCGCTGACAGTGAGGACTTCAACTCCCAGAATTCCCCAGTCCGCTTGGGAGCGGAAGCTCCCCCCCCCCGACTTAAAGCATGCTGGGTGGGGAGTCTCGCTCTCTTTCTGGCTCCAGGTAGTCCTCGACTGACAACCTCAACCGAGCCCCAGATTTCCATCGCTAAGCAAGACAGATGTTCGGTTGAGCTTTGCCCCCATTTTACGGCCTTTCTCGCCACTGTTGTTAAGCGACTCATTCAGTCATTAAGCGAATCTGGCTTTCCCCCTTTTGCTTGTCAGCAGGTTGATCTTGGGATCCTGCCACCGTCATAAATGCGGGTCAGTTGCCAAGCATCCAGATTTGTTCAACTGACCACGGGGACGGGCACAAGGGTGAAAAACGGTCCTAAGCAATTTTCTTCACTGACATTGTTAACTCTGAAAGGTCACTAAACAAACGACTGTAAGTCAAGGACTACCTATAGCAGGACATTCCTGGAAGAGCTATACAATTTCAGAAGTCAAAGTGCAAGAGCACCTCCCAGCTGCAAATCTTTCCTCACCTGTGGCTCTCCAGGGACAAAAGACAAACACATCTGGCAACCCTCAGAGGTCTCTCTGGGAACGAGCGGGCGGCATCGCAGTGCCACCTTCACCGGGATTACCCGGTCTTCCTCTTTAGGCATTTTCTAATTCTTATCTTCCTGAAAGAAATCACAAATGTTATGACGCATAAAAACAAGCGTAGCCTTTTTTTTTATTTCAGCAAGCAGCAATTTCCAAACATCAGCATCCACGTATAGGTTGGTGTCCATCAATTATAAACATATAAGGAACGGTTGCTGGAATTGGGTATGTCTAGTCTAGTGAAGAGAAGGACGACGGGGGACATGATAGCTGTGTTCCAGTATCTCAGGGGCTGCCACAACGAGGGAGTCAAGCTATTCTCGAAAGCACCCAAAGGCAGGACAAGAAACAATGGATGGAAACTAATCAAGGAGAGAAGCAACCTAGAACTATAGAGAAACTTCCTGACAGCGAGAACAATTAACCAGTGGAAATACCTGCCTCCAGAAGCGGTGAATACTCCAACACTGGAAGTTTTTAAGAAGAGACTGGAGAGCCATTTGTCTGAAATGGTATAGGGTTTCCTGCCTGAGCAGGGGGTTGGACTCAATGACCTCCAAGGTCCCTTCCAACGTCTATTATTATTATTACTATGGATCATCGCATAGTCAGCCAGATGTTCAGACTGGATTTGGCATTTTGTCTACCTATCGAGTCCTTACCCAGGACCTGGGATAGGCAGATGTGGATGTTTGATGGTATTACAGGTATCGTCGCAGGATGGAAGCAGTTTCTAGTAAGGCTGCCTTTTGCAATTGACTAATAGTGAATTTGTCAATGCCAACAGTGTTCAAGTGGTGCTCCAGTTGTTTTGGGATTGCACCCAAGGAGCCTATGACTATTGGTACTACCCTTGCTTGCTTTTGCCACAGTCTTTCTATTTCTATTTGTAGGTCTTTGTATTTTGTTATCTTCTCCAGTTCTTTCTCTTCTATTCTGCTATCTCCAGGCACTGCCACGTCCACTATCCAGACTTTTTTTGTCTTTGTTATCGACAATTGTTAAGTCTGGGGTGTTATGTTATGGTTGTTGTTGTTGTTGTTATTATTATTATTATTATCATGCGGTAAGGAGAAAAAATATGTCTTTTTTTCCCGGTATCAGGACCTGTTCATTCTTTTAAAATGTAAATTCTAGTACAAAGGCAATATAGTTCAAAGGCTTTTCTGAGCTTTTCATTAAGCTGCTCCGATCGATGTCTGGAAAACACGACGGAAATTTTAAACTCCAAGACTACAACCCAATATTCTCATTGAACTTGATGGGCCTTATAAATGAATAAACCAGCTGTTCCCAAAAGGGCGATGGCCCTCACTGAAGATCAGGGTGATGGATCTCTCACACTTCAGGAAAGCTCTACGTGGACCAGACACCAGAGACAGATATCCCTCAGCTGAGACTCACATCAAAAACAGCAACCTAAACTGACTTAACTATTGGCAGGCTGATAACTGAATATTGCTAATAATAAATCATCATCATCATGATCATCATATAAAAAAGTTGGAAGGGACCTTGGAGGTCATCAAGTCCTCAGGCAGGAAACCCTACACCATTTCGGACGAATGGCTGTCCAATCTCTTCTTAAAAACTTCCAGTGTTGGAGAATTCACCGCTTCTGGAGGCAGGTTGTTCCACTGGTTAATTGTTCTCACTGTCAGGAAGTTTCTCCTTAGTTCCAGGTTGCTTCTCTCCTTGATTAGTTTCCATCCATTGCTTCTTGTCCGGCTTTGGAGAATAGCTTGACTCCCTCTTCTTTGGGGCAGCCCCTGAGTTACTGGAACCCTGCTATCCTGTCCCCCCTCGTCCTTTCCTTCATTAAACTGGACATCCCCAATTCCAGCAACCGTTCCTTATAGTTGTCATGGCAACTGGACTTCGAACTGGATTCGAAACATTTTGCTTCCTCAGTCTGAGCTGTACGAAACAGTTCACACCAACCAGAAGTCCATTTGTAATGAGTCAACTGCCAGACAACTTACCTGGAGGACTGAGAATTTGCCTTGAGCCGTTGCTAAGGCTAGGAATTTATTAGTCTATCAAAGGCCCCTTTGAACGGAGCTCAACTCCTTGCGATTTGAAAAGACATGGTCATATGGATCCCTTGGCAAAATGACAAGAGGTTGGTTGATTTTTGTCTTCGAGGTTGGGAAATTTCCCGGTTTAACCGACCCTTTTGGATTTGTTCATGAGGTCCCACCCAAATGCTAACCAAATATGGTCCCATTTAGCTTCTTGAAATCAGCCAAGCACAGTTATAACTCTCTGTCGGACGCAGACGTACACCCGGACAAGTTTTCCTTAGCGGAAAACGCCTATAAATCAAATCAGTGTTATGCCTTAGAGCAGTGGTTCTTAACCTTTTTGAACGAATCGCCCCCTTGAGCCAATGAGGAAGTTGTCATCGCCCCCCTCCCCCAACATAACCTCTCAATCACAACATAGGAAATAATTCTTCATTTTATGGAAACACTTTTTTTGTTTTCTTTAAAATTGTCATCAGGACATATCGATGCAAATAATTTATTTCCAGTCTTTTCCCCATATCTCTCATATTCTGGCCAATGGCGCGCCACTGTATGGGTAGAGGCTGCTGCGCAACATGCATGAAGATAAGCCATGCGCATTCACATATGTACGGCGTTCTGTACTGAAGCTAGCTGGAGGAACATTTGAAAACACAATTCAATCCACTAAGAGAGAGCGATCTGATGTTTTTGTACGACAGATATACAGCCATTCACTGTACGAAAAAGTCTCAAAAGTGTCCTCAAAACTTCTCGCTCCGTCGCCCCCATATCGCCCTTTTCGTTCCTTCACCCCTCTGAAAAATGAAATCGCCCCCTGGGGGGCAATATCGCCCAGGTTAAGAACCACTGCCTTAGAGCAGGGGGTCCCCAATCCCCCCCCCCACGGTCCGTGGCATGTCAGCAACCAGTCTGCACAAACAAGCAAAGCCCCATCCGAGGGATGCAGGCAGCACAAAAAATCATACCCCCTCCGGTCCATCTGTGGAAAAATCTCTCTCCAGGGAAGCAGTCCCTGGTGCCAAAAAGATTGGGGGGTAGAGGAAAAGGACCCAAGTGAAAACTCAAGATTGACAGTTGCAAGAAGCAAAATATTATTATTATTAATTAATAATATCTGTAATAACATCAAACATCCACATCTGCCCTTGGTAAGGACTCGTTAGGTAGACAAAATTGGTAAGGACTCGTTAGGTAGACAAAATGCCAAATTCATCCATCTGGCTGATTGTACAATGATCCATAATTATTATTATTATTATTCAGCTGTTTAAAGTCACAAACTGCATATAACACCCCGGACTTAACAATTGTCGATAAGAAAGACAAAAAAGTCTGGATAGTGGACGTGGCAGTGCCTGGAGACAGCAGAACAGAGGAGAAAGAACTGGAGAAGATCACAAAATACAAAGACCTACAAATAGAAATAGAAAGACGGTGGCCAAGGCAAGCAAGGGTGGCACCAATAGTGATAGTCGCCTTGGGTGCAATCCCAAAACACCACTTAAACACCATTGGCATTGACAAATTTGCCATTAGTCAATTGCAAAAGGCAGCCTTATTAGGAACTGCTTCCATCCTGCAACGATACCTGTAATACCATCAAACATCCACCTCTGCCTATCCCAGGTCCTGGGTAAGGACTCGACAGGTAGACATAAATGCCAAATCCAGTCTGAACATCTGGCTGACTGTGCGATGATCAAATAATAATAAAAAGCAAGCAAGGGTAGTACCAATAGTCATAGGCGCCTTGGGTGCAATCCCAAAACAACTGGAGCACCACTTGAACACCATCATCGGCACTGACAAATTCACCATTAGTCAATTGCAAAAGGCGGCCTTACTAGGAAGTGCTTCCATCCTGCGAAGATATCTGTAATACCGTAAAACATCCACATCTGCCTATCCCAGGTCCTTGGGAAGGACTTGACAGGTAGACTGTGCGATGATCCATAATAATAATAATATAAAGTTGGAAGGGACCTTAGAGGTCATCTGGTCCAACCCCTTGCTCAGGCAGGAAACCCTATACTATTTCAGACTTCTTCTTCTTCTTCTTCTTCTGACTGCTGTTTAAAGTCACACACTGCATATTGTGCCCTGTAATTTCTAACCAACTATGAATCTGGCTGTCAAGCAGGACCGTTCAGCTTAGCCCAACCCAGATCCCACAAGCCTTTCAATTTTGCGGAGAAAAGACTGGTTGGTGGTGGGAGAGGGGGAAGGAAATGACCTGTTTCCCCCCCAAAGGAACATCGCTCCTCTTCTCTTAAATTTGAAAAACCCAGGAAAGTTAGTGGAAATAAGCCGGAGGCAGCAGGGGAGGAGAGAATATCCCATGGAATCCCTTGGAAGAGGAGTCAGACGATGGGAAAGCCCCTCCGGGGCTGTCTGTGGGCATAGCAGGCAAAGGCCGCCCCGGCTCGATCTCAAAAGCCCCCCCCCCCTGGGCTGGCAGCGCAGGCCTACCTCGCAGGCTTGTTGTTCGACGGGGGAAGGAAAAACACAGACCCCCCCCCAAAAATGGCGGGGAACGATGGGAACCCCCCCCCCCAGGGGAGGCGGCTCTTCTTCCCTCCGGCAGGTTTCCGAAGCCTCCGGGCGCGGCTCCGGCTGGAAGAGGGGAAAGAAGCGCCCGCTCGCCTCGCCCGCCGACCGTTGCTGGCCGATGGCGGGTCCTCTTTCGCGTCCTCCTCCCACCCCGTTTAAACGTGGCGCCAACCCGGCTGGGCGGGGGCACGTCGGCCGTGACGTCGGGACGTCGCCGCCCAGAGGCGCATGCGCCGTTAAGCCCTGGTTGGAATGTGTTTGTTTGGGTATGTGTGTGTTTTCACAGGCAGAAAAACGGCCCAGCCAGTATAAATATAGCGGTTGGGGCCGAAAAGGGCTTCCGAAAGGCATTGCGGAGGGGGGGGGTCGGTGGGGAGTGGCCCTTTCTGCGTCTTGAGGGAAATCAACGGCGCCCGACATTTTTGTCGACTCCTTCTTTGCCGGTTGCTCTATCTCCTCGGAACTCTATGGTTAAGTCCCAACGGAGGAGGGGCCGTGTTAAAGCCTCCCCTTAAACCCCGCCCATTCCGGCCATGTCACGTGGGCGGGATGAAGGTGGCCTTTGTCATTATTGAAACGACGCTCTGGCCAACGCCGCGCCCGCTCTTACGTCACCCGCCGCCGGGCAGCGTTGCCACGGCAATCGCCTCAGGAGGCGGAGGGACCCGCCTTCGCGCTTCCAACCAATCCGAGTGCCGTCTCTACCGTCGGGGCAAGAACGCCCTGCCCAATAGCGGAAGGAGATGCCTTTCCCCTCCTAGTCTGATTGGCTTTGCGGGTGAGGAAGGGCCCGTTGGGATTGGCGGAAGAAGAAGAGGGAGGCGGGCCCTCCCGGATTCCCTCAGACCAGCTGCTGAGGCCCGCGAGGAAAGGCCGCCAGGTCCCGGCGCTGAGCTGCGGGGAGGCCGGAGGAGGGCGAGGCCGCTTCGTGGCGGGCGTCGGCCCCGTCTCTGGAAGGCAGGGCCGAGAGAGCCGGCTCTTTCCGCGGAAGGAGAGCGACGGGGGTGGCCTGCGGAACTCCCGGAGACTTGAGGCTGAGCCAGGTCGGGCCTAGGAAGACTCAGGGCTGCGAGGGGGGGGGCGGGGGTTGAAGAGATTCTCCAAGAGGGCTTCCTTTCTGGGGAGGGAGAGGAGGGGAGAGGCTGGCCAGGCCTTTGGAGCTGGAAGGGCTGCCCTCCTCGCTCTTTTCTTCAGTTCCTTCCTTGTCCTCGTTTTACGACGGCAACGGGCTTTAGGGACAGGGAGGCTCTCGCTCCTTTTTACTTGTGTCTGTGGATAAATATGCATGTACTAATAAAAATTGCAATATTATTGAAATTCAATATACAAATATGTATATATGTACATATATACATATATTTGTTTTCTGAGGTTTTCGCGGGTGTTTGTATGTAGGTCTTTGGTTATTTGGGTTTTCTCCCGCGTAAAATTGGAAGTGTCTTGGCGACGTTTCACCGAAGTCCCATTCGTCATCTTCAGGCTGGTGTTTTCAGCTTCGTGCTTCGAGGAGCAAAGCACAAAGCACAAAGCTGAAAACACCAGCCTGAAGATGACGAATGGGACTTCGTCGAAACGTCGCCAAGACACTTCCAATTTTACGCGGGAGAAAACCTGAATAACCAAAGACCTACACACACACACACACATATATATGTTTATATGTATATAACAATATGTGTGTATATGTATATATATATATATGTATACGTATATGTATATGTATACATATATATGTATATGCATATGTCTTTGGTTATTCTAGAAGCACGAAGCTGAAAACACCAGCCTGAAGATGACGAATGGGACCGTCGAAATGTCGCCAAGACACTTCCAATTTTACGCGGGAGAAAACCCGAATAACCAAAGATCTACATACAAACACCCACGAAAACCTCAGAAAACAAATATGTGTGTGTGTGTGTATGTATATGTATATGTGTGTATGTATGTATGTATGTCTTTGGTTATTCGGGTTTTCTCCCGCGTAAAATTGGAAGTTATATATATTATATATGTATATAACTATGTGTGTGTGTATATATATATGTATATTACTATATATATGTAATATAATTGATATATAAATATATATCAGTATATGCTGTGTATGTATGTATAATACAAATAATACAACATATACCTGTGTGTGTGTGTGTATGTATGTGTGCATGTGTATATATAAATTATGTTATATACATATAGTAATATACATATTGTTATGTGTGTGTGTATAATATATTTCTGTGTTAAATTTAGATTAAATCTAAATTTAACACAGAAATAGTTTGTCGCAGTAGCGTCTGCCTGTAAAAGCTCCTAGATTGGGGCTGAAAGGCAAAAGCAATATATGTATATTGTATATATATATATATATGTATATATATATATTGTATAACAATATTGAATTTCAATAATTTGTATTGAAATATACACATATATATTGAAATCATAATATAGAATACAAATGAAAACAAATAATAGCGGACAGGGTAAAGGAAAAAAAAGGGAGAAGAGTTGTGGAGTAACAGGAAAAAAAAGAAAAGCATTAACTTCCAACTATTTTCAGCCTAAAATAATAATATAATAATAAAATACAACCTCAACTTTTTTTACTTGTATCTGCTTAGCATGCGCTCACCGTTTCTGGAACCACAAACCTCTCTAATCAGTAAAGGCCAGAGTCAGAATTCCATGCTTCTTTTCTTCTTGAGCACAAGGTCCAGAAGTGGTTTCTAAGTAGGACCCAAACCAGATAAAATGCATTTGTTCTCTTGTGTAAATAGAGCGGCTACTGTATATCTCGGTGGGGGGGGGGAAGCATTAATTATGGGGGAACTACTAGAGGGTGGAAATCTTACTGATCTCTCATGCTAGGACCCGTTTGCTGAGCTTTCCTGTCCCTGGACTGTGCCAACATGGATATGGGAGGCAGTAGCCGGATCCCCTACGATGATTACCCTGTGGTCTTTCTCCCTCCTTATGAGAATCCTCCAACATGGATCCCCCCTCATGAGGTGTGTAGCCGTAGATCCCCTTCTGGTTTCTGGTAGCCTTTGGGAGATCTCCTGTCTTGCTTGGATTTGATGGGGGGGTCTTTTGCAGCAAATTTCCCAATTCTAAATAAGATAACCTTTATTGTCATTTTTTTTTTTTACTGTGAGCACAACGGCACACATCGAAAAATCTAATTTAGTTGCCCGCTCTCAAAGTGAAACACATACATGACATACGTGATGCTTTTCTCCTGATAGAGGCAGGGAGAGGTACATGCTAGAAAGATTTTTATATTTCCGAGAGTAGAATCCACAGTGCTATTGTTTGGCGTGTCCTTTGATTTTTCCCTAGAGGATTTACCATTCGGATTACAACAACGAGTTAACCCAGTTCCTGCCTCGAACTATCATCCTGAAAAAGCCTTCGGGGGCTCAGGTGAGACTTGACTCGTTCCCATAGGGGGGTGGGGCAAAGAGGGGAGCTCATTGGCTGCCTTCCTAAGCTGGCACTCTCCAACAACTCACATCATCCCCAGCCATAAGTGATGGGAACTGTAGCACCGCAGGGGCAAAAAAACTCTTTGGCTTTTCACGGACAGTTTCCTCCACAAAAATGTTGATTTTCCTCAAGAGGGATGGAAGATATTCCGCAGAATTACCGGATCAGTTCCTCGGTCAACTTTAAAAAAGCTTAACAATTTTTCTGAATTTGGAGGCTGAAAGTTGATGCTCCTTCACAGGGAGGTCAAAGGAGTCAGAAAGAGGTCGCAAGCAGATTTGGTTGTGTGAATTGGGACGGGTGGGATTCAAACGGGCTGAAAATCACGGCACTCTTTTCGGCTGCAGCCGGTCCTCAAATTATGACCGTCACAGAGGCCAGAATGCTGGACATTTAAATCGATCGTTGTGTTGATTTTTACGAACTTTTTCCGGTGGCCGTGAAAGTGCCAGCGGTAAAATGAACGACACGGTTGTGAAATGAGCCCGTTGTCCACAATGGGTGGACCAGTAATAAACCCTGGTTTCCAGCAATAAAAAAAAAATGTGGACATAATGACCGTGGGATTCGTTGTAAATTAAGTAGAGGGTTGGATTCCAGTCTTCGAAATCCTGCCGTATTGTGCCTTGTGAGGAGGGCAGAATTGGCAACGACAATTCCTTGATAAAAGTGGGTTTCCTTCTGAAAAATGGCCCCTGAGATTTGTCCTGCTCCACCCTGACTGCCAAAATTGCGGGTCCCTGAGCTTCTTTGCTGAGAAATGGGTTGCAATGTGGCCTGTTGAAGCCGCAAAAATTCATAACACTTGAAAGAAGCCATTGCATTTGCTGCCAACTGTCTCCGTTCTTTTTCCTTCCCAGCTGGGCTTTAACATCCGAGGAGGGAAAGCTTCTCAGTTGGGTATTTTCATCTCAAAGGTAGATATATACATATATTTTGTCTCGCTCTGGTTCCTGGTTGAGATTTGTTCCTCTTTAAGAAGGACGTGAATTGGGATTTTTCAATCCCACGTTGGTTGCAGACTCTGCGGCCGGATCCTTTATCGTCTCTAGCCACCAAATCGCCTCTCTGGGTCAAATCCCATTTCTGTTTTAAGAACCGCAGTGTAGAAATAAGACAGGTGAGACCCACTCTTCTAAGATAACCCCTGTCAGTTGTGTTTTTTTTTTCCCTGTACCTTTACCCAGAAGAAAATGCCACTCTGTTTTGTGCGGCTTCCTTCAAACTAAAAATGTTAAGTTGCACCGTAAGAGGTAAATTCATCAGAAACCGAAACGGAATATATTGGAATCTACGTAATTTCTTTAGCAGGTCTTTTAGGCCTTAAAAGGAGAGGGCAGGATATCATTTTGGCCTTTTCAATCCCCTTTCTGTCATTTTGCCTGAATCCAAATAATTCCACACACCCCCACCCTACGATTCCCATCTCCCTGGGCGTTATTTTATTTAATCGTACGGCATATTCGCCTCAAATTGTGATAAGAACACAAGAGGTAAAAAGAGAAAATGGGAAATACAGAATCTGAAATACGACAAAAAAATTAAAATACGACAAAAGTATATCTAGGTGCGTTCCTGGGCCAAGGGAACAATGCCATGGGCTGGCCTCGTGCCCCCCCCCACTCCTCCAGATTCTGAACTGTGACATCTATGATCCATTGGGACTTTGTTCCCAAGCTGAGAAAAAAAAGGCAGCTTGACAATTCTCTACCTTGTGGCTGATCCCTCCTTTCTCCCGGGCTAGGTGATCCCGGATTCTGACGCCCATCGAGCCGGGCTGCAGGAGGGAGATCAGGTCCTGGCCGTGAATGACGTGGACTTCCAAGATATTGAGCACAGCAAGGTGAGAGGTGCTTCCCCCCCCCCCCTTGGCTGTTTGAGTGAGGAAAGGGTGCCTTGGGTCTCCAGCCCAAAGAGGTCCCAAACGCTCTCTCAGCCCAGCCTCCCCCTCAGATGCAGTCAGGGTAGAAAGTGGGAAACAGGAGGAAGAAGGGGGATTAGGGAGTTAGTTGCTTTGCATTAGATATTAAAATAACAAAGGCCGGATGTCTATGTTGTCTATCTCTGTCTGTCTGTCCATCCGTCTATCTGTCTGTCTAGCTATCTGACTATCTATATCTCTATCTATCTGGCTGTCTATCTGGCTATTTATATCTGGCTGTCTGTATCTATCTCTATCATCTATCTATCTGGCTGTCTATATATCTATCTATCTGGCTATATCTATCTATCTATCTATCTATCTATCTATCTATCTATCTATCTATGTCTGGCTGTATCTATATCTATCTATTTATCATCTGGCTGGCTGTCTATATCTATCTGGCTATCTCTATCTATCTATCTATCTATCTATCTATCTATCTCTGCTGTCTGTATCTATATCTATTTATCATCTATCTATCTGTCTGGCTGTCTATATCTGACTATATCTATCTATCTGGCTATCTATGTCTGTCTGTTTATCTATCTATCTATCTATGTCTATCTATCTATCTATCTATGTCTATCTATCTATCTATCTATCTATCTATCTATCTATCTATCTATCTATCTATCTATCTATCTATCTGACTGGTGCTCTCTCTCTTTCTCTCTCTATTTCTCTCTTTCTCTTTCCACCCACCTACCTATCTACCAGATAGGGAAGGCTGATCTTGCTGAAATGCTGAATCACATATTCCTTGCTGAGGTACAGTCACTAAACGGCTGGACGGGAGGTGGTTTTGCACTCCTTAAGGGCCACCGAGTTCCACCAAGGAAACAGAATGAATACAACACGACAGCTCTACTTATTTCTTTAATTTATGTCCCGCTTTTATTATTTTTACAAACAATTCCAGGGACGAATCTCAGGCTCCTTCCTCCTCATTTACCTCACAGCAAGAACCCTGTGAGGTGGGCTGGGCTGAGGGAGGGGCATTTGCCCAAAGACACCCAGCTGGTTTTCGTAGCTAAGGTCAAACTTAAAACTTACGATTTCTGGGTTGTCTGGCCTGGTGCCTCAAGCACAAAGCCAATATAATATTTCCTGCTGTTAAAAGATTCTGCATTTCCCCCCCTCTCTTTCCCAGGCAGTAGAGATCTTGAAAACCGCCCGCGAGATCATCATGAGAGTCCGTTTCTTCCCTTACAGTAAGTACAACTGCTGCCCCTTGGGTGGGAAAAATGCCCCCCTTTTTCAGTGGAAAAGTCCCGTGTGGTTCACCGTCTCGCCACACTCCTAGGTGTAAGCGTTTCCCCCTTTTTTTACAAGAGGAACCGAGGCTTCTTCAAAACTAAGATGAAAAGAGGACTCTCTCCGCCATTTATATCTCCGAGAAGGTTTAGAGGAGCTGGCACCTTTTAAGAATATTCTAGGAAAACAGTCAGAACAAAGTCTGTGCCAGGCAGCAATAGGGCAGTGTTTCCCAAACTTGACCATTTTAAGGCATGTGGACTTCAACTCCCAGAATTCCACAGCCAGCAACGCTGGCTGTGGAATTCTGGGAGTTGAAGTCCTCATGCCTTAAAATGGTCAAGTTTGGGAAACACCGCAATAGGGGAACGGCGGTCCTGCACCCCGTGCCAGTTGGCCGGTCACAATTGCGATAAAAGGCGTTGTCTTCGTCCCCATCCCGTGGAATTCACACCGACTTCTGTCCAGGCGGTCGGGTTTTTTCCATTCTGACTCAAATGAGATCTCTAGGATTCTGGCCTTCATTTCTGTTTCCTTTCCCTTCCAGATTACCACAGGCAGAAGGAGAGGACGGTTCACTAGACGCTCCTTCCCGGGGGGTCACCTTGCCAGCGTCCAGCCGATTCCCATTTTTAACTTCTTTTTGTAATCCCGTGCTTTTTTTTATTATTATTATTGCGAAGCACGTTCTTTTATTCCATTTTTAAGTCCCTCTGAAGACCCCAAATAGGGTGGGTTTTTTGGGGGGGAGGAGGGGAAAGGGGCCAGAAAAGAGTTTTCCTTTCTGATTTAGATGCTTTGTGGAATTTCTTCCGAGGGAGAGGAAACGGCCTCCTTTTCCATTTTTCCTCCATCCTGCGGACCAAAAGTTTGGGACCCTCAGACTGACTTCGACCCATCCCTGATCCAGAAGGGAATATTGATGGCTAATGGTGCCACGTGGATGTGGAACTGCAAGCTTTCCCCCCCCCCCCTTTTTTTTTTTTTTTTTGGTCCTCCAAAATTGGAAGAGGAGCGAGCATCTGCCTCTAGATTTGGCTCCAAACTCTTTGGGAGAATGGAGGGCCTGCCAGCCAGGCAGGCTCCAGGTGTGCCCAGCCTGAACATCTGCTGGTTTGAAAAGGGCGATTCCGACTTCCTTTCTTCAAAGCGGGAATCCTCCCGCTGGCTCTTCCCAACTCAGCAGGGCGATGAGTGGTGATTTCTTTTGGGGGAAGATAATTACAAGGTGCTTCTGTCCTTTTTCATGAAGGTGTTAATATGGAAGGGAGGTGCAGATCCCTTCCCTTCCCTCAGCCAAGGATTCACCTGGAGAACAGCTTTCTTTCCCAGTTTTGGCCTTTGATCCATCCATAGGAGGACAGCCAGAAAGACCCACAGAAGACACGGATTTCCGGACTGGAAACTTGCAATTCAGCCTTAGAAGGAATATATATATATATATATGTATATGTGTATGTATGTATGTATGTATGTATGTGTGTGTGTTTTCTGAGGTTTTCGCAGGTGTTTGTATGTAGGTCTTTGGTTATTTGGGTTTTCTCCCACGTAAAATTGGAAGTGTCTTGGCGACGTTTCGACGAAGTCTCATTCGTCATCTTCAGGCTGGTGCTTTCGGCTTCGTGCTTCCAGGAGCAATTTTACGTGGGAGAAAATCCGAATAACCAAGGACCTATATATATATATATCTCCAAATTTCTTTTTCTGACAAAGAATTAAAGAATTAAATTGGGAGACTAAGATGGCCATTTCGAGCTCATTCTGCTCTCGTCAGTTAGCCACACCCTTTATGGGATTCGAACCTGCCCAGGTTCGAATGGGCAGGTTCGTCGAAACGTCGCCAAGACACTTCCAATTTATATATAATATATATATATATTATATATATATTAAATAAACCCTCCTAAATTCCCCATTTGTCTGACTTCTTCAAAGCTACCTTGCCGTGTTGTCTTCCCAAATTTGATTTTTGCAATCGGGGCCCTGGTTTGGATCAGTCTCCCATCTTTAATAAAAACGTTTCTATCGCACTGCGACTGATGGGTATTATTCCCCTGAGGCAGCTACCTTCCAAAAAAGGCCCCATGTCTACCTGTCAGACACGTTTCTTTGGCCGTTGCTAAATCCTATGACCATAATTGACCCCAATATTCCCGTTGCTAAGCGAGGCAGCTGCGAAGTGAATTTTTGCCCCATTTTATGAAGTTGTGAAGTGACATTTCGATTGTTAACGTTACTCACCCGGCCGTTAAGTGAACCTGTCTTCCCCCATTGGCTCTGTTTGTTGGAATGTCACAAAAAGGGGATCACGTGACCCCGGGACAGCGCGATCGTCGTAATTGGGAGTCCATTGCCAAGCCATCTGAATTTTAATCGGGTGCCGCAATGGTCATTAGTGTGCAAAACTGCCCTAAGGCGCTTTTGTGAGTGCCGTAGTTGTTAGAACAGGGACTCAACAAACTTGATACAAGTCGAGGACTTAACGACAGTTTATTTAGATGGAATATTTGTAAGCGTGGGGTTGAAATAAATAACGGAAGGGACCTTGGAGGTCATCTAGTCCAACCCCCTGCTCAGGCAGGAAACCCTATACCACTTTGGACAAACGGCTGTCCAGTCTCTTCTTAGAAACTTCCAGTGTTGGAGCATTCAGCGCTTCTGGAGGCAGGTAGTTCCACCGGTTAATTGTTCTCACTGTCAGGGAGTTTCTCCTGAGTTCTAGGTTGCTTCTCTCCTTGAGAACGCCACGTTACTAAGTAGGGATGGCCTCCTTAAAGGGAAAAAAAAAACCCTTTTTTTTAAATGTTCCAGAATGAAAATATAGGCTAGAGGGGAAAAACAAACAAACCCTGTTCAGCTGGTGATGAAAACTTTTCCTGGGGATGTTGAATCATGCTTCTGAGGTGTCCCATGGTGCACGGCGGGAAGAAAACCAGAAAATTGGTTTTGGATGGAAGGGGGAGGTGATTCTTTGGAAGCAGCCTAAGTGTAAAGGAGCCGTTTATGAGCTGATGCTTTTGAAATAGTTATCGAGGGCCAGCCGGCTCCTTTTCGAGATATCTCTTGGGTATGAAATACTCCATCAAAGAAAAGAAAAAAATTTCTCCTGCAAGAAGTTTCTCACTGATTTTTTTTTAAAAAATAGATGACTCAGGTTGAAAAGTGTTTAACGAGAGCGGCTTGATGTTGAAGTTTAGAATAGGATAGGATAGAATAGAATAGAGTTAAAATAGAATAATATTAGAATAGAATAATAAAATACGGAATAGAATAGAATTAATAGACTAGAATAGAAGGAATGGAATAGACTAGAATAATGGAATAGAATAGAATAATAGAATAATGAATGGAATAGAATAGAATAATGAATAGAATAGATGAATGGAATAGAGAATAGAATAGAATAATGAATGGAATAGAATAGAACAATGAATGGAATAGAGAATAGAAATAGAACAATAGAATAGAAGGAATGGAATGGAATAATGAATGGAATAGAATAGAATAATGAATAGAAGGAATGGAATAGAATAACGGAATAGAGAATAGAATAGGTTAATGAATGGAATTGAATAGAACAATGAATGAAATATAGAATAGATAAGGAGTAGAGTAGAATAGAATAGAATAGAATCCATTCTATTCTGTCTTGGTCTATCCTATCCTATGTTATCCTATTCTTCTAAAATGTGCTGCTTTGGAAATGACTAGAAGTCGTTTTTCAGAAGAATGACACCTTCCTAAACAGCCAGGTCTGGTTGCGTTCACACAACACAATTCTGGCGTCAACCCAGTTCTTTTGTTTGCCCCACCACAACAGAAGCCAACCCAAAGTAACCCAGCTGGTTGAATCTGCACACCAAGCTAAGCCCCAGGAACTCCCAACAAACCAAACAGGAATTAAACCCGGTGATGCCAAAGAGATGGCCAGGTGAGAAACACGTGCGTCTTAAATGAGAGAGAGAGAAAAAAATGGGGAAATATTCTCTGTTTTAGGCTAACTACAGGCAGTCCTCGACACATGATCACAACCGAGCCCAAAACTGAGGTTGCCGAGTCACACATCTGTCAAAGTGACTTTTGCCTCATTTTACGACTTGTCTCTCCACATCCGTGAAGGGAATTGCACGCCCTGTCGTTCAAATGAGTAACACGGTTGTGTGAAGTGACTCCAGCTTCTCCACTGACTTTGCTCGTCCAGAAGGTTGGAAAAAGTGATCACGTGACACCCCCCCCAGACCCTGTGGCGAGTCAGTTGTCAGGCATCCGAATATAAATCACGTGACCGTGGGGAGGCCGCCACGGTCGTAAGTGTGAAAAAACGGTCCTAACTCCCCTTTCCCCCCTGTGCTGTCGTAGCTTTGAACAGTCACTAGGTTTAAGGAAAAGAATAGAGCTGGGAGGGACCTGGGAGGTCTTCTAGTCCAGCCCCCCCCCCCTTAAGCAGGAGAAACCTACACAGGGGTCCAAATTTGGTCCTTTGATGACTTCAACTCCCAGAATCCCTCAGTCAGTGTGCCTGGCTGAGGAATTCTGGGAGTTGAAGTCCACAAGTCATCACAGGGCCAAGTTGGAAGAGCCCTGACCTACAATCATCTCAGATCTAAGCAAACTGTTGTTAAGTCCAGGACTATCCTGTACACCCATCTAGGTTAAAAATCAGCCCTTTCATGTGAACCAGCAGTCCCTTCTCGCCATTGCACCGTTACAGCTTTCCTCCCCCCCCCCCAACCATAAATTCCTCCCTCTTGTTTATTTTCAGCAGCAAAGGAAATTGGAGTGAGATCTCCAGGTGGTCTCCTCTCCCACCGTTAATCAGCTGCCCTGAGGACCAGCCGGCTTCCTTTGGGGCCGGGATCAAGCCCCAACGGGCGATGTGCAGCTCTGGGCCACGTCTGCGTGGCTGTCTCCCTTGCCCGCTTCTTTCTTTCCCCGTGTTCCAGGATGCCGGTTGGAACGTGAGAAAGGAAGGCAGACTGGCGGACAAAAGAAGCGGAGGAGAAAAAAAGAGCGTCTCCGGTTCCATGGTGTAATGGTTAGCACTCTGGACTTTGAATCCAGCGATCCGAGTTCAAATCTCGGTGGAACCTCCCTTTTATTTATTTACTAATATATACATATAAATTATTAGGGAAGGGTCTATTTTGCACGAAGAGACGAGAAAGGGTCTTTTCCCCTCCACCAGCTGCAAGCATTGCAAGAAGCCCCCGGTCACTTTAAGGCAGCTTTTCTCGAGTTTGGGCACTTAGAAGAGGGATGGACTTCAACTCCCTTTGCTGGGGGAATTTTTTTTGGGGGGGGGACTGGTGAATTCTGGGAGTTGAAGTTCACCCTTCTTCAAGTGCCCCCAGTTTGAGAAAGGCTGTAATTGCAGGCAAGCTGGGAGCTCGGGAATGGCCAGGATTGGCTGGATGTAAGCAAAGAAGCTGTCGGCATAAAAAGAATAATGTAGAAAATTGGGGGGGGGGGGGGAAGCTTTCAGCAAAACCCACTTACAGTAGCGGACCGGAGAGAAGTCTGTCTATCGGTGCATTGGTGGTTCAGTGGTAGAATTATCGCCTGCCACGCGGGAGGCCCGGGTTCGATTCCCGGCCAATGCAACAAAATTTTTTTTTTAATTGGGTCTGAAAAGACTATTTTCCCAAATAAGATTTTTTTTTTTTAAAAAATGTGCTTCTTTATACGTTACAAGGTTCTTTTGTTCCCCTGAATGGTTTCTTAAAGGGATGAAATAGATGAGCAGGAAGAGAGCCAGACCTTTGCACGCATGCGCAGACGGACAGCTCCGAAAGTTTTCAAGCTACATTAAAAACAGGCTTGGGAAGGTTTTACTTTTTAGTTATTTTACTTTTTCGGTTTCTGCCTCCGCGCTTCTATTTTAAGGCGGATCAGCGAAGACGGCGGATTTTTCAGAGGGGACAGAGAAGAGGGGAATAAAGGAGGAAGTTGAAGAAATTAATATGCAAAAGAGACAGGCCATTCTTGCTTTTTGGCTTTAAAACTAAGCTCCGTGTAATGCTGGGTGGGAAAAAAAATTATTGGGAGAAAATAAAAGAGTCATAGGGACTAGAAACAACACGCAACAGTTTTTATTTTAATGCAGATTTAAACCACCTAAGCCAGGGGTCCCCAACCTTAGCAACTTTAAGACCTGCGGACTTCAACTTCTGGAATTCCCCAGCCATCATACTCATTGTGGCCCTACTTACTCTCTTATAATCCCTTCCTCTCCAATCTCCCTGTTTTAAGGGACAGGAGAGAAAAAAAACAGGCATGGCTGGCTGGGGAATTCTGGGAGTTGAAGTCCACTTACTCTCTTATAATCCCTTCCCCTCCAATCTCCCCGCTTTAAGGGATAGGAGAAAAAAAAAACCAGCCAGGGCTGGCTGGGGAATTCTGGGAGCTGAAGTTCACAAGTCTTAAAGTTGCTAAGGTTAGGGACCTCTGACCTAAGATAAATGGGAGTGGTTTTTTTTAACACGTGTATACTAGGGCAGGCGAAAACTGCCCAATCAGATAAGCATGTGACGAGGTGGCCGAGTGGTTAAGGCGATGGACTGCTAATCCATTGTGCTCTGCACGCGTGGGTTCGAATCCCATCCTCGTCGGCGTTCGGTACGTGGGGGCTGTTCATTAAATTTTTGCTTTGGGTGGTGGAAGTTGGGAAGACTTGTGAGGCTTCATACACGCGTCATCCGATTCCTTCGGACAGATACAGAAGTTGCGCCTTCCTTTTCAAGTTTAATAGGTACGGTAGTAACACAGCCCAGTTTTATTCTGCAAAATTCTATATCAAGTCCTATTAAGCGTACAAAAAAAAAGGCTAAGCGAAGACCTGCGCGCGGGGGAGGGAAAAAAAAAATTCCTGGCAGCGGTGGGATTCGAACCCACGCCTCCGAAGAGACTGGAGCCTTAATCCAGCGCCTTAGACCGCTCGGCCACGCTACCTTCCGCTCTGCAATACTTTTCCCCCAAAAGAAAGTGAGAGGGACAAGTTTTCACACCGGTCCGCAACCTGTCAACTCTTTTTCGAGACCGTTTGAGTGGCTCTTAAAAGAGCCGTTGGGTTGAAGCGAAGCTTTTTCACTTCTTTTTAAGGGCGGGCTTGGCCTTCGTGGCGACCTTCGGCTTAGGTTTTGCCTTCGCCTTCAGGGGTTTAGCGGGGCTTTTCGGCTTTGTCACTTTGGGCTTTTTAGCCGCCGAGGCGGGTTTTTTGACCGCCGCCTTGGCGGCTTTCTTTGGCCTGGCGGCTCCCGGAGCTTTTCTCGCCTTGTTGGCGGGCTTCCTGGCTGGCGGCTGCTGCTGCTTCCTCTTGCGGGTCACCGCCGCCTTCTCCTTGGGGTCTGCCTGCTTCTTGTTGAGCTTGAAGGAGCCCGAGGCGCCGGTGCCCTTGGTCTGCAACACCTTCCCCTTGGCCACCAGGCTCTTCAGGCCCAGTTTGATGCGGCTGTTGTTCTTCTCCACGTCGTAGCCCGAGGCCGCCAGCGACTTCTTCAGCGCGGCCAACGAGATGCCGCCGCGCTCCTTGGACGCCGCCACCGCTTGCATCAGCAGCTCCGTCACACCGGGGCCGCCCGGTTTTCGCTGCTGCGCCTTCGCGGCGCTCGCCACTCTCTTTGCCGGCGCTTTGGCAGCCGTAGCCGGCGCTACCTCAGCCATCCCGAAATACAAACCTCTCCACCGCCGTCTAACACGAACTAGCGCTCCGGGAGCGCGGGCCTGCTATTTATAGCAGAGGTCGCGCTCTGATTGGTCCGTTTTGGAAGTGGCTTTGCCCTTCGCCGCGCCCCCTTTTAAGAGTTTCGCGAGTTTGTGTTTTTTCAAACACGCGTTGAATTCAGACTGTCCGAAGCGGTTGTCGCGGATCCTTCTGCTTTCTGGTGGGATCGATGGCTGTTTTCAATGTCCGGATTTTCATTGTCTGAATGGTGCGCATCTCGGAGGAGAAATTTCTGGCTCGTATTTCCAGAGTAACCTAGACAGAAGTAACACACGTGAAGGAGATCTGTGTCACTCCTGGGGTCGAGTTTACTAACAAAACAAGGGATTTGCTGCCTTTAAAACATACCTTCAGATTAAAAGTAAGCATCCTTAACTTAACACGTATCAAGATTAGAGTTATACAGGTAGTCCTCGACTTACAACGGTCCATTTAGTGACCGTTTGAAGGTACAACTGGAAAAAGTGACTTGGGACTCTTTCACACAACCGTTGCAGCACACCTGTGATTAAAATTCAGCCACTTGGCAACTGCTTCATATTTATGATGGTTCCAGAGTCCTGTGTGTCTCATGTGATCCCCCACTTAACAAATGTATTATTAACAACTGTGGTGATTCACTTAACAACCGTGGCAATGGAGCCAAATTCATTTCACAACTCTCTTTGCTTAGCAAAAGAAATTTTGGGCCCGACTGGGGTCTAAGTCCACAATTACCTGTAGTTCAAAGCCAGTACCAAAATGGCAATTATAGACTGAGAGAATGAGTTACTATTTACTACAGGTTAATCCTTGACTTACAACTACAATCGGGATGAGAGTTTCCATTTGCTAGGGAAGCTGGTTGTTTAATGAGTCAGGCCAGATTTTTATGAAGTGTTGTTTTTTTGGGCCATGGTTGTTAACTAAGTCACTGCAGGGTTTATGTGAGTTACACAGTCGTTAAACAAATCTGGCATCACACAATCATTTTGTTGCTTATAAAACCACTTTCAAAGGCAGGGGTCTTCAAATTTGGTAACTTTTAAGATTTGTGGACTTCAACTCCAAGAATTCCTCAGCCAGGCACGCTGGCTGAGGAATTCTGGGAATTGAAGTCCACAAGTCATCAAAGGGCAAAGTTTGAAGATCCCTGCTTTAGAGTGACTGATCAGTCAGTGAACTTCTAATACTTGGGGTTTCGTAGCTTTGAAGAATTTGCCCTGCATTATGACATGATATGACATCACACCATGCTTCAAATCCTCCTTGGCCTAAGACAGTGGTTCTCAATTATTTTCTGTCATGCCCCCCCTAGGAAGAAGAAAACATTTCGCGCCCCCCCCGCGTGACTGTCTATCCAATTGGGTCCTTTGCGTGTGTCACATGCGTCCAATATGACAGTATTTGCTGAGGTCAAACGAGCCCCCCTTTATGGAGCCTCGCGCCCCCCCTGGGGGGCCCACCCCACTATTTGAGAACCACTGGCCTAAGAGAACATGCATGGTGCATGAAGCAGCCTAAAGCTTTGAAGCAGCTGCTGAGGATTAATCTAACATGACTAGAATAAGGAGAGAATGATAAAGTGGACATAGGTGGTGGAAGAATCCTGGATAAACGTCATTTCAAAAATCCATTTAGTCCAGAGGCTTGATATAACAGCTCACTTCCATCCTTTTCCCACAGGATATTAGAAAGTTAAAACAGATTAGAATTTATTTAGCCTAGTGTGATAAGATGCACAAGTAATAATAATAATAATAATAATAATAATAATAATAATAATAATAATAATGGAAAACATCATCTGAAATAGAATCACTGCTCAACACTGTCCGTATATATAGCCAAGATATTGTAATGGAGTTTGGCTTGGACAAATGTGCCACACTTACTATCAAAACAAGGAAAAATAGTGAAAACTGAAGGAATCAAGATGCCCCACGAAAATAACATTAAGAGTCTGGATGAGGAAGAGTACTACAAATACTTGGGTATCCTTCAAGCTGACAACAGCAAGCACACTGAAGTCAAGAAAAAGATTAGAGGTGAATACATCAAGAGAGTGAAGAAGATCTTAAAATCCAAACTCAATGGAGGAAATACCATAAAGGCAATCAACACCTGGGCAATCACAGTCATTAGGTACAAAGCTGGAATAGTGGACTGGACTCAAGCAGAACTAAAAGCAATGGATAGGCAGACCAGAAAAATAATGACAATGAATCATGCCCTTCATCCACGCAGTGACATTGATAGACTTTATCTACCAAGGCAAATAGGTGGGCGTGGAATGCTACAAGTACATCAGATGGTTGAAGAAGAAAAAATGGCTTTGGAAGAATATCTGAAGAACAGTGATGAAGATGCACTGAAATTAGTATATCAGGAAGGCTTACTGACTACTGGAGAGACCAAACTGGCTTACAAGAAAGACCAAATGAAAAGCAGAATAGAGGCATGGGAAGACAAAACACTACATGGCCAATACATTAAAAAAATAGCTGGGAAAGCAGATAATAACAAGACCTGGCAATGGCTAAGAGCAGGAAAATTGAAGAAAGAGACTGAGGGACTAATTCTGGCTGCACAAGACCAAGCCTTAAGGACAAATGCATATAAAGTCAAAATTGAGAAGACAGCAACAGACAGTAAGTGCCATCTATGCAAAAAAGCTGAAGAAACAGTGGACCACCTGGTAAGCTGTTGCAAGAAGATTGCACAGACTGACTACAAGCAGGCGGCATGACAAAGTAGCAACAATGGTGCATTGGACGATCTGCAAAAAATATGATTTGCCTGTAAGCAAAAACTGGTGGGATCATAAAATAGAGAAAGTCATAGCAAATGATAAAATTAAACTGCTCTGGGACTTCAGAATTCAAACAGACAAGCACCTGCAACATAACACCCCAGACTTAACAATTGTCGATAAGAAAGACAAAAAAAGTCTGGATAGTGGACGTGGCAGTGCCTGGAGACAGCAGAATAGACGAGAAAGAACTGGAGAAGATAACAAAATACAAAGACCTACAAACAGAAATAGAAAGACTGTGGCAAAAGCAAGCAAGGGTAGAGTACCAATAGTAATAGGCTCCTTGGGTGCAATCCCAAAACAACTGGAGCACCACTTGAACACCATTGGCATTGACAAATTCGCTATTAGTCAATTGCAAAAGGCAGCCTTACTAGGAACTGCTTCCATCCTGCGACGAGATCTGTAATACCATCAAACATCCACATCTGCTTGTCCCAGGTCCTGGGTAAGGACTCGATAGGTAGACAAAATGCCAAATCCAGTCTGAACATCTGGCTGACTATGCGATGATCCATGATAATAATAATGATGATGATGATGATGATGTTGCAAGGGTTCCTGGGCTTTGCAGAAGCTGGCCGGGACCAGACTGAATGGCGCCAACCTTGCACGCATGCGCAAGGCGCGAAAAGTGCCTGATGATGTTGCCATTATGTCCGGGGTTTTGGAATGTATAAAAGGAGGCCTGCGTGCCTTTGCTCTTTGTTGGGGTTTTGACTAAATGCACAATAAAGAGCTGTTCCGTAGAAATGCATCTTCCTCATTCGTCATCGCTTCGAAGACTTAACAGAGGTCATCTAGTCCAACCCCCTGCTTAGGCAGGAAACACTAACCCTATAATGCCAATAAGAGCAGGTAGTAACGAAGATGAAAAGGATAATAATAAAAGGGGCAAATGTAGGCCAAATAGTACAATACAAATATTTTCTGCTACCTCGAGCTGGTGGGAGCATTGCCTTGCGGCGAGATAGGCAGCAAATAAATTTAATAAATAAATATAAATCTCCCACAAATAAATAATACAGTTTCTCACAGGACACAGAGCAGAAATCTGAAGTAACAGTAACCATGGCTCTAGAGGGAATAATAGTACTCCGAAGCCCATCAATCAAACTGAGGAAGGATGTAACTGCATCAGCTTGTGGAAATAAGGAAAAAAATATATATAGTTTTCATCCTGTCGCCTCACCCAGTTTGAAACAAACAAAGATATAAACTTTTGCCCTCCTCAGGATTATAATTTTATAATTTAATCCTTTTTCTATCAAGCTCTTCGGGCAGCTGCTTCTACATGGCAGAGGCCTATTTGGTATGAACATTTTACCTCAGCGGTGTCCAACCGTGGCCATTTTATAACCTGTGGACTTCATCTCCCAGAATTCCCCAGACAGCTATGGTGGCTGGGGAATTCTGGGAGATGAAGTCCACAGCTCTTAAAGCAGCCAAAGTTGGACACTCCTGCTTTATAGGATTACAAATAATTCCCAAACTGGTTTCCCCAGAGAATTTGCAGTTCCTTTTCCTGAAGAAATCAAGTGCTCCAGAGTTTTCACAACAGCTTCAAAATTGGATTTAACTTCGCTTCAAAATTGGATTTAACTTCTGGTTTTAACTCGGCAACTTTGTACAAAGGGACTTTAAAAAAAAAAAAACCAAAAGGTTCACTTGATTTTACTCTAGTTTAAGGACTTCTTTCCAGCTACTTACATAACAGACAGCTTCCAACCCTGAGGATTAGTCTAACTGAGGTGCCCTGAAAAATAATAAACTAATTCAATCTTTTTTTAAAAAAATCCAATGTTAAGCAATTTGTTTACTGGGACTATGCAAGACACCAGATCTCGTGACATTTTGACCAGACAGAGGGCCTAATAACTCTGGAGGTTTCCTTTCTCGTCACGCAAGGAGAAAAACTGTGATCTTTGAAGGAAAATATTGGTAGCTCGGGGTTAAAATGAGGGTTCCTTGGTTCTGTCTGAGTTTGGTGGTTTTCTTGCAGACGTTTCATGACCCAACTAGGGAACATCATCAGTGCTAGAAGGGAGTGGGATTTGTGGAAGAGGAGGAGGAGGAGGAGGAAAACTGTGGGGTCCTTGGTGCTCTCTGAGCTGGGTGGTTTTCTTGCAGACGTTTCATGACCCAACTAGGGAACGTCATCAGTGCTAGTAAGGAGTGCTGTTTGCTGTCAGTTTATATATTCTGGTGTCTTGCCTGTCTGGATGGGTGGGGGCGGTCCTCCTCCTCCTCCTCCTCCACCACCACCACCACCACCACAAATCCCACTCCCTTCTAGCACAGATGATGTTTCCTAGTTGGGTTATGAAACGTCTGCAAGAAAACCACCAAGCTCAGACAGCACCAAGAACCCATCAGTCACTCTCCTCCTGCTCCTTCCTTCTAGCACTGATGATGTAACCAAGTTGGATCATGAAACGTCTGCAAGAAAACCACCAAGCTCAGAGAGCACCAAGGACCCCCCAGTCCTCTTCCTCCTCCCCCTCCCCCTCCTCTGCCTCCTTCTCCTCTTCCCCTTCCTTCTCCTCCTCCTCCACAAATCCCTCCTCCTTCTAGCATTGATGATGTTCCCTAGTTGGATCATGAAATGTCTGCAAGAAAACCATCAAACTCAGAGAGCACCAAGGACCCTACAGTTGTTGTTGTTGTTGTTGTTGTTCTTCTTCTTCTCCTCCTCCTCCTCCTCCTCCTCCTCCTCCTCCTCCTCAAATCCCACTTCCAGCCTGATGATGTAACCTAGTTGGGTCATGAAACGTCTGCAAGAAAACCACCCAGCTCAGAGAGCACCAAGGAGCCCTCACTGTGATCTTTATTTGAAGGCAGACCCAAACAATTAAGGAAACTCAATATTTGGATGGGAAATGCAGGGTTGGAAGCTTGGATGGGGGAAACCGAGAAGAAGACTGCAAAAAAAGGCTTCCCTGCTGTTGCTCAAAATATCTTTATCAGAGATTTGAATAATAATGATGACGATGGTGAAAAATCCGATTCATTGGCTTCCTGTTCTCGTGTCTTCAAAGGAGGCAGGAGAAGCGGAGGTTACAGCAACCTCCTCGTTAGTATAGTGGTAAGTATCCCCGCCTGTCACGCGGGAGACCGGGGTTCGATTCCCCGACGGGGAGATGGCAAATATCTTTTTAATAAAAAGCAAATAAATTTCTTGGACGTTTGGAAAGTTAACGGAGCGGCTTTCGAGGCCGCCCGCCCGGAGGCAAACGAACCGCGGGGTCGTTTCGTCCTACGAACGACGAGCCCAACGTCAGGAAATGAATGGGCGGCGAAACCCGCGCCCCCCCCCGGGGTGTGTGAAATTATTCCATGACGTCATTGAAGGCGAATGGAATTTCGCGTTCCCTCCCCCCCCTTCACTTTTTCTTTTTTTCCCCGGGGATGTTTCTTAGATATCCGATATGTGAAAACAAATCAGTTGCTGAAGAGCACATCACCTTCTCATCCTTCAGGATTGTATATAAGTAGTATACTACAACATAACTATACTATGTACTAATGCTCTCTATATTATATAGTATACTGTACTATGTTAGTGTATATATTGTAATGTGCAATACTCATGTAGCCTAGATAAATAGGTAGGTAGGTAGGTAGGTAGGTAGGTAGGTAGGTAGGTAGGTAGGTAGATAGATAGATAGACAGACAGACAGACAGATGGATGGACATAGATGGATAGGATAGAACAGAATAGAATAGAATTACAGAATAGAATAGAATAGAATAGAATAGAAATAAGGAATAGAGTAGAAATAAGGAACAGAATAGAGAATAGAATATAGAATAGAATAGAAATAAGGAATAGAATAGAAATAGAAATAGAATAGAATAGAATAGAATAGAATAGAATAGAATAGAATAGAGAATTCTATTGTACTAACGCACTGTGATTCCCCTTCCCTTTCATCTGCATAGGAAGTAGCTTACTGAGGATGGGAACCTTGATTTCTTGTGGCTGATTGGGCAATTAATTAAAAGAATTTATTGCGGCACATTTGTCCTTCATCGCGGAGAAACGAACACAACAATAATAAACAATATAATAGACATAATAATAAGAATAAATAATAACATACAAACGGAGTGGCGTTTCTGCAAATCGCCTCCAATCCCTGCAGGGCGCCGAAGTTTTAAAATTTAAGACGCGATTGGCTAAAAGCGACAACCAATCAAAACCAAGGAAGCAAGGTATAAATAGCGCGCCAGTCGCGGTTGCTTCTTAGTTCTTCGCTTCGCGGTGAGGGAGTTGGTGTTTTTTCTTGTGTCTTTGCTCCGAGATGGCTCGTACCAAGCAGACCGCTCGCAAGTCTACCGGCGGGAAGGCGCCCCGCAAGCAGCTGGCCACCAAGGCGGCGCGGAAGAGCGCTCCGGCCACGGGCGGCGTGAAGAAGCCTCACCGTTACCGGCCCGGCACCGTCGCCCTGCGCGAGATCCGCCGCTACCAAAAGTCGACGGAACTGCTCATCCGCAAACTGCCCTTCCAGCGGCTGGTGCGCGAGATCGCGCAGGACTTCAAGACCGACCTGCGCTTCCAGAGCTCGGCCGTTATGGCGCTGCAGGAGGCGAGCGAGGCCTACCTGGTGGGGCTCTTCGAGGACACCAACCTGTGCGCCATCCACGCCAAGCGCGTCACCATCATGCCCAAGGACATCCAGCTGGCCCGCCGCATCCGCGGGGAACGGGCGTAAATAAAAAAAGGAGGCTTTTGCCTTTGAAAAACGGCTCTTTTAAGAGCCATCAAATAGTCCCAAAGAGTGCTGGAAACTATCCCAAACTATTGAAGTGAGACACCCACGTAGTTATTGTGAAGAAATTCAAACGGTATTCGGTCTCTTCCCCTCGTGATTTAACTGACCCACTTGCAAAACACTCCCGGATCGATTATATCGCGCTTGCAGCCCTCTCATAAGGAAGTGAGCGGCTCTTAAAAGAGCCTTTGGGGTTGCGGGTAGTCTTCCCTGCGGTCCACACGTCAAGCTGCCCCTCTACTTGGAGCTGGTGTACTTGGTGACGGCCTTGGTGCCTTCGGAGACGGCGTGCTTGGCCAGCTCGCCCGGCAGCAGGAGGCGCACGGCCGTCTGGATCTCGCGGGAGGTGATGGTGGAGCGCTTGTTGTAGTGCGCCAGGCGGGAGGCTTCGGCGGCGATGCGCTCGAAGATGTCGTTGACGAAGGAGTTCATGATGCTCATGGCCTTGGAGGAGATGCCGGTGTCGGGGTGGACCTGCTTCAGCACCTTGTAGACGTAGATGGAGTAGCTCTCCTTGCGGGTCTTTCTGCGTTTCTTATCGCCCTTCTTCTGCGTCTTGGTGATGGCCTTTTTGGAGCCTTTCTTGGGCACCGGCGCTGACTTCGCTGGCTCAGGCATCTTGAGAGGCGCGCCAATCAGCTGGGATTCCGCACTAACGGCTGCGAGTCCTGCAAGCTCGTATTTATAAGCGCTTTTATGCAAATGAAGTCTTGGCATTTCTTCTCGACTATTGGCTGTGGGAGGAAGGTGCCGCGCGACGTTTTTTTTCAAAAGGCTGCGTTACTATTGGCCAAGAAGGAGACATCTCTATTCGCTGGGCTAGAGAGTCGCCCTTCCATTGGTTACTGGGAATTTAAACGGCTATCCAATGAATGCTGCCAATTTCAAATCCAGCAAGCAGGATTAATAGAAAAATGCAGCCGCTAGCTGAAATATGAGCTAAAATATTTTTTTCAGCCATGGCAAATTATTATTATTATGGATCATCGCACAGTCAGCCAGATGTTCAGACTGGATTTGGCATTTTGTCTACCTATCGAGGACCTGGGATAGGCAGATGTGGATGTTTGATAGTATTACATTATTATTATTATTATTATTATTATTATTATTATTATTATTACAATAACAATAATAAATACCATATATAAAAATATAATATAATAGATTATATATATAATATAATAATAATTATAATAATACTCTAACCCTATGCCATTTCAGACAAATGGTTGTCCAGTCTCTTCTTAAAAACTTCCAGTGTTGGAGCATTCACAGCTTCTGGAAGCAGGTTGTTCCACTTGGTTAATTGTTCTGTCAGGAAATTTCTGACAGAAAGTTAGAAAGACAGAAACAGAATTTATGGTTGAGGTTATCTCAAAGATGCTTTTTCAAAAGGCAACTGAACTGTTTTTTTTTCCCTGAGGAGAAAAAAAAAGAACAGAAAATTAGTCCAGGTGCCTTTTGAAAAAGGACCTTTGAGACAGTTGTGACCTGGTTGACAGAATCTCTATAGACATGTTTGAGGTTCAGTTATGTTTATCCTATTTTGAAGTGTTGATTCAGTCACATTTTTCTTTATCCATTGTTTTGCTGAATTTCCTTCAACTTGATTGTTACCTATTTGTAGATAAATGGGTACCCTTAAGGTCATCTAGCAGCACATAGGAAGTGTGCCTTCTCTGAGGTCAGGCATGCCTCATTCTTCCTGCTGTCCCTACAAGCGTAAGGGTAGGATGAGGCTGGAGCCCAACAGGAAAAGGAGAATAAACAGGATTCATTTAAGCAACATAAAGGTGCTCAGGGTTTTGCATCCGACAAAGCTTTGGCTTGAAGAATTGGGAACAAGAAAGCAACCTCTGTAGCCCTGGATGCTGAAATGTCAGAAACACATGAGAGCAGGCAGAGTTATCTGGGTCTTTGGTTACTCAGTTTCACAATTAAGAAATCAACAGGCACATAAATATCAGCAACATTTACACACACAGAGACACACAAAAAGCCAAAAAGGAATCAAAAACACCAGCTCACCAGCCATCAACATCCAGATGAGCAGAGATTAACACCAACATTAACCAGGGACAGGCAACCTTGGCTCTTTTATGACTCGTGGACTTCAACTCCCAGAATTCCTGAGCCAGCCACGCTGAGGGGAAAGGGAGAGGATTCCAAGCTGAGCCAGGCTGGCTCAGGAATTCTGGGAGTTGAAGTCCACGAGTCATAAAAGAGCCAAGGTTGCCTACCCCTGGTCTAGATCAACAACCAAGCAGTAAACAATACCTCGATCAAGGAATAACCAACTCAGGCAATAATCAAACAGTTAACAACAATCAAGAACACTCCTATCAACATTGACAAGGCAGGTCACTCCACTCTCGTACTTATGACGTTACCGAGTTGGGTCATGAAACATCTGCAAGAAAACAATCAAGTTTGGAGAATACCAAGGACTCCACAGTTCTCCTCTTCTTCCTTCTCCTCTGCACAATTCCCCCTTCCTTCCAGTACTGATGATGTTACCTAGTTGGGTCATGAAATGTCTGCAAGAAAACAACCAAGCTCAGAGAGCACCAAGCATCCTAAAGTCCTCCTCCTCCTCCTCCTCCTCCTCCCATACTCCCTTCTAGCACTGATGATGTTACCCTTTTTCTTTTCCTCTTCTCCTCCTGCTACCCCTCTCCTCCTCCCTCCCTCCCTCCCTCCCTCCTCCTCCTTGCAAACCCCACTTCCTTCTAGCACTGATGATGTTACCTAGTTGGGTCATGAAACGTCTGCAAGAAAACAACCAAGCTCAGAGACCACAAAGGACCCCACAATTAAGAAATTCTTTCCTACTGGATGAAGCCACTATAAAGACGCCTCAAGGGCAACTCAGGCATCCATTTGATGGGCTGCAGCTCTTGGAAAAAGAAGTCAGCAAAATTCTTGGAGGGCCATCTTGTGGCAAAGGCCTTAGATCTCTCCTTAAGCCTGCTAGAGCGAGACCAGCATTTTCTCGAGAAGCAGACCTGGATGGGATGGATGGAATTTTTTATTATTATTATATTGTGAATTAAAAAAAAATATATTGTAAGCTGCCCAGTGTAAGTTGGGTTGCTATTTAATTTTTTTTAATTAATAAATAGTCCTAGAAGACCTCTGTGAGGAATAAAAACTCAACTCCGAGGGTGTTGGAAAACCGAACATGTTTTATTCGAGCTTTTGCAAAAGCTGGTGGAACTCTTGGCGGTGGCAAATCCCAGAGTCCACACTTAAATCAATTTTTGCATAGGTTTTTATATATCCTGTCCCGTGCATCACACCACATCCTTCCAAAGGGAGCCCAGTTGATAGGCCCACCCGGTCACATGCTTTCCCACAGCCTAACCACCATTATAATTACCAGACCCTCCAATTTTTAAATCAAAAAGCCCCCTTTTGTTCCTGTCTTATCTTCCCTCCCTTTTCTATGGCATGATTTGTAACATCCGGCTAACTAAGGGTATACAGCCTTATCTACACGGTGAACTGTTACCCAGACTGGATAATTGCAATTATAAAGGATTTATATCTTCACTTGTTTTATAAGAGTGCCTGTTTTTCATCTAAAAGCTATGTGTGTAACAGAGTTCATGCTTTGGTTAAACGTGGCTGCACTTTGGTTCATAGTTATACTTTAAAATACTAACTCTAGGCAGTTTTTATAAAGATTAAACCTTATATAAATTGAATAATAGGTTATTCATAAGCTATATGCTATTCTACTGTAAGGTCCCAGGCACTCTGGCTGAGGAATTCTGGGAGTTGAAGTCCACAAGTCATAAAGGGGTCATAGTTCCCTCACGCTGGCTGAGGAATTCTGGGAGTTGAAGTCCACAAGTCATAAAGGGGTCATAGTTCCCTCAGGCTGGCTGAGGAATTCTGGGAGTTGAAGTCCACAAGTCATAAAGGGGTCATAGTTCCCTCAGGCTGGCTGAGGAATTCTGGGAGTTGAAGTCCACAAGTCATAAAGGGGTCATAGTTCCCTCAGGCTGGCTGAGGACTTCTGGGAGTTGAAGTCCACCAGTCATCAAAGGGCCAAGTTGGGAGACCCCTGTTCTAGAGCAAGGTTGCAAAAGCAGGAAAAGATCCATCAGAATCAGAAATGCAACAATCTTGGCCTTTATTTATCTGGAGAGAACTGCCCCCCCTCGCCCCCCTCCCTTTGCTGACAATTTAGCCGGAAATCCAAAAGAATTCCCACGCTCTTTAGTTCAGCCAAGGAGCAAAAGCAAAAGCGCCTTATTGGTCCAGGTGTTAAAGTACATAATTGTCCTGCATTTAGCAGAATTTGCCTTTTTTTCCCCCGCCCGGGAGAAAAAAAAGCAAAACGTCTGGAGATGCCGGGGATCGAACCCGGGGCCTCATACATGCAAAGCATGCGCTCTACCACTGAGCTACATCCCCTCCCCGTCGCAAGCCTTTCGAATAGACGTAGAAGAGGCGCTCGTTCCGGAGGACCCAGCAAATAAAACGCAATTCGAGTGATGTATCTTGGATGGAGGGGACCTTGGGAGGCCTTCTAGTCCAACCCCCTGCTCACGCAGACCTTGTACCACTCCGGACAAATCAGAGGCATAAACTGATGTAATATCAAAATATATAGTAGCATCAAGATAGGAAAGCATAACCCTTAAAAGCTTTATTGACCATTTAAAGATTTCATTTGCTCCCTTTGGAAATTTAACCCACGCGTAGAAATTGAACATATCCTTTCTAAACGCAACGCCCTACGTATTTCGTTCCAAGTGCTGCCTTTTGCATGCAACGGACGCAGCTCTTTTCCGGAAAACTTGAGCGGCCCTGAAAAGGGCCTTTTCCGCATCGTCTCTTCTGTCCGTCCCCAGATCTGATCTCTAAGTTAGCCGCCGAAGCCGTATAGAGTCCGGCCTTGGCGCTTGAGGGCGTAGACCACATCCATGGCCGTGACCGTCTTCCTCTTGGCGTGCTCGGTGTAAGTCACCGCGTCGCGGATCACGTTCTCTAGGAAGACCTTCAGGACGCCCCGCGTTTCCTCGTAGATGAGCCCCGAAATTCGCTTCACGCCGCCGCGCCGAGCCAGGCGGCGACTGGCGGGCTTTGTGATGCCTTGGATGTTATCCCGGAGGACTTTCCTGTGCCTCTTGGCGCCTCCTTTGCCCAAGCCTTTCCCGCCTTTGCCTCGCCCGGACATGCTTCCCCGCTCGCAGAAAACAGCCGATGTGGCAAAGCCGGAGGGGAAGTGGGTAGATATACCACAGAATCGGACCAGAAGGAAAACTAAACCGGGCACCTCTTCCCGCCTTTTCTACGTCGCCCGTAAAAATCTCCTCACGACAATTGAAAAGGCCTTAAAAAGAAGTGAAGGGCGTGGTCATTCGAGTATTAAGAGAATTCAATCCTTTTCTAATCAACGTAGATTTCTGAAAAATTAGGACTGATTATTCTCAGTGTGGTTTATAAACTTGAGAAGCTGGAAGTTGCACCAAAATCAAAGGACCAGCATCGCAGTGAATTAATCAATAGAAAGCATTTGCAATTTATATTTTATCCTTTATAATATTCATAAAAATTTCTTAAGGGACAAAGAATTGTAATATTCCCTGGAGTAAGCTCAGTTCTTAAATCAGTTCTTGGCCAGTGCAAAAGAAATTTGCCACTAATTTGTGAGATGTTTTTTCCAATGCTGCCTGAAAGCCTGCATCTCCTAGTGGTCTCCTATCCCTGTACTAAGCAAGTCTGATTTCCTTAGCTTTTCAAGCTCACATTATTGCCTCAAAACTCAAGTGTCCCAAATTTGGAATGGAACTGAATTTGAGAGACACTTTTACATTTGCAAAGGGGCTTTTTTTGCCCACCTGGAAATACAAACTACCAAATGCTTCAGGCAAAGCAAAAAGCATTTATTAAGGGGAGATCAAGACTTCTTATAGGGGATAAAAACAAATGATACATTTGTGTATGCAATAGGTCAGAAAGCAAATGATTAATAATAAAAGACATTGATTAAATGTGAGTTTTGGACAAATAGAAAACCTGGGTTTCAGATAATATTCCACAAGTGGCAAATTTATGAGTTATGTTACTCTTCCCCAGGTGAGTTTGAATCTTTCTTAAAACTTACAAGGATATTCGAAGACTTTCAGAATAGGCTCTGTATAGTTTGGTGCTGAAAAAGAGAAGTTTTTACATACCAAAAGTAATGGCCTTGAATAAGAAGAAAAATGTATGTTTTTCTCCAGTTAGAAGAGACTTAAACTGCCACATTAAAATGCTAACTTTTCACTTTTTTAAAATGCCAGTAACAAAGCTTAAAATTCCAGATAATATAGTATGACAAAACATCACAAAAAAGTCTGAATTTACACAACATTCTTAGCAAGGTGAGGCAATTTTTCCAATACTGTATTTACCCCACTCATGACTTTCAACAAAGTTACACTTGTCTCTAATGCTTTTATATTTATGTTTTTATACTATATTAAGTCATCCAGAGTTGCCTTGGATATTACAACAGGCGGCACATACATTTAAAGCTTTCCCCCTGCGTACAGGTCAGAATTTGAAGGTCAGATGCTCATTGTGGGATAAAAAAAAATATAGTAAATTCTACTGCTATCACAGCTCATATTGCTATAGAGTGCATTACATTAAAAACTGGGATTTTTAAAAATTATATTTATGTATCTCACAGGAGAAAAAAGGCTTTAACTGGATTCAAGTCTTCTGCAAACACTGCTAAATATACAGCTTGTCCTTTTTGTGCAACACTCAAAAATGGTTCAAAAATAGATACAATCCACACAAATGCTATCAAAGGAAGAATGGATGGGAAAGCAGATGGAGTTAGCAGAGATGGCCAAATTGACTGTTTTAATTAAAGAATATATTTCTTTTTAATATACATATAGCTTTGTTTCTAGTTGGAGACCTCTCGTAGACTTTGTACTTGAATGGGAAAGTTTCAGAAAGTTTAAAATTTTCTTATTCAACAGCAGGCTCACTGAGCATGTGCAAGAAACATGAGTAGTGCTTGAAACTCAGCAGAGAACACCCACATTCAGTGAACCAAGAATATCCATATATGGTTAGGACAATTGTGTCGTTTGATAGGTTTGTGACCTGCCACGTCAGGTATAGCTGACGTCGGTATAGGAGGAGTTAGGGAGGGTATAATTGCTGTAACGCTTCTGTAAGGGGGGTGGCTCTTCCTTGTAACTCTTGTGGGTGCATGGTTGGGTTCCACCACGCTTTGCAAACCGTCTTTTTCTACTAAACTTGATTTTTTGATAATAAAAGAAACTTTATTCTGCTACTCCGAACCTCGTCTCTGAATTTCTTTCAAGGAATTCTACAAACAAATTGGGGGCTCAACCGGGATCCAATCTGCGCTGGGACTCTGCGGGGGTCCCCCTTAGGTGCACCCCTTTCCTTTTGAAAGGAGGGGAACCACCCAGAGGACTGCGGAGCTCTTGGAAACCCGTAAAAAATTCAATAAAGATGAGTATTAGGAGAAGGGTGAATAAAGTGCAGAACAGCCTGAAAACAGACCGGGTAACATCTGCGCGCAGACCCTGGTGAGTACTGGCTTGGAAACACCAGAACACAAGAGTCCAGGGCGGTCCGGATCGAGTGTGTGGATGTGAGAACTGGCAACGGGGCTGGGTGGAAGTCCTTTTGCGGGACCTCGGGGAGGTCTGCAGGACGGAGTGAGTGAGGGGGATATTATTGAATATCCAGAGACGGTGACGTGTGGAACTGGAAGGAGTTGCTGGGAGGGACACAGGCGCACATACTCAAGATAGGCTGACCACCCATAAGGGAGATGGGGGGTAATACAGAGTGGACTGAGTCAGGGAAGAAGTGTGTTAAAAGGATCCGGAAGAACCCCAAACTAAAAATCGACCCGAGTGGCCCTTTGGGCAGAATATTGGCTGGATGGGGATCCCCGCCCTATAACCGGGAGATTTTGAGGTTGGGGTTGAACAAAGAAGATATGGTTAATTTGTGCTGTTTCATTTGGTGGGAGGATGAAAATGTGGAGTGGCCAAGGGATGGCTCCACAGATTATTTTCAGTGTCACAATTTATATAATTATGTGAAGAAAAAGAAATGTAAAAGTTTGGATAATGAATTGGATTATGCGCTAATTTGGGTCCCGGATCTTTGGAACCCAAGGGAGCACATCCTCATGACAAAAACAGATGAGGAAGAAGAAGAACAAGAGCAAGGGAGTATTGCACCCCCCTATAATCCGATTCATATCCAAAATCCTCCTCATCCAGTGAATGTGGTGACACCACCATTGTATCCAGAATTACCAGGGGGAGTAGGTCAGTTGACCCCAGGACCATGGTCTAGTCAATCTATGCCTGTCCTGAGTCCACAAGGTCGGGATCCATACTGGACTCCGACATATCCAACCCCGCCTACCCCTGTGTTAACTCCCTATACTGACCCAAGAACTGGGAATAAAACAAAACAGTTCGGGGATGTGATAGGAAGCACTAAAAAGGATCTGATGACGCAAATGGGAGTAGAGGAAGGGGATTTGGAGGATTTCAAGGTGGATACCAGAATAAGGAGAGAACGTGCTTTGAATGTGGAATGAAGGGCCACTTTTAAAAAAAAAATTGCCCTAAACGCGCGAGAGAACAGCAAGTTTACTCAGTGTGGGAAGAAGAGGATAGTTTTTACTAGGGGAGGGAAAGGAGCTCATTGGCTTTTGAACAGCTCGAAATTATAATAATTATTGATTTGTCAAGAGAAAGTATGAAATATCCCTATGTGAAAGTGTTTATACAAGCAGTTTGAATGGAAGTGAATGTATGGATATGCTGATCCTGTCTCTCTCTCTGTGTGTGTGTGTGTGTGAGTGAGTGTCTCCCCCATCTAAACTGCAGGTTTTATTGTTTTAGCAAGTGTTTGCATGAGAAGAGTTCCATGGAGAATGTGTGAGAGAATTTATGGCAAATTCATGTGAAGGAGAGAAAGCTATTCCACCCCCTTTCCGTTTTCAGCTGGCTGTGTTGCTTTAAGAGTGAGAGACAGAAAGGAAAGGGGGGGGGCTGCTCATTTTAATTTTTTTTCTCCGCTTGGAATTCTGCTTTGGGAGGAAGGTGGGGTGGATGTGAAATTTAATACCCATTCTTATAGTAATGAGATATGAGAAGAACTTGAATACACCTATACTGTAGTTTTATTTTTATGTTTTTATGTCTGTGTGCAGGACACACTGATAAAAACATAATATCTAGGAGACCTGAAGGAATGGTAATTCAACCCTTGTTTAAAACGAAGGAGTTGAGAAAATTTTGGGATTATAAATGAGCTATGTTGTTTTGAATAAAGATTTGTATGCAAACAAACTCAAGCAGAGTTGGTGAGCGCTCCTTTGTTGGCTCTTTACTAAGCAATGTGTTTGTAAATACGGACAAAAGGAATGGCTAGGGGAGGGATAATTGATACTTTTCTATGGTTAATATATGGTTGGTTATATGATATGTAGACAAATACATAAAATGCTCTATAACATCTAATGGTGAGGCTATTTCAATGCATTCAAGTTGATTTTAAATCATCTCAAGTAGGAAATTCCACAATATGAAAACTAATGACATGTTTATAAAGAATTAGATACTGGGGCTGTTTTCTGCTTTGTCTTATCTCAGGAAACAAGGCTTGCTGATCTAAACACCCCCTTTGAAATTTCCTGTCCACAAGTTTGAGGTGGGACAGTGGATCCTGATCCAAACGTGGAAGGAGGAAAAACTGCAACCTAAGTGGGAAGGACCATTCCAGTGTTGCTGACCTCTGAAACCGCAGTCTGGACGAAAGAAAAAGGGTGGACCCACTACACACGAGTGAAGGGACCAGTAGCTGAACCAAAAGAACAGTGGACCTGTGTTCCAAATCCAGAACCTTTAAAGCGACAGTAATCGAATGTCCAAACCAGATCTATGACTGGGTAGAATTAGGGTTTGCTATTTTCCTTTGTCTTGTGCCCAAAATCCCATGCCATGCTGATTGTTGTTGCTGTTTCCATTGTATTGACTGTGTAAGATGTACTAGATGTGAAGAACATTTTGGACCAAATAATATAGTACTCATTGAGAAGAAATTGAAACCTTTTGAGGAATATACTATATACTTTAAAAGATAACTAGTCCAGGACGAACGAGAGTAACTAAAATGCAAATCCTTAGTGTTGCATATTTGTCCATGGTTATCTATCTCTCCCTTTCTAGAGAACGATATAGGAGAGCAACAAAAACAGAAGGATGTGAAGCCTGCATTACGAATGTCACCAAAGGAAACGCAGTAATTAAGACCTTGGTATATTATACCCCAGCACCTAGGGGATGTATATTTCAATCTATGTGTCAATTAAATAACACACAATATTCAGTTTGTAAGGGAGAAGACAAGAAGATACAATGTTATGATCCATCAATGCCAACATATTTCAATTTTAGTATATATGTAGGTCTAGCTAAAACAGGAGCAAGACAGAGACCTGAAAGTGAAGGAAGATTAATATATGTTAATTCCACAAAAATATTAGAAAAGGGGACAGAAAAGGCTTTAATACGGTTTGATGCCTGCACAATATTAGGTTTATCTCCTCTCGCCACAAAGTGGAGACTCTAGTTGGATCTCAGCATATAAACAAAATCATAAATATACATGTCCCACTAATTTGAACTTTGCAAATGGGAACCCCAATCAAGGCCACCTTGTGGGGGATCTGTTAAATGTTCAGGGTGGAGTTGTGTGTGTGATTACACTGGAGAGGGTTATCCAGGATGTAGTGGTATTACCAAATTTAACAGAATATACAGAACTAATACGATGGAGTTGGAAATCACTAAGAACCATGCTGAAGTAGTAAGTTATGGATTTGGGATAGATATTCCATGTAATGTTGAAACAATGAGAGGAAAGGAGCGGACACCAGAAAAGACCGTGTGTGTCTATGGGCCTGCTACTTGGGCCGAAGATGGATCTTGGGGATATAGAACACCCATGTATATGTTAAACAGAATAATAAGATTACAGGCTGTATTAGAATTAGTTGGAAAAAAAAATAGATACTGCTTTAAATGTTTTGGCAAAAACTACTAATTAGCTTAGAGTGGCTGTGTATCAAAATAGATTAGCATTAGATTATATATTGGCTAAGGAAGGGGGTGTCTGTGGAAAATTTAATTTAACTAATTGCTGTATACAAATTGACGATTCAGGCATGGTAATTAACCAGATAACGAAAGAAATGGTTAGAATTGCACATGTACCTGTACAAACTTGGACAGGGATATTGGATGATGAAGGATTCCTAGGAGGGATATTTAGAAATTGGAAACAGGCTCTGTTTATGGTGTGTATTATATTTATTGGTATAATGATGTTGCCTTGCCTGATCCCAGTAATAAAGAACCTAGTGAACAGTTCAGTCCACGGTATATTACAAGCCCAACAGAATGCTAAGTCTATAATGGTGTTAAAAGAAATTGGGGATCAAATCCAATTGTTGGAAAGTATGGATACCTTACATCCAATGAAAACTACCAAGGAAGAAACTATTAGGTTAAATGAAATAAAAGAAAATATTAAACGAAATGACCAAATAAGAAATGGGGGAATTGAATGGGAAAGTTTCAGAAAGTTTAAAATTTTCTTATTCAACAGCAGGCTCACTGAGCATGTGCAAGAAACATGAGTACGTGCTTGAAACTAAGCAGAGAACACCCACATTCGGTGAACCAAGAATATCTATATGGTAAGGTAGGACAATTGTGTCGTTTGATAGGTTTGTGACCTGCCACGTCAGGTATAGCTGACGTCGGTATAGGAGGAGTTAGGGAGGGTATAATTGCTGTTACGCTTCTGTAAGGGGGGGTGGCTCTTCCTTGTAACTCTTGTGGGTGCATGGTTGAGTTCCACCACGCTTTGCAAACCGTCTTTTGCTACTAAACTTGATTTTTGATAATAAAAGAAACTTTATTCTGCTACTCCGAACCTCGTCTCTGAATTTCTTTCAAGGAATTCTACAAACATACTCTAAGACGAAAAACAATGAAACGCTGATTTGGGGGGATTCCTGATGGCTGTTATAGAAATGGCTAGTATATATATCAAGTATAAAAGTAAACATTTGAGGATGTTTTATTTTACTGCCCTGAAAAAGTTGGAAGTGAATTTTTCCCTCCTGTTTTCTTCAACATTCATGTGTATTCATTTTCACAATAAAACTTTTAAGATAGTGCTTCAAAAATGGAGGCCTTAGAAAACCAACTCATAATGCTTGTTATCAACAGCCATTAACGTGTTGGAAGAAACACAGGCACAAAATCAAATACATCTCACTGTTATCAGTTAATAAATTTTACTTTCCTTTTTACAAATTAGAAATCCTTCAAAGTTAATTTTTTGCTCATGTTTTTAATAAAAGCTTATTACTTATTGTTTAAGCTGCCTAGAATTATTCTCGGCTCGATAGAGGGGGCGACCTAAATCCCTCGAACAAAACCGCCCCTTAAAGCGACCTCGCACTTTTCCAGGAATACGTGAGCGGCTCTTAAAAGAGCCTTTGGGGTTGCGGGTAGTCTTCCCTGCGGTCCACACGTCAAGCCGCCCCTCTACTTGGAGCTGGTGTACTTGGTGACGGCCTTGGTGCCTTCGGAGACGGCGTGCTTGGCCAGCTCGCCCGGCAGCAGGAGGCGCACGGCCGTCTGGATCTCGCGGGAGGTGATGGTGGAGCGCTTGTTGTAGTGCGCCAGGCGGGAGGCCTCGGCGGCGATGCGCTCGAAGATGTCGTTGACGAAGGAGTTCATGATGCTCATGGCCTTGGAGGAGATGCCGGTGTCGGGGTGGACCTGCTTCAGCACCTTGTAGACGTAGATGGAGTAGCTCTCCTTGCGGGTCTTCCTGCGCTTCTTGTCACCCTTCTTCTGCGTCTTGGTGATGGCCTTTTTGGAGCCCTTCTTGGGCACCGGCGCTGACTTCGCAGGCTCGGGCATCTTCGCTCCTCCTCTTACGTCAACAGGCAGTGAATTGACGAGCTTCGGCGTCCCGCTCCCTTTTATAGCAGCCGTATGCTGATGAAGGGGCTCCAAGCGTCAAGCTGCCGTTGGTCCGTACAATTTGGGCGGGAAAGTGGAACGCCAATCAGAGAGGTCGAAGCGTTCGTTCGCTGAATCGGATAAGGAAACACGGCTGGTTTGGCTTGAACGCGCCCCGGAGTTGTTTTCTGATTGGTGCAGTGAGGCTCCTCTCTCATTGGTCTGTTTTGAAGCCGCCCTTGCTCGGTGTAAAGGGAATTGTTTTGGCTTTAAAAGCAAATAAAATCAATAAATTGGATTAGTAACCTCACTGAAATAAGGAGAATTGGGGAGCCCTATTAATAGATTCAGAGAACTTTTGGCTGGTTTCCACCCGGCTGCCTTGCCTCAGCAGCGTCTATCGAGCCCAATAGGTTGGGGGGAGGGGCAGCCGTCTGAGGAAACTTCAAATGCAAAATTAGGTGAAGGACAAACAGAGAAGTTAAACTGGAATGACAAGATTATTAGCAAAGAATTATCTAATTATGAATTGTCCTTAAAACAGAGGACAAAGTCTCTTCCAGGCTGCACCTAGTGACAAAACACTATAAAAAGCAAACTGTCAAAACCTATAGAGGATCAAATGTGTTACGAAGTCCAATTCAGTGACTAACAGCCACATCAAACTTTGGGTCAGAATTTTATAATCCACTTGTCACAAGGAGAGACCACATAGTTTATATACTAAGAAAGCAAGCCACATTTCAGCATACAATACTAGTATTTTGAAGAGGAAAATACTTGAAACACACTTCTCACACAAACTACATTTTAAATGATGTTGCCTTCAATTTCAAGAACTTTTATGATGCCTTAATCTCACTGAAATCAGTTACAAATTTTAGTGATTTCTTTCTGCTGATTTAGATGAGGCTGCTGTGATTTGGGTTTAGCTCCCTTCAATTATGTTTTAATTAAACTGCATTTTAATTGCTCAGCAATCAGCCGTGTACATTGACCATCATTCTTGGATCAAGACCAGTCAGTTGAAATGTCTCTGTAGCTTTGAGCCACAGATTGTCTGGTTTTGGAGACGGAAATGGTTCTTCTACCCCACCCTATCAACTCAGAAATTTTTTCGTTTGGGTTTTGCATTCAAGACAAGACAATAAAAATTGTCCTATATGATGTCTCTTCTGTCAGCAATGTCCCCAGAATTGCTCACAAAGCATTTCAGAAGATGGACACCATATCTCTGGGATGAAAAGAGAAGAGCAAGTAAAGATGTTGTGGACACTCAGTCAATGAACATTGAGGAACTTGACAGAAATAAAGGTTTTATTTTCTCCCTGGAGGGAAAAGTTGAAAACTTCAGCTGGTGAGGAGGAAGCCTTAAAATGTTATTTACAGGAGAGAAACCAGGAAGTTTTTTCCCAAAACAAAGTTGTTCAGCAGATAAAAATACATCTCTTTTTCCTCTGATGAAACTGGTTCACTTTCCCCTCCTACCAAAGACCTTACTAACAAGAGTAACAAAGCGGGCGCCTAATATCTCTAGCAGTGTTTCTCAACCTTGGTGGTTTTAAGCTTTGTGGACTTCAACTCCCAGAATTCCTCATCCAGCTCAGCTGACATCTAGGAAGAAAAAGGAAGGAAATGACCTTGCATTAGCAATTTCATGAAGATAGGAAGACGGAACATAAACCCTTGAACCAGTGTTCCTCAATAAGATATGTGTGGGCTTTCCACTCCCAGAATTCATAACTAGCTTGGGAATTCTAGGAGTTGAAGTGGATAAAGTGGATAAAATTGAGAAACACTGCCTTAAACCTCGATGTGTACCCATTGTCACTTGGTCGATAGGCCATGAAGCCCTGAAAAATCAGTATCCCTAGACAGGGATGTGCAAGGCTTCCTTGTCTAGTTTAATGTCTAGTTCAACGAAGAGAAGGACAAGGGGGGACATGATAGCAGTATTCCAATATCTCAGGGTCTGCCATAAAGAAGAGGGAGTCAAGCTATTCTCCAAAGCGCCTGAAGGCAGGACAAGAAGCAACGGGTGGAAACTCATCAAGGAGAGAAGCAACCTAGAACTAAGGAGAAACTTCCTGACAGTGAGAACAATTAATCAGTGGAACAACCTGCCTCCAGGAGCAGTAAATGCTCCAACACTGGAAGTTTTTAAGAAGAGACTGGACAGCCATTTGTCTGAAATGGTGTAGGGTTTCCTGCCTGAGCAGGGGGTTGGACTAGATGACCTCCAAGATCCCTTCCAACTTTACTACTACTACTACTACTACTACTACTACTACTACTACTACTATTATTATTATTATTATTATTATTATTATTATTATTATTATTATTATTATCGTTGCTAGACCTGACATAATCCTGGTGTTTTCCATGAAGTAACTTTGTCCAAGGAGAGAAAATCAGCCTTGCACATTCTGTATCGAAGCTTATGAGGTTCTGCAGGAAGAAAGCTGGGAGTCTGAACGTAAATGACAAGAAATAAAACAAAACCCTCAAGTCTGTATGAGGTCTCTGAACTCAAAGGAAGCATTTCTTATTCTTGTGGAGGGAAATAACCAGTCATTTGGTTCCATTCTTCAAGTTGTGGTTGAACACTCTCTCTGTTTTTGTTAATAGCTGCACACATAAAGGCAGGCCACATCTAAAGCTTTGTTGTGTGAAAACTGGAACCCCGGCTGTTTTCTAGAAGCGCAAAGAGTGTGACAGAACAAGGGAAGTGGAAAGTTAGCGTAATATCAGCCTTAAAGCTCATTTTTTTATGGTTTTTCAGAAGAAAACCTGAGCTAATCATACATTCTTTTTCACTAGCTTTGCTTCCTAATAAGGAAGCTCTCTGTGGAAAGCTTTTGAGGAGATTAGTTTGCAGGGTTTTTTTTTTTTTATGAACAGTTTCTATTATTTTTCCATTTTACACCAACAGAGGCTTAAGAACCAGCGTGGAGATATGGTGGTCAATTACAAAAAGAAAACAATAACATATGTATACAATTCACACAATATTTCTTAAAACTTCCCTCTCTATCTATGTAGAATATTATAATCAATTAAATTCAGATAAATTCATTCATTAATATATCTAAATATAAATTTAATCAATAAAAACTTTCAACCGCTCAATATCAATATAATAATCAAATTAGTACAATCCTATAACCAATTCATTCATTAATATATCGCTATATATAAATTAAATGTTTAAATCAAAACCAACGCTCTCTATTTAGATTATTGGAATCTCATTAGTACATTTCTAACACAGATTTTTATTAAGTATATTGCCAGATACAAATTTCATTAGTCGATAATCTTTTATGAAAGCTCCTTATCTATCCTAAAGATCCTGTTTTAAACTTTATTAATTTTTCCAAATATTTGAATTTAAGCTAACCTAATTATCTAACTATTTCAGGGCCCCCAAATTTCTCTTATTTAAACATATTAGCTTCAAAACTAAATTCCTACATTTCTCAACTATATTTCTATTCTTTTTCAACAATTCTCCAATTATTAATTCCATCTCATTCCAAAACAAAAACCACACATAAGAAAAGAGAAAAGAAAAACATACTCACACACACAAACACAAAACACATATTCTTGCTATACTTCAATATTAAATTCTAAATCATTTCACAATAGCTTCCCATTTAACACAAACCAAATCCAAGACAATCCAAATCGCTATAAAACCTTTACCATCCATAATTATCCTCTCAAATTTAATTTATATCTTATTCTGGATTTCCTTCTATTTCCTTCTATTCCAAATAGGTTTCCATAGTTTGTTTTCATAATCTGATTTTACCTCAGGCCCTTCCAGACATTTAGATTATGATTCTTGAAAGTATTTCCCAAAATAGGAGTAGATCTAGTGGTTTCACTTGATTAATTTCAACTACTTTCAAACTGAATCAGCGGTTGGTAAAATTAGCCCTATGACTCAACTGCAGAAAAGCAAAAGGGAGGTGGGTTTCGTATTTTTTTAATTGTTGGTTTAAAGATGTGGCTGTGAACCCTAACTTTACCTAAATAAATCATAGGAATCTCCTGGAATATTCAAGCCTTGTGGACTTTGACTCCCAGAATTCCCCAGCCAGCTATCAATTCTGGAAGTCCACACAAATTAAACTCGCTGAGGTTGACAAACTCTAGTTTAAGGATTTATGCTTTCTTTCCTTGTGATCCAAAGGCATTTCCTTCCTTCTTTCTTCCTAGACTCAATCCACAAAGTGTTGAGGAAGACCTATCACCTATTGTACCTCAAAATTGCTTTTGCTTCCAAAAAAAAAAAAAGAATATTTTTGTTTTGTGTATTTATTTCACAGGAAATATATGGAATTTTGAGGACTCATCAGAGAGATTTCTCTTGTAGGGTATGTTACCTTAGAAAAACTGAGGAATAAAGCTGAAGGAACATCTCAGCTTAGTCTGTTCTCAATAGAGCAGTGTTTCCCAAACTTGACAATTTTAAGGCATAAGGACTTCAACTCCCAGAATTCCACAGCCAGCAACGCTGGCTGTGGAATTCTGGGAGTTGAAGTCCACATGCCTTAAAATTGTCAAGTTTGGGAAACACTGCAATAGAGGAACCATCACATTTAGAAGCACCTGAAAGCCCAGCTGAGGGAACTAGCTGTTATTCAGCTATTATCTTTCTGACCCACTTCCTTTTGGTTACTTTCTGTTTTAGGGGATTAAAAAGTTAAGATGGTATTTATAAGCAGACACAATCAAGCTCTGTATCAATGTTTCTCAATCACGGAAACTTTTAAGATGTGTGAACCTCAACTCCCAGACTTCTACAAAGCATCTGTTCTTCGGCCTGTTAATAATCTTGCTGCAATTAACAAAAAAAGTCAATTGCCTGACTTTTTTTTCCCAGTTGCTAGAATTTCAACAGAAAAAAAGAATGCAATAAAATAATCCAGAGGAGAGCAGATTTAAAGACTTCTTCACAGAGCTTCAACAAGATTTTGCCATGTTCTTGAGAGACATAAAACAAGGGGCACTTCTTGTGAAGACCAGACAATAAAAGTAGAACATACTGTCCATTTTTTTCCTGGGCGAGTCTGCAAAAATGGTCACATCGACTGTCCTAAGAGGCCTGCAGATCACTGGATCCAAACTGCATCAAGCTGAGCACCTTGAACTGCGGTAATCATGCTGAGGGATAACACACTGTTTATACTGCAGAAATACTTTGTAAAAGTTGCATTCAACCGCAACGTGTTTACCCTGTGGAGAATGGACCTGTATGACTAATTTTTTCCCTCACAACATGAGCAAATGTTTCCTTTGTCTTCAGACACCTCAAAGAGACTACAAAGTTTTGTTTTTTTCTCTCTCTTATATTCAGACCGCTAGCCATACTTGACAATCAACTGTATTTAACAATTGCACTTGTTAAATTGCTCCCCGTTTCTAGCTTTGACACCTTAACCGCTAAACCAAATTGACTTTCTTATTCTCTCTTAAATAGATTCTCTCTCAATCTATTTTGCGGGGTCATTGAAATGGGATGGGAGGACAGAGCAAGGAATGCTATACGTGCACTTTTTTTTTTCCCCTAGCAAATTTGTCTTAGTCACACTCGGCTAGATTAACCACACATTTATACTTTGAACAATGCGCTTCTCTAAAACTGTCTAAGTCCTAAACGCCTTTTGCAAAAACGACGTAAGAAACGTTGTCTGTAAAAGTCATGTATTGTTGCATTTTGATGAAGTCAGCATGCTCTGTGTTTTCTTGCTTTTTGGGGAAAGAGGAGGTCACTGTACAACACCCCCATTTCTTCCTCTGGTGGGAGGTAGTCCTCCATCTCTGGCCCAGGTGAAGATAGAGTGGAGGAGATCTGAAAGACGCTGTAGATGATCTCTGATTCCTGGGGAAAGAAGATGTTGTTCACAGATTAAATGTGTGTGTGGGGTCCCTGGTGCTCTCTGAGCTTGGTTGTTTTCTTGTAGATGTTTCGTAACACAACTAGATAACATCATCAGTGCTAGAAATGCAAGCCCTGCTTCTTTCTAGCAGTTAGGAAGTAACCTAGCTGAGTCATGAAACATCTGCAAGAAGATAATCAAATTCAGAGAACACTGAGGACCACACAGCCGCCCTCCCCCTCCTCTTCCTCCTCCTCCTCCTCCTCCTCCTCCTCCTCCTCCTCCTCTTCCTCCCTTCTAGCACTGATAAAGTTCCCTAGTTGGGTCTGCAAGAAAACCATCAAGCTCAGAGAGCACCAAGGATGCTTCAGACCTCCTCCTCCCTTCTAGCACTGATGATGTTACCTAGCTGGATAATGAAACATCTGCAAGGAAACCACCAAGTTCAGAGAGCACCAAGGACCCCACAGTCCTCCTCCTCCTCCACTTTCTCCTCCTCCTCCTCCTCCTCCTCCTCCTCCTCCTCCTCCTCCCTTTTAGCACTGATGATGTTACCTAGCTGGATAATGAAACATTTGCAAGGAAACCACCAAGTTCAGAGGGCACCAAGGACCCCACAGTCCTCCTCCTCCACTTTCTCCTCCTCCACTTTCTCCTCCTCCTCCTCCTCCTCCTCCTCCTCCTCCTCCTCCTCCTCCTCCTCCCTTTTAGCACTGATGATGTTACCTAGCTGGATAATGAAACATCTGCAAGAAAACCACCAAGTTCAGAGAGCACCAAGGACCCCACAGACCTCCTCCTCCTCTTTCTCGTCCTCTTTCTCCTCCTCCTCCTCCTCCTCCTCCTCCTCCTCCTCCTCCTCCTCCTCCTCCCTTTTAGCACTGATGATGTTACCTAGCTGGATAATGAAACATTTGCAAGGAAACCACCAAGTTCAGAGAGCACCAAGGACCCCACAGTCCTCCTCCTCCGCTCTACAAACCCCACTCGTTTCTAGCACTGATGATGTTTACCTAGCTGGATCATGAAACATCAAAGAGAAAAGGAAAGAGCCACGCTCAGAGAGCACTGAGGACCCCACCGTTTGAGCCTGAATTATTAATTTTTTTTGTATCCCAGGAACTCATTGAGAGCAAGGCATTTTCCCGTAATTTTAGAGCATCCTTAAAAAAAGAAATGAATTTGACTTTTTCTGGGACAACCTTATTTAAACAAAGATTCAGAGGTATTAAATCTCATAAAAGCTTGGAACGAGGCCGGAGAAATCAAGAAACCCAGAAGAACTGTCCACACGGGTCAAAACCTTTTCTACTAATACCCCAGAGAGCAACAGCAATAGGACTTAAGACTTATATACCGCTTCATAGTCGGTCCTCTCGAAGCAATTTACAGTGTCAGCCTCTTGTCCCCCCAACAATCTGGGTCCTGAGCTCGGAAGGATGGAAGGCTGAGTCAACCTTAAGCCAGTTAGGATCGAACTGCTGGCAGTGGGCACAATTTGCCTGCAATACTCCATTCTAACCACTGGGAGGAAGGGAGGGAGGGACGGAGGGAGGGAGGAAGGGAGGACAGTATCAATAGGACCTATATAATGCCTCACAATGCTTTTACAGCCCTCTCTAAGCAGTTTACAGAGTCACCCCCCCCCCAACAATTTGGGTCCTCATTTTAACGACCTCAGAAGGATGGAAAGCTGAGGAGTCCACCTTGAGCCGGTTAGGATCGAACTCCTGGCAGTCGGCAGAGTCAGTCTGCAATGCTGCCTTCTAGCCACTGCGCCACCCTGGCTCATAAAAAAAAAATGCAGGAAAGGCTTCCGTAAGACAGATTCTAGCTGAACTTGAAGGTGAGAGTTAACATTCTGCGGCCTACTAACACCACGTTGCCCCGACCGAGGCATTATAAAGACTGTTCTCATCCCTCGTATTTTTCCACAAGCAACGGCTGAGATCAAAAGAAGAGATTCTGTGAACTTTCCACTTCTTCCCAGCATGGACTGAATTAAAGCATGTATGAATCTCACAAAGGCTACCTTGACAGGGGCCGCAGTGGCTTGACGACGCGGCGTCCCATGGTCCCCTTTTTCTGCTTCGTTTTCCTTGGCTTTCAGTCTTTCCGAGGATGGTACTTATCAAGACAGCAATAGAAAGAGAAAGTAAAAAGAGACAAGATGAAGATGAAGGGCTGAGGCTTCGCCCCCTATTTCCTGCCCCACCGTCGCAAACCCAGCACCCATGGAAAAATCCCTCAGTCAAGGTCTCCATCCACAAGGACAATCACCACCTCTGACTCCAGGAAAGAGGTCCGTCAAACCGACTCTCTTATTCTCTCTTACATATTTTCCAAAGCACCAGGAGACAGAAAAAGAAGCAACGCATGGAAACTAATCGAGGAGAGAAGCAACCTGGAACTAAGGAGAAACTTCCTAACGGCGAGGACAATTAACCAGTGGAACAGCTTGCCACCAGAAGTTATGGGTGCTCCATCACTGGAGGTTTTTAAGAAGAGACTGGACAGCCATTTGTCTGAAATGGTCTAGGGTTTCCTGCTTGAGCCAGGGGTTGGACTAGAGGACCTCCAAGGTCCCTTCCAGCTCTATTCTGATTGATTGATTGATTGATTGATTGATTGATTGATTGAAACCGTTCTAAGGTTTCCTGCTTGAGCAGGGGGTTGGACTAAAGCAGGGCTTTAGATTAGATAGATAGATAGATAGATAGATAGATAGATAGATAGATAGATGATAGATAGAGATAGATGATGGATAGATAGATGATAGATGATATAGATAGATAGATAGATAGATAGATAGATAGATAGATAGATAGATAGATAGATGGATGGATGGATGGATGGATGGATGGATGGATGGATGGACAGACAGACAGACAGACAGACAGACAGACAGACAGACAGACAGATAGATAGATAGATAGATAGATAGATAGATAGATAGATGATAGATAGATGAGATAGATAGATAGATAGATAGATAGATAGATAGATAGATAGATAGATAGATAGATAGATAGATAGATAGATAGAATCTTTATTGTCATTTTTTACTGTGGGCACAATGGCACCCATTAAAAATGAAATTTAGTTGCTTTCCCTCAGAGTGTACACACACATGACACACATTTAAACATGCTATATACAACGTATGTATAGACCTATGCCCTGACATATAAGTAACATTTAATCACTATCCACCTTGAATACATAACGGGAGGAAGAAGCTTGAGAGTTCACAAGGTTAATATTTAGCTAAGACATATATGCCCGGATTATTTCACTTACTGTTCTTATTCTGCTTCTTCTTCTTCCAGCCATAAAAGGCAACTGGAAACAGCAGGATTATCAAAGAAATCGCTATCCAGGAATACCTCCACACAGGGTCTGGATCTTTGGTCCAGACTGGTTCAACCAATGAAGAAAAAGGATGATTTAGTATTTCCTGAAAGAACATCTTAGCCTGCTCTGTTCTTTGGGGTTTAGATCCTATTAAATCTGCAATTGAAACAGACACTGTCTCGTGCCAAGCTCACTTCTGGATTTTGCTTGAACTTCTCAGTGGAGTTTACTCAGGAATCCCGTGGAATGTCTCTGCCCTTTTCCCAGATCCTACCTAGTTTAACCTTAGTGGTGGGATCTGACTCGCCTGTTATGTTCAGCCCCTGGCTCCAAGAAGACATGAGCCATCGGTTGCTTCTCTTTTCTGCATAACGGCAAGCAAATTCCCCCCTGTGGGTGGAATGGTCACTCAGGATTCTCAGAGAGCCACTTTGAAGAAGATCTGCAGGTTCGCTGGAGCCCTTCTGAAGACATTCCTGGCTGGAGGTGATCTCCACCCCATCTTTGTAGAAATGGAACTTCTTCTCCCTGATGCCTCCTTCAACCGAGCAGAGGAGGATCAGACAGTCACCTTCCTTCATGGTCTGGGTCAAAGGATCGAATTTAAACCGTGGGGGAGGAGGGGTATCTGCAAGAAAGATTGACAATGGTAAGGAGACCACCCAGAGACCTCATGAGTGATGAAGCAATGAAGAGTTCTTGCTTCCTTCCTCTTTAAACCAGAAGCCACCTCGTGGTCCAGCATCTGTAAAGAGAATTTGGCTGATGAAAATGGTTTTAGGTCGTCCAATTTATGCTAAGCAGTTTCTTTTCTGGATCAGAGGAGAAAAATTGGGTTTAGGGATAGGCTTCGAGTGAAAATAATAACAAGCTTTTCAGAAGGGTTGCATCAGTCTTGGATCAAGAAATAAAAATTCCTTCTTCCCTTTCTTGATGGACATCCAATCCTTTGTCTGCCAGAACCCACAATACTCAGCTTCGTTTTATACTGCTTTGCATATAATTTGCTATATACTGTTTTGGTAAGGCCACACTTGGAATCCTGCATCCAGTTTTGGTCCCCACAGTAGAAAAAAGATGTTGAGTTTCTAGAAAGAGTGCAGAGAAGAGCAACAAAGATGATCAGGCTAAAACATATAAGGAACGGTTGCTGGAATTGGGCATGTCTAGTTTAATGAAGAGAAAGACGAGGGGGGACAGGATAGCAGTCTTCCAGTATCTCTGGGGCCGCCCCAAAGAAGAGGGAGTCAAGCTATTCTCCAAAGCACCTGAAGGCAGGACAAGAAGCAATAGAGGGAAACTAATCAAGGGAGAGAAGCAACCTGGAACTAAGGAGAAACTTCCTGACAGTTAGAACAATTAACCAGTGGAATAACCTGCTTCCAGAAGTTGTGAATGCTCCATCGCTGGAGGTTTTTAAGAAGAGATTAGACAGCCATTTGTAGGGTTTCCTGCCTGAGCAGGGGGTTGGACTAGAAGAGCTCCGATATGTCCAATCCAGCTCTGTTATTTTATTATTCAGTTTATTCTGTTTCTCGGGTGATCGGTTAAGTAATGGCCCATTTCTCACGTTATTTTCAATTCTGAAACCTGAGCCTTGTGACAATGAACTCTAGCAATAAGGGAACTCTCTTACCAACAACCAAAATCTCCCTGGAACTACTAAAAGGAGAAGAATAGAATTTTGTTAAATTGAGGGATTTTGAACTGCAATTGCAAATAAGCTTCTTGGTTCCATTCAGATGTGAGATGTTGATATTCCATGTATTTTCTTGATGAGTTTTGTTGAGGATGGAAGAACCTGATTCATTTTTACAATGGAAAACGAAAATAAGTGGCTGATATCTGTCTGGAACGGAACATATCAAGGTCATCCGCTCTCCTCGAGTAAAGATGCTGTGTGGAGGAGACAAGGAGAGTCTCGTAGTTGGAGATGAATCTGTCCACGAACCTGTGAAGGAGATAAAAACCACTTAGGCCTTATTTTTTCATCCTCTCTTGTCAGCTAGATAGGGGTTAGATAAGGGTCAATAGCACTCAAGGGAGATTGGACTTAGTTTGCTTGTAGCTATGTAGGATTTCTAGGCTGATATCCTTTTTAACTCCCCCTCCAGATTCTGCCATTCTTTCTCCTGCTTCTCCTACTCTCTCTCCTTCACAAGAAGCAACAATCAAAGTCCACGTTTGTGTGGCCAGAGAAAAACTCTACACAAGTCTCGGTCTTACCTGCTCCCAGGTTCACCCACAAAAGAACTGAAAGAGAAAAGAAACAAAAGTGGCTTAAACAGAACACACAGACACACATACAAAAAAAACCCTCAAAACCTTATTATTATTATTATTATTATTATTATTATTATTATTATTATTATTATTATTATTATTATTATTATCATCTCTGTGCAAAACTGGCAGTTTCCATTTCTGTAATGGGGCTTCCCGGAATGTAGACGAGAGAAGCTGAAGAAAAGCAAGAAAAGCAAAATGGAGGACTGAATACGGGACTAAAACCCAGTCTATTTAGAGGGAAAAGAAGATTGATTTTACATTTCGTATAAACGGGACCCTTTTTAAAAGAAACATCCTGACTTCAGGATGGAGATAAAAAAAATATCTTGATTACCCATGGATTAAATTCACGTAAATTAAATCGGTCTCTTTGAACCAAAGGTGCTTTTGTTTCCAGGAGGCAACTGGACTCTCTTGTTTTTCTTTGAAGATGTTTCACTTCTCCTCCAAGAATAGTGCGAGAGGATGAATGGATTTCCAGAAAATATTGCAGACTACAGGAACCATTGGTGCTTCAGTTTCATGACCCAAACTAGGTAACATCATCACTGCATCAGGACTAGCACCGATGATGTTACCTTTTTTCGGTAATAAAACCCCTGCAAGAAAACCACAAGCTCAGAGAGCAGCCAGGATCCCTCGTTTCCATCCTGAGCTGCAAATATTCTCCTTTATAGATAGAATTCAGCTTGATATAACAGGAGGCTGTTAGTGGTGAAAGGAAACCAGCCCCCCAAAGACACAATGGCTGGGAACCATCAAAGCTGACCAGCCAGAGCATAGAAGAACTCAAGGAAGCAGTGCAAGATCGGAAGAGGTGGAGAGACCTGGCCAACAGAATCACACAGAGTCAGACATAACCACATGCATATACATCTTGAGCATCATTGTAAAAGAAAAACAAGAAAAACAAAATGGAGGACTGAGAGAGGAGAGACCTGGCCAACAGAATCACACAGAGCCAGACACGACCAAATGCATACTTCATGAGCATCACTGGAACAGAAAGCAACAGAAATTTGTCATCAAGATAAATTTCCTTGCTTGCAAAAGGGCTGCACTCCACAATACTTTCCTATGTGACATTTTGTGACTGGTAGCTAGGAGGACATTGATCCATTCCAAACAATAACTCTGGAGGAAGAAGGAAGTGCTGAATTTTTGAGATAGAAGAAGAAGAAGGAGGAGGAAAAGGAGAAGGAGATCTTGAGCACAGGGAAAGAAGAATAATTAGATTTAGAAGGAGGAAGAAGAAGGAGGTCCCAAACCTGTTATCCAAGTGATGGTCTCCATCTTCAGGATTCCTGGGAAGGAGATGTTGTTGGTCTCTGTCGCTCTCTTCTTCCTTCCCCAGAGAGATGAAGAGCTGCAACTTCTCTCGAGTCAGTCCTCCAACTCAACGGCCAAGGGAGGAACTGCGTCATCCCCACCGAGGACATCACACCCACGCCCTCCCAGCCCAGGACGCAGCTCGGCCCCCCGGCCTCCTTCACCACACCAAAGCCTTTCTCTCTGCAGCAGAGAACTTCCCCCATCCGCCTGAGCTCTCTTGCGCCCAAAGAGAATGAAAAATAGAATAAAACAAATGAAATCAAATAAAAATAGCCATCCGGTGAGGTGGAGGTGTGAAAGCCAAGAAGCCATGTTCTTCTGCTCTTTTGCAAGGTCTGACACCCCACCCCACCTCTCTGGGTGTCTGACCTGATCAGCTGCGTTGCTCGTCCTAAGCCACGTATTTCCCGTAGCGGAGCCACAGACAGACAGAATAAAGCAAATGAAAATCCGTTAATTAGAAAAAATTTTAGTTCTGATACATAGCAGTTCCCCTAAAACACTTCTCAAAATCATGGCTTGTGTCTAAAATGCCAGAACGATTATCCTAGTTGTTTTTTCAATTTGTAACATTTTATTAGATTATAAAGTAAAATACAAAAATACAAAAAGAAAGAGCAGGATACAGTGCGGAGGGACAAGGAAGAGAAAAGTAAGGAGGAGAAGGGAAAAAGAAAAAAAGAGGCATTGACTTCGGATTTCCTCTATTGCCGTAGAATGAAGCATTAATGATGAACCTTCATTATTTACTTTTCCAAAGTGGGGTAAACCCAACGGTCGTAAATGTGGAAAACAGTCATAAGTCAACCTCAACCTCTTTTTTTGTGATATGGTGACCAGAATTGGCTGTGGTATTCTAGGTGTGGTCTTACTAGGGCTTTACAAAGCGGTAATAGGACTTCTTGTGATCTTGATTCTATGCCTCTGTTTATACCACCCAGGATTTCAGAGACTTGACCAAGAAAGACACATTTTGCTACAATCACGGATGATTTTTCTGCCTTCCTTTGGGTTGAAACACAATGTCACTATACAATATCCCCTCTTCTTCCCATTGTGTAGGACGGTTCTTCCTTGTTGGTCCAGGAGGAGACGGAGCGAAGGAGTCCCGGAGGCAGCTGTACGTGACCTCGGAGTGCTGGGGAAAGTGAGGGAATGAGAAGACATTGCTCAGTCTGCCTGCAGGCGAGGAACCCATTGAGAACATGGGATTTAGTAATAGTAATAGTAGTAAAGTTGGAAGGACCTTGGAGGTCATCTAGTCCAACCCCCTGCTCAGGCAGGAAACTCTGCACCATTTCGGACAAATGGCTGTCCAGTCTCTTCTTAAAAACTTCCAGTGTTGGAGCATTTACTGCTTCTGGAGGTAGGCTGTTTCTCCGCCATTTGTCAGCATTTTTAGAAATAAATTACCTTGACCCATCTGTTACAGCCTAGAAAGATTGCCAGTCGTGACCGATTCTGAGATGCTCCTGAGAAACCTACAGGGCCCATCCCCTAAAACTTTGCATCCAGTACTTGATTAGAGGAATCTTCAACGGCTTTTAAAAAAATATTTTTGAAATATTTCTTTTTGTTTGTGTGGGCTTCAAGGCCCTTCAATTTCTTGGCCAACACACGATTTGTGAAACTGGAGGCCATGAAAAGAATTATTCTACTTCCCCATTTTTAAAGGAAAGATCTAGTACTTCAAAAACTCCTAAATTCTGTTTTTGAAACCCAGCAGACCAAGAAACGTAGATCAGATGTTCAGAGAGATCAAGACAAATGGATTTATGGAAAGTATATTTTGCCTGAAGGGAAGAATTAAACTTCAGAAGTTCTAAATCCTATCTGCTTCGTTCCTGTTTCATCATGAAAGTTGGGTGACTCCAGAGGACACCATCAATAGTGGGAAGAAAACTGGGTTTCCCTCACCAATGTAAACAGACCTTCCCTGCAGACACTGATTAAGGTCACCCATGAATCCCACTAGCTACCTTGACAGGTGTGAGTGTAGCTGCTGTTGCTGCTTGAGGCTCCATCACTGCAAGATCATTTCCATCCTCCTTCTTTTTTGGAAGCTGAGAGTGTTCCTGGGATGGTGATGCTTCCAAGGCAGGAATGAAAATAAAAAGGAAGATGAAATTGCTTCTTTCTATCACCCTCATCTATTGCGTTCTCCTCCCTCTCACCTCCTGGCCTGGCTCTCCTTTCATGCCTCCCCATAGGATCTCTCTGTCCACAGTTGCAACCCACAATGAGAAACCTCTGACTCCAGGTAAGGATCCCTTGAACCTCAATCACATCACTTACTGCTCTTTTTTTTCCAGCAATAAAAGGCAAAGGGAACCAGCAGGATTACAAGAAGCATCGCCATCCAGGAATATCTCCAAATAGGATATGAATCTTGGGCAAAAACTGGTTTGAGTAACAAAGAAGAAGGATGACTTAGTATTTCTTGCAGAACATCTTAAACTGCCCTGTTCTTCAAAGTTTAGATTCTGTTAAATCGACAAATGAAACACCCCCTCCTTTTTTTTATCAAGCTCGGTTCCCGATTTTTCATGGACTTCCCTGTGGAGCTAGTTAACAATCCCAGAAAAGCCATTTGCCTTTCTCCAGGTCTTTCTTTGTGTTTCCTCGTCTAGCCTATGACGGTAGTCTCAAGATTTAACCACATCCAACATTCCCCTATCTGGCTCACCTGTCATGTTTATCCCCTGGCTCCAAGAAGACATGAGCCATCGGTTGCTTCTCCTTTCTTCATAACTGCAAGCAAATTCCCCACTGTGATTGAACGATGCATATAGGATTCTCAAAGAGACTCTTTGAACATGATCTGTGGGTTCACTGGAGCGTTCCAGAAGACCTTCTTCCCTGGGGGTGATCTCCATCCCATCCTTGTAGAAATGGAAGATCTTCTCTGCATTGCCTCCTTCCACTGAGCAGAGGAAAACCAATGGGTCACCTTCCTTCACCTTCTGGGACAACGGATCCACCTTCAGCAGCGGGGAAGGAAGTTCACCTGCAAGAAAGGTGCACAAGGAAGATATTAATGTCTCCATTAAAGCAGGGGAGTCGTCACAACCAAAATATTCCATTTCGGAGATATTTTTCCCATTGAAGGAAAGTCCTCCTGACCATTTTCTTAGAGGAGGCGTTATTTATTTAATGGCGGGTCTGCTTGTTTGGTTCACTGGATTGATTTTTTGAAAGCTTTATTGTGCATTTCCATAGGTTGAGTATTAAAACTGCCTTTGATGTGAATATTTCCGGGCAATGAGAATCCATCTTACCAACAACTGAGAAGACTAGATGGTTACTTTCAGGAGAAGAAGACCATCCCCCAGATGATTCCCTGATCTTGCATTTACATATAATCTTTATTTGGTAAGGGGTCAGATTTTCAGTCCTGAAATTGAAGGTATTGTTAGGGAGATAGTAAGCATCCCTTATTAGCTTGGATTGATCTCTACAGTAGAATAAGAATATATGGGATCCCCTCAGGACTCTGTGACGCGACTCCATCAGGGAGGGAGCAATTCAAGGGAATCTCTTCTCCTTTAATAATAAAGTTGTATGGAAGAGACGAGGACAGCCTGGGGGCTGATCGAGATGAATCTGTCTGTGAACCTGAGGAAAGAAAGAGAAGACATTGAGACTTTCCTTCTGATCTCCTCCTGGAATGAAAGCTCTACACCAGAACATCCACCCCGATTCCCAGAATGGCTCCCATCCATAATCTGCTCTGAGAATCCTTGACCCACTGCTTCCTCTTGCAAGGACAGGAGTTGGACAAAAAGGGACCGACGCTTCAAATGAAAGATTCTCCTACCCTTCATGGCTTGGATGAAGGGCCATCCGAGATTTCATCCCTCCCTGATCTTTTAGGACTGTCTTCCTTTCTGCTCTCTTTGCTTTGTAGACCACAGGTCCCCACCCTTTCTGGGTTGGTGGCCCAGAAGGAAAGGGAGGAGCAAGGAAATTTGTGTGTGCAAGTGCAAAAAGGGCTGCTAGTGCCTGCACGAATGTGCAAATGCGGCTACTAGCAGCTGTGCGGCGGCGCTAACACCCACACGCATGTACAAATGGGGCCTCCAGTGCCTATGTGACTGCTAGCACCAGTGGGGGGAGAGTGTGCTTTCACATGTGCAAACACCGGCCAGTTATCCCCATAGCCCGGTGACCAGTAGGCTACGGACCAGTAGTGTGCTGTGGCTCACAGGTTGGGGACCCCTGTTGTAGACACCTCTCCATTTGATTGGCTCAAAGTCACTCAGCCAGTTTCCATGGACTAGAACTCATTGTCTCCCCCTTGCCAGCCTGATACCTTAACCATTAGGCCAGACTGGCTCTCTGGCAATGGGACTTTGCCCACATCGAAGCAAAAAGAAGGTAAGAAAATGAGGGGATAAGGTTCCCTTTTGCATTTATGATTTTCTTTGGGCGTTATAGTATTTTGTGTCAGTCGCAAAAGACTAATCCACAGGTGAACGTCCAATTCAGTTCATTTATTGCTAAAAGCCTGTGCATAGGAATCTTGACAGCTAGATAAGGGTTGGATAAGGGTCAATTGCACTCAAGGGAGATTGGGCTGAGTTTGCTTGTGGCTACGTAGGGTTTTTAGGCTGATAACCTTTTTAACTCCCCCTTCAGATTCTGCCCTTCCTTCTCCTACTTCTCCTACTCTCTCTCTTTCAGAAGAAGCAACAATCACAATCCATCTTTGTGTGGCCACAGAGAAACTCTCCATAAGTATCAGTCTTACCTGCTCCCAGGTTCACCCACAAAAGAACTGGAAGAGAAAAGAAATGAAAGTGGCTTAAACAGAACACACAAACACACATACAAAAAAAACCGCTCAAAATCTTATTATTATCTCTGTGCAAAACTGGCAGTTTCCGTAATGGGGCTTTCCAAAATGTAGATGAGACAAGCTGAAGAAAAACAAGAAAATCAAAATGGAGGACTGAGCAGGAAGGCCTTATACCGTGAGGTCTTGAAAACGGGACTAAAAACTGGTATATTTTGAGGGAAAAGATTGGTTTTACATTTCATATAAACGCGACCCTTTTTAAAAGAAACATCCTGACTTCAGGATGGAGATAAAAAAAATGTTGATGACCCATAGATTAAATTCACGTAAATTAAAGTGTTCTCTTTGAGCCAAAAGTGCTTTTTTCCAGGAGGCAA